TCCTCTGGACGATGATTCAAAGCCTAAAACTGCATTCCGTACACCGCACGGCCTGTTCCAATTCAACCGGTTGCCGATGGGACTCCACTCAGCGCCGGCAACTTTCCAGCGATTTTGGGAATTGGTTTTGGCTGGATTGCAATGGGACTCGTGTTTGATTTATTTGGATGACGTTATCGTCTTTAGTAAAACATTTGACGAACATCTCCAGAGGTTGCGGGCGGTTTTCCTCAAGATGCGGGCTGCTAATTTGAAGTTTAAACCCCAAAAATGTCATCTGTTACGCGAATCTGTGCGTTATTTGGGACACATCGTCGGGCGCTCAGGTATTGCTACCGATCCCGCCAAAACGCAGTGCGTCAGCTCCTGGCCGACTCCCACCTCGGTGGGAGAGGTCAGGAGTTTCGTTGGATTCGCGTCGTATTACCGACGGTTTGTCGCGGATTTTGCGATGATTGCGAAACCCCTACACGCTTTGACGTCAAAGGGGGTTCGGTTTCATTGGGGACAGGAGGAGGAGGCTGCTTTCCGCTCCCTTCGGGATGCTCTGGTAAAAGCTCCTCCCTTGGTTTACCCCGATTTTTCTAAACCCTTTTTGCTCGACACCGATGCGAGCAACACAGGGTATTGGGGGCGTGCTTTCCCAGGTGGTTGATGGCGTGGAACGGGTAGTTGCGTACGGTAATCGGGTGTTGTCTCCAGCGGAGCAAATATATTGTGTCACCCGTCGGGAACTGTTGGCAATTGTCTATTTCATCCAACAGTATCGCCCATATCTGTACGGTCGGCATTTCACCGTCCGCACAGATCATGCGGCACTACAATACGCCCTGCGAGTTCAACAACCATCGGGACAATTGTCTCGATGGTTGGAGATTCTCCAGGACTTTGATTTTGAAACTACGTACCGTAAGGGCGTTCGCCACACCAATGCGGACGCTCTGTCGCGCATGCCAACCACCTCCGAATGCGCATGCCTCCTGGGGTCGGGACGTTGCAGGCCTCCGGGGGAGATATCTGTTCCGGTCTTGGCGGCCGCCGACGACGCAATGTCGATGACGAATTCGATCGCACAACAGGGAAAAGATTCCCTGTTGGGGTTGCCTGTCACTGAATGGGGGCGCCTCCAGATGGAGGATACCTCCCTCCTCGCGTTGCGTCGTCGCGTCGGCGGTGCTGGGCGGGGGAGGGGTGATGCCGACTCATGGGAAATGGTCCAGGGTCTGCTGATGCATTGGGACGGGAGATCCCATCAACACCGGCTGGTGGTCCCTTCTGGGTTGCGGGGTAAGGTGGTGTGGGCCGCTCATGAGCGCCTCCTCCACCTGGGGACCCAAAAGACCCTCGCCTTGCTCCAGCTTGATTTTTTTTGGCCAGGCATGACAAGGGATGTCGGGGATTTGTTGGGGTCATGCCCTCGGTGTGCGCAACGGAAACCACCAGCACGGGAGTCTAACCCGCCTTTGCAATCGATCAAAGTCTCCAGAGTGAACGAGCTTGTCGCGCTGGATATTCTGGGCCCATTCCCCGCCACCCCCAGGGGCAATAGATATTTGTTGACCGGTGTGGAATACTTTACACGCTGGCCTATGGCCTGGCCCCTTGCCAACCAGTCGGCAGCAGCCATCGTGGAGGCCTTTGTCCAGGGATACGTCCTGGACAAAGGTGCTCCGGAGCGGCTGCTGACCGACCAGGGCAAAATTTTTTCCGGCAAACTACTCCAACAAGTCTGTGAGCTCCTGGGCACGAAAAAAATTCGTACCTCCCAGTATCACCCGCAAACTGACGGGATGGTCGAGCGTCTGCATCGAACCATCTCGTCGATGTTGTCACAGCAGGTTTCAGACTTACAGACCGATTGGGACCTGCAAATTCAAGGGGTCTTGGCAGCATACCGAATGGCCCCCCATGCGGCAACGGGATTTTCCCCCTTCTTCCTCATGTATGGCCGCGAACCTGACCCGCCTGTTCGGGCCCAGCTGCAGATCCCCGCGCCGCAGGGTAAAACTAAATTGGTCGACCATGTTAAATTTAATCTTGCCAAATTGACAGAGGCACGGGATGCTGCCATGCAAAATTCTGACCTCCGTCAGAAAGCTAATGAGAGGCTCAGACTCGGTCGGGCGCACGTGCTGCAGTGGAAGCCGGGGGACAAGGCATGGCTGCACTGTCCACAGGTGCCACTTGCAACCTCCTCTAAACTGGTGCTGCCGTGGCGGGGTCCTGTGGAAGTGGTTGAGGTTTTGCGGCCGCAGTGCGTACGCATCAAATGGGGGAAGCGGCGGTGGTTTGTACACCCCTCCAGATTAAAACCCTTCGTTGCGGTACAAATTCCCACTTCACACACGCGTGGCCAAACATGTGGGGGGTCGACCGACTCACTGGGTCCGTCTCCGTTGCTCTCACCTAACGTGTTGCCGGCTATGCCACCCCCAGGTGCATCAGGAGTGACGGGCTCACGCCCGACGACCCCACCTGGGGATGCCAAGGGTCTCTCGGCATCAAAAAGAGACTCACTCGGAGACGGACAGTTGCCACCCGACAGTCCGCCATCCGGGGTTGCCCCGTGTGACGGGCCTGCTGCAAGGACGCGCGCAAGAATGCGCAGACTCTTGTGATGCCGAAAAGAAAAAGAATTTTTTTTTCTCACATGCTATGTTCATTGTGGGTTGTGTGGGGGGTGTGTTCCCTGCACATCGTATGTTGTGTTCACTGTATGTTGTGTGGGTGGTGTGTTCCTTGCGCATTGGATTGTACATATGTTGTGTTCGCTGTGTGTCGTGTATGTGGTGTGGTTCCCTGCAAATTGTATATAGGGCGTTTTTACGGAATTCGTATTTATTCGGGGGGGGGGGGGTGCGTCGGGTTATTTTTCCTTCTTGCTGTTGTTGTTCTTGTTGTTGTTCTCCTTCTCGTTATTGTTGAAAAAAAATTGTGAGGCACACGCGGGGTCAAGGGGTAAATAAACTTTTATTGTCGTTTTGTTGTAGCCGGGACGGCTGCGAGCTGTACGGGGGGGGGGGGGGGGGGGTGATGTAGGGGTGTTACGGAGGGGCTGTTATACATGGGATCACACGGGAAACAAACACAGTGGGCGTGGCTACGTGAGTGCACGGGGAGGTGATCTCAACGACGTCCGCACCGGGGAGCCTGGGGGGCTGCCCGGAGTTGTGATCCCCCGGGGCCCCACCCCTCAGCCGGGGTTTGGTATAAAAGGGGATGAGCCAGAGGGCTCGGGGTGATAATGTTAAGCTAAACCAGTGAAGACCGAAGACCGTCTAGATAGGGCCCTGGACTCCCCTGGATCACCGCCCTTATCAGGGCCGAACAGGACCGAGCCAGCGGCGTGGTCCCGAGAGCCAGAGCCGGTGCTCTTATCAGAGCTGGTCTGGGACTCCGGGTACCGTAAGCCCGACTTACCAGTGTCGGGCTAGATAGCCTCCCCTAGCCCGTTAGTGGAGGACTAGGAGGTAGGCTAGACGTAGCTAGCAAGTGTATCCCCAGATAGACGGGTGAGGGGGCCAATACCCCCTCCAGTGTTGTATGCCCACGATTGTGCTGTGCTGAATAAATACGTGTGCCTCCAACTCCGGCGTCCAAGAGTCCTCAACTATATTACAGTAGCTCAACTTATTGGAGAGTATATTTAGTATACTGATGATACTATGTAGTTTATATTTCGATTTAAAGCTTTCGTGACTGCAGGGATTCATCTTCTTGGTTCCAAGAACCAGAAAATGTAGTTTATTCTTTATTTTTTTACGTGGTGGTTTAGTAACCGCAGCTACAAACTATTAACATTCCTTCCCTTTGTTAATGCTACCCCCTATCCCCTCCCTTTGATGCTGCTAATCCTGCATAATGCACAGGCATAATATGACTTTGAAACCCCCCGCCCACCTGCTACACATTTCCCATAAATATTCTAAATTCCTCTTGATATGCAAATGTCTTTGTCAAGGCGCTCTTCTTCCCCTTCCAACCCAGCTTTTATATACTCTCCAAGCTTGGTGGTGTTTCATTCTTCACCTGAGGACGGCTGCTTGCGTTATAGTCGGAACGTCGTGAGAATTATTTTATTATTTTCCTTCTACGTGACTTTATCGAAAGAACCAAGAAGATGAATCCCTGCAGTCACGAAAGCTTTAAATCGAAAAATAAAAGTATTTCTTATAGAACCCATCCTCCACACGGGCTTTGCGGAGTGCATACTTTCAGTAGCAGTTTTTCAAGATAAGTAAACTATGGACTGGTTTCTCATCTGAGTGGCCTGTTATGATCTGTGCCACCCGGGCGACTCTGTTTACATGCAAACTTAATTGATGCAAACTGTTTTATTCGTGTTTTCGTTTAAACTACATTTTGGTAAAAAAAAGAAAAATTCGTACTTATGTAGTAACGTTAAGGGTGTAAGTATGGTGTTAGCGCCAGGCACTGTCACAAGAGTGCTACTGTGTGTCTGGAACCTCTCCCTGGGACCAGAGTGAGTCTGGCATGTGAACGGGCCTAAGGGGGCATAGTCCTGGTGATGGCCTGAGAGAGGACTTCGGGAAAGGTCTCGAAGGGGGCGTGGCCAGAGGCGGTGCTTGGCCGCGCTCAGGAGCATAAAGGGGTAGTCCCAAGAGCGTTCTTTGCTGTTCTCTGGAATCAACCCTCAGCGCCACGTCTCTCCAATCTTCGGTCTCCGCTCGGCATCGTGGGTCAGTCAGGCCGTTACTGACTGACCCGGTTATGTAGTTACCTGGTTAAAGTAGTGTCGTTACCCTGTTGGGGTCGAGAGTGTACGTTTAAGTAGTTAGCCCCGTTTGGATGTGTAATAAACGTGTTGCCTCCAAGTCAAGTGTGTGCCTCCATATTCAACACTACACTTATTTAAACTGGGGTGTCTCTTGCAATCGAGACTTTCCAAAGGGTTTATTAATAATTCGAGAAGTTATCTATTTTAAAAAATAAATTAAAAAATCTAACCAACATTTTATAAATTATTTTACTTTCCAAACCTTAACGGGCTGAATGAGGATGACGGATATGCAGAAGGAGGTGAGGAAGCGCACGAGCCAGCGGTTGGCCTTCTCGGGGCCCCACTCCATGCTGTAGAGGATGGTGAAGAAACCGCTCGTCCCGATTACCAGAACCACCAGCGTCCAGGCGATGTACAAGGTCCAATGTGGGAACTGCTGCGACGTGCAGCCCCCTCCTCCTCCGCCCGCCTTCTTCCAGGGCTTGTTGCCCGTGCGGCGGAAGATCTGGACAATAAGGATGCTGATCGGGACCTCCATGAGAGCGCTCGCGATCATGACGAAGAGCTCGCCGTACGTGAAGGGCCCGATGTGCGGGGTGCTGGCCTGGCCCTTGTCCGTCTCGAACCACATGGCATTGACAAGCATCATGAGGAAAAGCAGCGATACGCAGCTTGACAGCCGCTCCACTCGCGAGAAGTTGTTCTTGGACGGACGGAAGAAAATGGAGCTCCTGCGGGTGAAGAGTTGTAACGAATATACACACATCGTAATAAACAGCAAGGTCGAGTCAGTAGCGAAATTCTCCTTGTCATTGTTACGGTTGGGGTTAATAATGTTGTAGTTTTGAATATAGTGTTGTTCGTGCAATTGCATCTCACAATCGCTGAGGAACTTCAGACGAGCTTGAAGCAAACACGGTTGTGAGCCAGCAGTTTCAACAATTGCCCAAGGTCTACAGTCCTCTTTATAATAATATGTTTTGGAGCCAGTTAATAATAACGGGTGTTTATTGATGTATAAGGAAACCAGAACACCTGAGTAAAACCCACGCGTGCGAGGGGGCAACACAATCGCAGTCAGTGGAGACAAACTATAATTTTCCGAACTTTGCTGCACCGCCTTCTTCTGCTGAGCCAGGGTATGCACCCCGGATGGGTGAGTACAGTACCTGACTGGTATTTAAAACTACTAAAAATATTTTTCATATATTTTATTTATTTTACCAGGTAAGGCACACTGAGCTATATAGCCCTTTTTCAGAAGCAACCTGACCACAAATGATAGCTCAACGAAATGGCTTGTCACGTGTAAATGTAAAGCAGCAGCCAAATACTCTAAACGCATATTTTTTTAAATGGAGGGAAAAACCGGAGGACCTGAAGAAAAATCCATGCCACCACAGGGAGAACATGCAAACTCCAAATATACAGGCGTCAGGGTTGAGATCGAACCCACGACCTCCTATAAACCACGCGAGGTAGTTAACATCTCGCAACCATGGTGCCCACTGTGGCATGTGGTATGGGTGCTCCTATCCCATACAGCTCCTCACCTCTGCAAGGCCCTCAGGCTTTTTCCCCACGTAAAGGCAGCTGGTCGTATTTGGATCACATTTGCAACCAATTTAACCCGATCTCAGCTAAGTGGGGTTGAGCTTGCAAGTATTTTGGTGGGAGTTGGAAGTGGCGAGTGTCACCTCCTCATATGCACTTGGCTTTCTGTGGGCTCTCCGCGTTACTCCCACATTTTGCTCATGCATGGTGTTGGCCATACTTCCTAACGCAAGACCCTCAAATACGTTTTACGAGAGTCCTGTATTTAGACTGCTGTGGGGTGATGCGATATCATGGGCAGCAGAGGGCAGTGCAGAAAAATACACTTTTTCTCTCACATCTACGCTCTCCCACCTTCAACCCACAAAGGCCAGCGTGGTGAAGTATGGTCAAATAACCCCACACAACTCCCATGGCACTGGGAGGCCCTCAATTGGCAGTGAATTTACAGAGAAGCTGTGCACGTGAACTTGTACACGTTGTTGTTACAGTAGACGCTTGATGTAACCACACTTTAAATGAGCATAGTTCTGGTATAAGCAACGCCAGTGCCTTGCTAATATCAGAAGAGCGTTCCAGACGGCCGCAGAAGCGCATCTGTAAGCGCGCGATGCAGTGAATGTCTTTGTTTATGGACATGAACTAGTCTGATTGGAGTTGGGCACCGGTGTCTGGAAGCTTCGCGATGTGGCGCGGTACACGACGTGGCGCACGTCTCGCTCACCACAAGTGGCCTTCAGCGTAGTTGCTCTTCACAGTGGAGGAGAACAGCCTGTTGGAGTCGAACACGGTCTGGTGGTCGCTCATCGTGATATCCCTGCACACGCGTCCATCCCCCTGGTCCACCGCCAGCCAATTGTTGCACACGAAGTAGAACCTGGTGGAGGTGGAAAGCACCGAATGTCACCGAGATTCGGAGCAGCAGTGGCCACCGAGCCCTGTTCTTACCTCGCCATACTCGGTAGAGTTCAACATAAAGTGGCCGGGTTGATTGATACAACTATGTAACACAATTTTGATTTGAAGCTTTCGTGACTGCAGGAATACATACTCTTTGGTTATTTCGGTAAGTCACGTAGGTAGAAATAAAACAAATAAATCACGACGTTTCGATAGCAACACAAGCCATCGTCTTCAGGTGAAAATCGCGACAGCCGCGATGTCTGCTGCGAGCAGCAAGATGTCTGCTGCCTAACTTCGCTCATTGACTTTGCCATGCTTTTCTCATCAACTTTAACATGCTATTCTTGGCTATTTTTTTCACTAACTTTTACATGCTTCTCTCATCAAAATACATATGCTAATCGTACATGCTAATCTGAGCTCTTATGCGCTACTTGAAGCTCATTAACTTTGCACTATAATCCAACATGCTAATCTAAATTTAATTTCCTTTAATATGCCACGCTATTTATTACCTTTACACTATAATACCCCATTAACACTACTTCGGCTACCTTTGTTCTCAAAAACTAAAAAAAAACTCGCTGGTAACGGCTTCTCTTCACAAGGCAGCAGACATCTTGCTGCTCGCAGCAGACATCACGGCTGTCGCGATTTTCACCTGAAGACAATGGCTTGTGTTGCTATCGAAGCGTGATTTATTTTGTTTTATTTCTACCTACATGACTTACCGAAAGAACCAAAGAGTATGTAACACAATTTTTGTTCCTTGGTAATACGTGTTAATTTTAATTGATTATACCTAAAAAGTATAGAAAATGGATATTATTACCCACAAACTTTGCTTCTCAATGGGCCCATTTTTTTCCAGTAAAAAGATGATGAAAAAAAAAATTGTCCCATAGATATAACTACTCGAGCAGAGATATTAATGCTTTGATATTTGCATGGTCTTTGCACTGTTCATTTAGTGTTCAGTTAAATTTTTACTTAAACTTACGTGACTGCAGGAATTCATATTCTTTGGTTATTTCGGTAAAGTCACGTAGATAGAACAAATAATAATTAAAATAAAGTGAATAAAAATACCACGACGTTTCGATCGCAACACAAACGGTCGTCATCAGGAAAAGGGGTTAGCCTCTAAAGGCACACTGTTTATAAAGATTTTGAGATGGGCGTAGCCAAAGTGTATCAGCAGCACCAGCAATGCCAATGCAGCAGCAGCTGCATTGCCAATGAGCAGTGCAGCCAGGAAATCACTGGATCCCGCTCTAAACACCAAACTGCTGATGGTGGAAGTTGATTGACAAGAAAAGACAAGTCAAGTCATGACCCAAAGGTGTTGATGACATCTTTCCATTGATTGCTGAGTTGAAACTTTATTTTTAATATTTTATCGTTATTATTTTTTTCTATCTACGTGACTTCACCGAAAGAACCAGTCACGAAAGTTTTAAGTCAAAATTGTAGCGACCGATTCGAAAGATGCTGCACTGATGCAGTGGGCATATTTACTTTGTCATTGGCAGAGAGGGAAAAACAAAATTAGCTCGGATTTGAACAGGGAGTCAACAGCACGAGTAGCTGAGGGAAAAGAGACTCAGACAATGGGGAGCAAGCAGAGGAGATTGATCAGAAAGGTGGATTCCTCCCTCACTGTTCGTTGGTTTGGATATCAAACAGGACAACTTCGTTGAGAAACCAGCTCCTGTCCCTGTCGTCATCCGGACTCGTGTCCAACCAGATCCTGAGCTGAAGGGGCATCCCGTAGCAGTGTGGAGTGGACAGCACAAAGCAGCGCACACTGCCCTTGGCGAACTCCTGCGCACGTGTGGCAAAGAGAGCACGTGAACGCTCGCGTTTTCAGCAGGTGCATAAATACATACTATTTTAGTCTATCTGTATTTATTTTAATTACAGATGCTGAGCACATATTTAAAATAATAATTACTTAAATCTGTACCACGCCGCACAGTATTCACTCACGGAGAGAGAGAACAACTCAGAGACGTGAGTAAAAACCAAAGATTAGCGGGAAACGCAGCCCGGCACTGGCATTTAGCCAGTGCCAAATTCCATCCCCAACACCCCTCCAACCCAACCAAGCTCTGCCATCCTCTTAATATGGAGGTGTTATCAGTCAATTCATGAGTGCTTACATGTCGGAGGAAACTGGAGCACCCAGAGAAAACCCACGCGTGCAAAGGGGCAGCAGTCTATACCATACAGAGGGAACAGGTGGTGTCCACATTTTTGCTGTATTTCCCCTCTTGAAAAGTCAGGTTTTCACAACCTTTATGGGATCCACCAACCTTCGTTACCACTGGATCATAGATCACGTGCATATCCAACATCTTTGTGCACGTTTCAACATAGGCCCCAGCATCTCGGTGTCCCATGAGTAGGTCATATGACACACACCCACCAATCAGCCACCCGACTGCAGAACATGACATTGCCAACAATCTACCATCGTCCTAGACAAACGCCTGCATTGCGGATGCCTAAAACTGGCACTGCCAAAGCCCACAGCCAAGCGCCAGTGCACGCCGATGCCTTACCAACCAGTCTCGTTGCACCGCTTGTACACTCAATAGCTACGCCACTAGCTCACCTTGCAGTAGCCATTCTCAAGTTCCCGGATGCCTGTGTCACTGGTCTCAAATTGGATGACAAAGAAGATGTTGCCCTTGGTACCACCATCGGAAACCAACCCGGTCTTCACGGTCATCAGGTACTGGTACATGCTGTCCTTTGGGTTGTCCTTTAAAGGCAGGAGCTTCCACTGTGAGTAAGATTGAGTACAGCGCAGACCGGAAGTTATGACTAAATTCCCACTTGATGCAGAACTTTGCAGTTAGACCTTATTCATCAACATCAGCCATGTTCTATCTACTCCTGAAGGTAGGCCTCCCCTAGCTGTCAGAGCGACGTGGACACAGGGTGACTACCAAGCATATGGGGGGCTCTTCTTTGTATCACTTTTGATTCTCCAGTTTAAAAAAGAGAACGACGGACAGCCGTTGCGTAATAAATCAACATTAAATGAGAGTAGCGAGATGCATCTTGGTGATCACAAGACTGGATAAGTTTACAAATGGAGAGATGAGGAAGAAGCTAAGTGGGGTACCAATCTCAGACAAGCTGCCAGAAAGTTGATTCGGATGGCTAAGGGGGTCGTGTCGTAACAAGATAAGAAACCCACAAGGTGAGGCATATTGAGGCATCAGAGCAGACATCAAGAGGATGGGGAGTAGATGTGAAGGTGGATATGACACGGGACAGGAGAGTGTGATGAAATACCCCTTTTCCACTGGCGAACCTGAGCCGAGCCTCCTTAATGTCTTTAACTGCACCAGGTCGGCTCAGTATGGTCTCAGCACCGCTCAATCAGTGGGAAAATTACAGGAACAAGAAGAGTTTGATAGCAATAGACAAAATACCAACCGCGCGCTTGTCTTGGCGATCACATCGGCAGAGGATGACCACCAGAATAAGGTAGACGATCGTCACAGTGACGATGGTTGCAAACACGGCACCGTTTGATTTTAGGTCGAACTTGGTGAACACGGTGTTGAACTCGATGGAGTTTGGAGGAACGAAGAAAGAAGCCCCGATGAAGAGAGGCTCCAGTATGGTGGGCGGGAAGCCAGGGATGTTCTGTTCCGCCATGCAAATGATGTTTTCTGGAGTTGAGTCACGATGCGGCTGCACACAAAGACAGCAGAACTAAAGCTTTCAGATTTCTGGGAGGCTCAACTAGGACTTGGGTTGAGCTGGTAGCTCCATCCCACCTTTTTATAGCCACTCTCACTCAACGGCTAGCCCCACCCATATATTGAGTGGCCTCCTCCATACTCTTTTTGACACAGACCTCAATTATACCATCAAACCTGTCCACGACTCGAGTAGCCCCGCACACTTATGAAGTGGCCCCGCCCACCACTTTTGCAGCTCCACCCACTATGTGGTAAGCCCCACCCACCACTCAAGTAGCTCCTCCCATTACTCAGGTAACCCCACCCTTCGCCTGCATCATGTGAGGAAGCATGTTCATCTTGAGACTTTGAAGTAGAGGGCGTTTAGAGCAAGGAAGCAGAATTATCCAGATAAGCAGACCAGAGATGTGGGAAGAGATACCATTCAATCCACATGGTGACACTGAACAGAGTCAGCCATAGGCAGAAAAGATTATAAAATTATTCAGACTGGATTTGAACAAGGGAAAGGTCTCAGCAGTATGGACATCCAGAAGAAGAACATTCCTAACAATATGAGCAGTAGTATAAAAGGAAAGGAAAATAAGTGTCACTAAAAATGTTAGCCTTCCGGAGAATTATTAATATGTCCTATATAGAGAATCAATAAACATGGAAGTCCTGGAAAGAACAGACATAAAAACTGAAGGTTACGGAGTCAGGTCAAGAACAAGCAATATATGACCAGGACGAATGGTGACCAACAGCAATGGATGGTGATGGAGGGAACACTGGAAGGTGCTAGGAAAGAGGAACACCACGATCTGAGTGTACGTCAAACATCAAACAATGGACGGGATGGAAGCCGTCTCAATTGACGGGATGGAAGACGCAGAGATGGACAGACAGAAGAAGAGAGAGAGCACAGCGAGGAGACACCAGTGAAGGAAATGGGCAAGCCCCAAGGGCCCACAACGCCAAGGCACCAGAAAAATAAGTAGAGAAGGTTTGACCTCGCACAGAATGAAGGTTGATTGAGTATTTGACAAAAGGGTTTGGTTGCCAGAGAGCAGAGTAGAGCAAGTTGAACAGAGAGAGGTAGAAAGGGGCACGTCCAAGGAAGACTCTTGAAAATAGCGGGGACAATTCTAAGTAGATTTGGGATTGGATTGGGAGCCAGTTGAGGAATCTAAGTTCTAGGGTAATGTGGCCGCGTGCACGGATGTAGGCGAAGGAGGTGAGGGATGTGGGGATGCCACAGAAGAGAGGTGCAGTCATCAAGATGCAATGGATGTGGGTCTCAGCAGCAGAAGGGGTGAGGAAGCGGTGTTTGCAGGAGATATTGCGTAGGTGGATGTATGAGGTCCTGCAAACCGTCTCACCTTCATCAGTCCGTACACCCACTTGTCGGACGCTTTGCTCCAAGTCTTGCACATCAAGTTGTGGATGCTCATCCGTGTGTTCGGTGGGGCGTTTTCTGATTTGAAACACAAAGGAAGCATTTTCAACAACTGATTGCCCTGGAAATGTTACATTATACAGTACCCTAGGAATGAGGTATAGACAGATTAGTGAAAATGTCGGATATGTGAGCATCTATAACCGAATAGTTTTGGGGGATGCCTGTAGTCCACCACTGTGGTGGAAAGGGTTGGTGGATCACACAAATGTTGTGAAACGTCCTTGCTGAGGTTGTCGAGGTGCCTTATGTATCAACTTCCGGGGAGAGGGGACGCTGGCGCGCATGCCACTGTTTTTACTCACACCTTGCTGTGGGCATAGCATAAAGGTCGTTTTACTTTTTTTTTCTTATATGTGTAGGACTCGTATTGATGCGACAGCTTCTTTGTCTTCTCGGTTCTTGATTAACTCGTATAGTTTCACATCTCCTCCGTCGGCATCACTCAATGTCCCTCCGTACTCTTCAATCCACAGCTCCTCATCAACATCACTCAATGTCCCTCCACTCGCTCGCTCCGCTGGCTTCGCTCGCTCTCCTTCTGCTCCTCTCCTCCAGCGACTCTCCACTCTGCTCTCTGTCTCTCCAGCTCGGTCGCTCTTTGTTCTCTCTGCCGTCTCACTCCGTTGTAGCTCTCTCCCTCAATGTCCGTTACTCCGCTGCTATCCTGCGCTGTACTCGCTCCGTCCACTGCTACTCTATCTGTACTGCTACTGTACCCTGTATTCTCTTGTCCACTGCTACCTTATACTATACTCTCTTTGTCCAATGCTACCTTATACTATACTCTCTTTGTCCACTGCTACCTTATACTATACCCACTCTATCTCCTGCTCCGTCTCTCCATCCATTCGTCTGTCGTCCCAGGCACCAACTCCCGTTTCTCCCCACGCTCTCCGCCTTTATCCCTGAACCAATTCCCCTTTATTAATCGGACCATCCTCCGCTTTGCTACTCGCCACCAGCCCCCATTCCCACGTGGTGTTGTTGTTGTAGACATCGCGGCGCCAATTTCAGACACCCATACCTCTCTTCCAATCACCGGCCTGCGTCCTCGATTACCCCTGGCCACCTGCAGGCCCCCCTTAATTACCCTGCCACCTTAATTGGTACAACAACAAGAGTAAGTCACTCCGCGCCCTGTGTCCCCGTTTGCTTTCACTGTCCTGCCGTGTGCACGCATCTCAAGCCAACGCGTGACACGTATTTCTCAAGTCCTACATATGTATTAAAGTTACTCACTTAAGGCACGGAGTTCGTTAACGTCCATAATTTGTCCTTTTTATGCCTCACAGAGACGCGCCAACAGCAAGGCGATCAAGCAGGCCTTACCAAGTAAATACAATTTTTAGGACAAGCCTAATTTTACTGGTCATGGCGGAGGCCTTTCCGTGTTACACCGCTCTTCTGCCACCCTTCGTCCTGCCCCCATGTCAGAATTCCAGTGGTTTGAGCACCTCCTACTTGAATGTTACGCTGTCCAGTCTTTGACAATTCTGCAGCTCTTTTACTGCTCACCCAGGGCCTCTACCTCCTTATTTGAGGATTTAACCGAGTTTTTTTCTGTGATGTGCTCTGCCTCCAATAGAATACTGCCCCTGTGTGATTTCAATAATCACATAGACTCACCAATATTTTACTATTGTAATGCGAGCAAGGATTGAGGGGGGGTGGAGTCTGGGTCACGTGGGGAGTGGGTGGAGTTAGGGTCACGTGGGGGAGAGGATTTAGGGAGAGAACCGGAAGGGGAAAGGGGAGTTGAGACGGAGTGAAATACGGGGAGGCCACGCTGGGCAAGACGGAGAGTGTGGCGCGGTTGCCACGCGGTGGGAGACGTCGACACCGACGGCCATCGGTGTCAGACGCTAGAGAGCTAACGGGGCAGTGAGAGGCTAGCTGTGGAAGGGGCAGCAGTGACGCTAGAGAGCGGGGCAGCGGTGTGGCTGCAAGGATCGCCTGACGGGGCAGCAGAGAGACTGCATATTGGAACAGCAGGGAGCCTGCATAACGGAGCAGCGGAGGGCTGTGGAGAGGTCGTCGAGCGGGACACGGGACTGAGCGAGACGGCGTGGTACGGAGATTCTATGAACCCAGTAAAGGACAACGGAGATCGACATCTGAGAGAGAGTCCTTTATTACACTATGATACCAACCCACGTGTATAATTTTTTTTATGTTTCTTATTTACATTCTTATTTATGCAATATAACCCCAAAAAATGGTATGATGAATATTGATCGCGAAAGCCGAAGTGTTAACATTTCTTATGCTATCTGTGTGTGTCTATATTGTGCCACTTTGAACAAACACAAATCCATATTTTTCACACTACGTTTACAAATCCTAGTTACAGGCACAACAACAAGTATTATGAAGAAATAATAGGTTTTACCTTTTCTGGCAATAAAACAGGTGTTAAGATGTTCAAACACCAATTAGAAACGATTAGCAAGGAATCATGTCTACATTAACCACACGTACTCGTGGTGAACATGCAAACAAACATGCTCTAAATATATCCATTGTCTTTGAAACTGATTGGCCTACACCAGAGACAAGCCTTTCTTAGGGTCTTGTCTCACCAGTGTCAGACCAGAGAACGCCAAAAGGCGAACAGTACTAAGACTATGCACTATCAGAGCATTTATAGCTCGGGGTGAGCAGCTATAAAATGGGACCTTTTTTGGATGTAACCGAGTATGTTAACCACAATATTCAAAACACTGATATGCTTATGTGCACTATAAAATGAAACGTTTCTCCACTGGCCTCGAAGACCAGCCGAGCAACAGGCGCCCCTAGCAATTAGTGGGCTTCCAGGAGGTCACGGGAGACCACCAGAGAAGCTGCTGATTAAGGTGAGAATGAGAATGACAGAGAGGAATTAGTGACCGAATGAAGGAAAAATGAAAGAATGAATTAGTGGAATGAGTGACTGAGACAAACGAGTAAATGAGAGAGGGCTGAGTGGGTAAATGAGGGAGAAATAGGTAAGTCAAGTGACTGTGTAGTTTAGGGGTGTGCTGTAGTTATATGGGATAGTATTAAGTTGTGTAATAAAATGGTGCAGTAGTGGTATAGTGTGTACTATAGTGATGTAATCTAGTGGGGTAGTGTCTTCGTGCAGTGGTACAGGGTGCAGTGTTGTTGCATGGTGTAGTGCAATTGTGTGCTGTCGTGGTGGGGTGCAATGTAGTGGTGTGGTGTAGTTAGAGGCCGTCCATAAATGATGTCACGCGATTTTGGACGATTAATCACAACAGATTTAACAAAAACAGAGGTGTGCAGCACTGCATGCACAGAAGCTCTCAGCCTTTTCCATATGTGGCACATTAGGAATGGATCACTCTTTTAAGTGTGTCCTTGTGCAGCAAGGGAGTAAAGTGTGGTTCTGTGAAGGTCATGATGTGCTGTACAATGCATCAATGCATGTGTGTACAGCAGCATGTAATGTCTGAGTCGGGCCTGTAGGTGGCTGGCAGGGTTAATGAATAACCGCACGTGTAAACCAGCCACATGGTTAATGGCGCCTTGGAAGATTTGATGCTAATAACACGCGCTGTTGCATTTTACAGGTAAAGGACCCAAAGGTTGTTTTTGATCGTTATATAAATGTTCTAGATTTGTTCTAGACTTGTTTTAGACTTTAAGCTTGGCTTAGAATTGTTCGTTTGTGATATATGCAATTAGAGGCGTTTTAGCACTGTGCACTGTAAATGGATGACGCACTGTAATGAGTTACTGTCATTGTAATTCTCTAACTCTAATACTGTTTAGTCTATAACCATGCCCATGTACCCAGAGTATGACTACTTGCAATGCTATTGAGCATAGAACACATGTAAAGTAGTAAGCTGTACAATGGTGATATACAGTACGTATGTAATAAAAGGACTCAGACACTTCTCTCTGACTCCGTGTCCTTTATTTGGGGTTCGCGTTCTCCTTCCCACACGGCACTCCTCCTGAGACTCTCTCCCTGGCAGCCCCACATCTGCCTTCGCTCCCGTAGCCTTCCACGCTCCTGCAGCTCCGCTGCAGGCTCTTGGTACAGCCCTCTGGCTGCTCCCCCAGCAGCTCCATCTCTGCTCCCTGTTCCTCCGTGCGTGGCGATCTCGCCACCTCCCAATGTCAGCCCTTCGTGGCCTCTATGGCTATCTCGCCATTTCCTACCTCAGCCCTTCGTGGCCTCTGTGGCTATCTCGCCATTTCCTACCTCAGCCCTTCGTGGCCTCTGTGGCTATCTCGCCACTTCCTACCTCAATCCTCCACTCTCTCTTCCACCCCGCTGGCTGGCGCCGTCATGAGCCCCTCAGCCACCAGGCTGAGGCACGGCGACCACCCAACGTGTTCACCACCCTTCACTCCCCCGACTGCCCAGATAGCTTCCTGTCTCCCCGCTATAACTTCTCCCCCACGTCACCCTGACTCCTCCCTCTCGGATCGTCATATCCGCCCCGCCCATTTGCGCCCGCATTACACTACCCTCCCCCGTAGAGAAAATCCCAGCCGTCCTCGGCTGAAACAGAACAAAATAATGCGGGCGAAGGCATCACAATCAGGAGTCCCCCAGACACAACGGAGATTATAACAACAACAACACAAGCAACGAAAGGGGAGGTATCAGGAACTGGAACAGAACACCGGCCTGTCCTCCGCGCAACATCAACAAGAATAAGAATGGCACAATGAACAAAACGGCAACTGACACGCAAGAACGGCCAACGCGCACAACCCAGAAATGTGATGTTTTAGTGCGTGTCCATGTTGCAGTTCCATCCGCTCGGCTCAAGTCCAACGTCAAAGAGCAAGTGGTAGAGCAGAATGACGAACGGCGCTCAATTGCTCCTTCAAGTCCTCATCCAGCTAGCACACCAGGTAACACCCAGTGCGACGGGAGCTGAAGAATCTGTGACGAGAAGGAGAATCCAATCCCCTGAGGCACAGCACAACAACACACATCCGCATGTCGTACCCGACAGCCACCCGGCCTCAGGGTAGTGGAGATGATGTAAATCCAGCCCACTTAAAAAACTCCCCATAAATACCCAAAATAACGCAATGGATGCCCCAGTATTTACATTTTAACAACAATATTATTTACACGTGACAACAACAACAACAAAATTTCCTGCTCTTACCCACCAGCAGTCCTCCCTTGAGGACCAGCACAGACATCGCACGTACACAGCATGTACCCACGGTCACTCTCAGCAACCCAACAAAACACCTAATCACACACCCTCGCGTGGAGAGAGCCACGCTCCCCAGCGGTAACGTTTAACTCGCCCTAACCCCCACCGTGGTCGTCAACCCACAGCAACATCCACTGACCATACTCTCAGCTAGTGCAATTTCGGGGATGAGCAGCAACTCGGCCATGCTCCTCCCTTACTATCCCATCAGAGATGGACACACACCAGCCTCGTATAGTCCGATGCTTTATAGCCCAGGGAAGGTTCATCCCCCAGCAATGCCAGACCCCCTGTACTCCCCCCACGGGGCAATGTTCTCTTATAGAGACAATAACACCCTAACCCAGATCCCGTGAGCCCCCGGCACACCAGGTTCAGTCTGCCCCCGCACAACTGAACCATGACTCCCCGAGCCATATGAGCACATGGCCCATTAGTTTAAGACATACCACGGAGGTTTCGCCTCCGGGCTGTCAGGTCAGCCATCAGCCATAGGCCGATGTGACCACAACTCGTGCATCACCCAATCAACAATGGCAGGCATAACAGATGGAATATTTGCCCCACCCCGGTTTTTCCCGCGCGCTCAAAAATGGCGTCCCCCTTCGCCCAGCGCGTTCGCGCAATCTCTCGCGCGTACTCAAAATGGCGGCCCTTTCCGCAAAGCGCATCGTCGCCATACCCCGCGTGCGCGCAAAATGGCGGCCCAACGTGCGAACACGTGGCCAGTTTTCTCCATTCGTGCACCCCAGCTTCCCTTAGCTGGGGGTCACAAGACGCATCCCCCGTCACGTTATAACAACCCCACCAACGATAGACGCACAGCCCCAGCTTGCTGCGCACAGCTGTCATATCGTGGAATTTTTAACCAATATTTTACCAACCACATTGGTTACACAACCCAACTCGCCAAGCAACTCGTGGTTGCATGCGATCAACCGAATACGCGACGCCACTTGGCGCCAATTTACGATCCCATTAGCATTAACATCTAAGCCACCCACAACGGCGTCATCGTGCACCCTCATTTTCAAAAAGCTCAATTACCCCTATAATATACACGCAATCTCGTGTGCACAACACCCATACAACCAAATTTTTGGGTCCCCCTCTATAATATACACGCAATCTCGTGTGCACAACAACCATACAACCAAATATTTGGGTCCCCCTCGAATTTGTTAGCAATTTCCAACAGGTACGCACAATATAATAACAATCTCAATTCCAATAGTCAACCACTGCATCGCACCCCATAACCATACAGAACGGTATAACAGCACATGCAATCAGCATATCGCGATCACACGCGTACATTTAAGCACAATAGCAAGCAGATCTGCAGGCAACCAACACACCATTAATCCTGTCGTAACTTTGCAGCAACAACACAATTATTCTCTCTCTTGCAACAATCGCATCGCACACAGCACCTCGCAGCACAATACACCAAAAAAAATATTTTTTTTTTCCAATTAAGCCCATCACACAAGGTAACCCACAAATAATACAGCGCAAGATACCCGACGCTCCCAAGTTAATAATTAACTTCACCATCAAGATAACAACTCCACGCAGCAGCGCACACACACAATTTGACACTCAGCAAATACAGCCGACTCTCCGTCCATTCTCAACACACGCACACACTTATATTAACACCAAGCAACAAGCAGATAGCGCGTTCATCGTTATTACACACACATACACACAGTCCGAACTGCGCTCCGCACAATCGAGTCATAAGAGAAAACCAAAATAGCCCCCCGGCCCTCGAAAGATGAGTGAGGTGTGTGTTAAGGCCGGGTGCGTATCGTTATGACTCGCCCGGGGCTGCAGCAAGAAGAGGACGGCAGGGTGGCAACTTGAGACGCCTCGCAGAACTCGTTCGGCGACTTGACGGCTCCGTTGTCACGCACCCGAGCCAGGACGGGAAGCTCCCGCCCCAGCAGCTGCAGCATCGGCGTCTTCTCCTCGCAGCACCCCCTCGAAAAACAGCAGCTCACAGCAGGCTGCTCACCCCGCGGCACCTCCAGATGGCAGCGCAAGGCTGCCTCTCCGCCGTGATGTTGAAGATGGCGGCGTCCTCCCGCCGCGGTGAAGACAAGATGGCGGCTTCCCGCCGTTTCTCCCCTGCCACGCCCAAGATGGCGTCTTCGTGCCACGTGGCAATGGCGCTGGCAGCGCAGGAAAGGCAGAGGCCTGCGGATCACCACCGGGCCTCCCCGACGTCGTCCTCGGCGTGGTGAACTCACACAGTTGCGCCAGCACGATTTTCAAGGTCCCCATCTGCATCGCCATCTGTCTCCATCGTAAGTTGGCGTCCTCCGGCACAGACAGGTCCACCGACGCGGCGACACCTTGCTCACCCGGACCCGTACTCGTTCCAGAACGGATCTCCTCTTCCATCGCAGGCAGGTCCACCGTCTGAGGAAGGTCGTCGTCGTCGGATGATGTAGCAGGAATATTCTTTTTTTTCTTCTTTCTCTCAGTTGTTTTGAGATGCCGTTTCACTTCTGACTCCAGTGTAATAAAAGGACTCAGACACTTCTCTCTGACTCCGTGTCCTTTATTTGGGGTTCGCGTTCTCCTTCCCACACGGCACTCCTCCTGAGACTCTCTCCCTGGCAGCCCCACATCTGCCTTCGCTCCCGTAGCCTTCCACGCTCCTGCAGCTCCGCTGCAGGCTCTTGGTACAGCCCTCTGGCTGCTCCCCCAGCAGCTCCATCTCTGCTCCCTGTTCCTCCGTGCGTGGCGATCTTGCCACCTCCCAATGTCAGCCCTTCGTGGCCTCTATGGCTATCTCGCCATTTCCTACCTCAGCCCTTCGTGGCCTCTGTGGCTATCTCGCCATTTCCTACCTCAGCCCTTCGTGGCCTCTGTGGCTATCTCGCCACTTCCTACCTCAATCCTCCACTCTCTCTTCCACCCCGCTGGCTGGCGCCGTCATGAGCCCCTCAGCCACCAGGCTGAGGCACGGCGACCACCCAACGTGTTCACCACCCTTCACTCCCCCGACTGCCCAGATAGCTTCCTGTCTCCCCGCTATAACTTCTCCCCCACGTCACCCTGACTCCTCCCTCTCGGATCGTCATATCCGCCCCGCCATTTGCGCCCGCATTACACGTATACTGTACACATACAGTACATATAATGGGTGTAAGATACCGCTAGAAGTGGATGGTATAGATAGACATACAGCTTAGGAATAAAGTAATATTCGAATAGTGATGTGCAAATGTGATTGTCAAAGACAAAGATGGTTTATCAGCAGTAGAATTGGGTTTAAGAGGCAGGGTTAATGAATAACCGCACGTGTAAACCAGCCACATGGTTAATGAAGGTTTGCTGCGTGTAACACGCGCTGTTGCATTTTACAGAGTGACGGTGCTGTTCTTCCCAAGATTCATATGAACCACAATAAATAAATGTGCTTGCCCTCGATTTGGAGCATCTGCCCACGTTCCTTCATCTCGAGTGTGCAACACATACCACCAGCTTAAAATAACTGAATGTGTGGTCAGTTTGTTGTTTTAGACCACTAACCGGTTGGCTACATTCTCTTAACAATGGCCATACTTCACCATGCTGGTCTTATGGGGTTGTCAAGGTGGGGAGCGGAGACGTTAAAGCAACAATAGAAATTTCGCTGCACTGCCTTGTGCTGCCCATTATATCGGGTCGCCCCACAGCCTTTACTGTCGTAGTAATTATAATAATGCCAATGATATTAACCATGGCCAGGAGTCGAACTCAGGTTTTTGGGCCGATCGTGCAGTATGCTAACCACCTTAATACGCAGCTCCTTTTGGTTTAGGCAAAGGGTGTTTTGGGGAACACGGTTCACGGGAATTTTCTAAGTTGGGATCTGAGAGATTGCTAAGTGAATGGTCTCACCTTGGTATTTGAAGGTCAAGTAGTAGTCACCTATCTTCGTGACGTTGCCTAGCATGCTGAAGCTGTGCGCAGAGCCATTGATCTTTTCCATGCTGCTGTTTGCAGAGAGTGACGGATCGATCCGGAAGTAGAAGTCATCGCTTACAGGGTCCTGTTGTGGGATAGCGCCATATCGGACGTACACCTCTACGGGGGTGGTGACGTTTTCATTCAGGAAGACCTTGAGGAACACCATCGCCCCCAAGGACGTCACCTGAAACTTGACAAAGCTCACCTTCGAAGAGTCTGTGGGATCTTGCATGAAGTTGAGGACCTGCTCATTGGTAGGAGCTGCGTAATTTATCAGGGAGACCCTCATGGAGTTCAAGCTGATCGTGTTGTTATCGAGGTGTGTTTGGAAGCCGATCACAGAGCTGCTGACAGAAGTCGTTTGGTTCCAGATGAATGGGCTCTTGCGGAACGCCATGATCTGTAATGACGAAGCACACATCACCAATTGCCACATACATTTTATTGAATAATTTCAAGGCCTGTTTGTGCAGCAAGCCTTACACATGTAGGGCTTACGCGACAACCCAAATTCTAGCCATGGTGCAAGACAGACGATGATGCGTATTGTTGAAGACTGTGTCCGCTAACCAAGGATAGCGGTGTCTGAGGACAACACCACCACATGCTGCAAATAATAAAGCTGCAGTCTGGCTCAGCGCAAACACATGCACTAAATTATAACAATTATTATTCAATGCATTGCAAAAGCTGATTATCGGTTGCAGCTTTCCATGTCCACCAGTCATTACTATCATATAGCACTTATGACATTATCCTTCTGTATTTATTGTCTGCAACATAGCGGGCAGTACTTTCCCAGCCACTCTGCCAAATCACAGGGGTGTCGAAGTGGCATCTGCTTCTGTGGGCTATTCTCTAGCTCGGAGAGCACACCGTGCCACGAGGTTTGAATGGACACTTTGTCTTAGGGGCCGTCCATAAACGACGTCACGCGATTTTGGCCGATTTTTGACCCCCCCTCCCCTCGTCACACGGCGTCACAAAAAGTCAGACCCCCCCTCAAATATTACATCACAAAGCTCTGCCCCCCCCCCCCCAAATATATAAAACCTGCTTAAAATCGCTTTAAACTATTGTCATTGTAGTGCGTATTTAATGTACCGCTGCACTCTGATGTTGTAGGGGAAAAGGTTTATCAAAAAGTATATTTAATTAAGTAGAACGTGTTGTCTCTATTTATTTAAAGTTGCGCATTTTGATGTGATGTCACATTTCTCAAACCCCCCCCCCTCGTCACACATCGTCACAAATGTCTGACCTCCCCCCCCTATGTGCGTGACGTAATTTATGGACGGCCCCTTATGAGATGGACGCCGACAGCACAACCGGCATAAACTTGTGGCAAAACAACAAGGTAAAAGCACAAAAAGAATTGCGTATTGACGACAAAAAATGCCATACCTGGAGAGCGAGGGCTTTCATAGATTTGGCAGTGATGTTTGGCTTTGCAGTGCCCAGGCTGAGCTGGCCATAGTCTGTATTTAGCCCCACGCTGCTGTTGGTTTTGGCGGGCAACGTGTTTGTGAGCACCGTGAGCGTGGGCGTGTGAGCCATGATGGGTTTGCCAGCCGGAACTTCCTTGCTGTTCACGACGCTGCTGTACGTCATCATGTTGCTATAGGTGCCGTAAAACCCGTTTCTGGCCTGGGAATGGGAGTCACAGTCATAGGGATATCTTGTCAGGCCACGTGTGAGTGCGGTCATGGGGATGTCCTGTGAGTTATCTATCAGAATCTGAAATACGTGTAGAGAGGTGTGCGTTATATGAACCCCGGCGACCTCAGTTTGATTCCGGGCCAGGGATAACGTCAGCGACGGGTGATATCTGAAACCTATCCTGGTGGCCCACTTCCGACAAGAACCCATACTGATCAACTATTCGTCAATTCACTGCTGGATGAAGGCCTCCCCATGCCGTGTTGGTTATGGGGGTTAAATGATAAAAAAATGTCACCACACTGATCATTTTGGGTTGGTAAAGGGGACACCTAGGACCAGTTCAGATATTGCTTGGCACTGATGTTAGCCATCGGTAAAAATTTAACTCAGGTCGCCAATTTCATTCGCCCAGTCAGCTCACCACTGTGTCATCGATGCACTGACATGCCCAATGATGAATAAGAATATGCTTTACCATTTCCGTAAAGGGTACAGGAGGTGTTAGGGTGTTCATACACTAAATGGACACCTATCACAAGGCATCAAGTCTGCATTAACTACACATGCTTATGGAAAAACATGCAAACAAAAATGTTTTCATTATGTATACATTGTTGTTGAAACTGGCCTACACCAGAGACAGTCTCCTTTATGGCCTTGTTTAAAAAACAGAACACTAATTATATATAACCATCCTCTCGGTTGAAATTCTGTCTGTGTCTGTATCTATGGATGGTTTCATGAACGAATCTTTGTTGATAGCCAGTAGGCTTGCAAAGTACCATCGTCTTAGAGAAATCAATTTCGTGTGAGCTTTACAGTCATTCACTGGTAAGACTACTTCTTCGGTACTTAATTCAGCTCACCTGGTATCGTCAATTAAATACATCTCATTGTCCCCCGGTGATTACTCGTCAGTTTCGATGTCGTTTCTTTGTTTACCAAAGCTCCTGTGCCCGATACCATTGCAATCAAGAAGATTTGGCCCAACAAGAATTGAATGCTGATGTACCGGCCCTGGTGAGAAACTGCCTCACCAATATATACTTCACCTGGAATGGAACATTCTACAAACAAACTGAAGGCACCCCAATGGGTTCTCCCTTATCTGTGGTTGGAGCCAATATTTTCATGGAAATATTTGAAACAGATGCCATCCAGGCACCACTCTACGCCCGTCCTTGTGGAAGAGGTACGTGGATAATACGTTTGTCATCTGGCAACATGGCCGACCGGCTTTAAACCAATTCCTCAACCACATCAATTCCATACACCCAACCATTAAATTCTCCATGGAGGTAAAAAAGAAAGGCATGCTACCTTTCTTGGATGTCCTAATTAAAAAGAGAACAGATGGCTCAATGAGCTATTCTGTCTACAGGAAAGTAACCCATACTGACGCCTACCTAAAACCTGATTCCCACCACCATCCATACTAGAAGAACCCCCTCATCAAAACACTACACCATAGAGCTCAATGTATCTCCGACCATGAACACCTAACCAGTGAACTCAAACACGTACACCAAGCTCTCAAGGCGAATTGATATTCTGACTACACAATCGGAAAAGCCATCACCCCAACCATGAGAAAGGAGCCATCACCCCAACCGTGAGAAAGGAGCCATCTGAGGATCCAATCAAAACCATCACCCTGCCATACAAAGCAGGCGAAACAAAAAATATTTTCAAAATCATGAACAAACACAAGATCCAGGTCTGATTTAACACAGTACATAAAATTCTTTATCTGATCCCATCTGTGAAAGACAAGATACCTGATATGCAATATCCCGGCATCTACAAACTAAGCTGTATCTGCGGCAGCAGTTACATTGGGGAAACTAAGGGACATGTCTTGGACCGTGAACATAAGGCAGATTTGAAACATGGTCGGACCAATACTTCTGCCGTGGCTGATCATTATTTAAATGCGGCTGGCTTACACGAAACTGATTTCTCTAAGACGATGTTACTTTGCAAGCCTATTGGCTATCAACAAAGATTCGTTAATGAAGCCATCCACATATCCAGACACAATTTCAACCGAGAGGATTGTTATAAACTCAGCAATCATTGGAAAGATGTTATCAACCACTTTGGGTCATGACTTGACTTGTCTTTTCTTGTCAATCAACCTCAACCATCAGCAGTTTGGTGTGTAGAGCGGGGTGCAGTGATTTTCTGGCTGCATTGGCATTGCTGCTGCATTGGCAATACTGGTGCTGCTTCATTGGCATTGCTGGTGCTGCTGATACACTTTGGCTACGCCCATCTCAAAACCTTTATAAACAGTGTGCCTTTAGAGGCTAACCCCTTTTCCTGATGACGACCGCTTGTGTTGCGATCGGAATGTCGTGATATTCTTATTCACTTTATTATTTATTCTATCTACGTGACTTTACCGAAAGAACCAAAGAATATTAATTCCTGCAGTCACGAAAGTTTTAAGTAAAAATGTAACAGAACACTAAATGGTGAACAGTACAAAGACCATGCAAATATCAAAGCATTGATATCTCTGGTCGAGAAGATATATCTACGGGACACTTTTTTTCATCATCTTGATACTGGAAAAAAGGGGCCCATTGACATGCCCACTATTCTACAAGTGAGAACATTGCCTTCATGTGCCACTTGTGCGCCACCTATCTCCTTTGCTATGTTCTGATTCATATCTGTACAACTGAAATGCACACCTGCAGCTCGTTTGTCAATCCACTGCTGGACTAGGGCCTACTCACACCACGATATTGTGGACGGATATAGGACCTCACCCCACCATGCTGGCCAGTGTTGGTTTGAGGTGGAGAACATATCACGTTAATGCAGATGTGGGAGCATACAGTATACGTACAATACAACAATGAATGTTGCTGCAATGCCCTCTGTTGCTCACCACACAGCCCCACAGCAGCACCAGCAGACTGTAGGAACCTGCTTATGCATGGTGGCCACCTATCCAAGCACAACTCAGGCTCAACCCTGTTTATCTTGCTTGATTTGACAAGATTTGGTGCACTGCGTGCGATTTGTTCATAGGCAGTGCTGACTTGCTGATCTTGCAAAGTTTCCGATCTTGACAAATGAGGGCCGAGTTGAGCCCGGTCAGTACGTGCAATTTCTCTCTAGGGAACGAGAGCTCTGCTGCTTGGCCAAATTAGGGCAGTACTGCTAGACCAACAATTAGGGCTGCTGCAATTTCAGTTTTCCCCAATGTGATAAGTTACGATTTTAAATGTTAAGTTCGACGGTTATCACAATACGAATTTCCCACAACTGTATTTGAAATATCTCTCTTCTCGTTAATTGAACTTTGATAAGCTTAAAATACGAAAAGGATTGCTCAGTATTTATTCAATAGTTTTCTCATTCTAAATAGCATAAACATTGCAGTGTTACAATCTACAGCGCTGATACAGCACATGCTGTCAGAAAACTATGGCGAAACATGACCACCATGCTGTCAATTTACCTGGACAAACACTTTACAAACCATTTAATGGGTAATCTATATATATATAAAATCGCGAATCTGTCTGTCTGTCTGTGTGTCGCCGGACCATACGCAGTTTCATTGGACGGCGGTTGCCCCTGGCAACGGGTAGCGACGCCTTCGCCGCTTTCATTGGACGGCGGTTGCCCCTGGCAACGGGTAGCGACGCCTTCGCCGCGGGGTGGACGCCATTTTTAATTCCCGTTAAAAATAGACGCACGCATTAACACGCGGCTCTGAGGTAAATTCATCAAAGTTTCACGTCCTCTTCACTCCCCCCCCCACCACAATGTGTGCAATTACTATTATAGGGTCGGTAGATTATACAATTATAGCGATTAGACAGTATTATTGTAGCGCTGAGGGGGGGGGGGGGGACGGCACCCGTACCCAGCCTCAGCCGGGTGGGCAATTTAGGCGAGGCCGGAGGCTCTGCACGGTGCTAGGCCTCGACACCCACCACGCGACTCTGAGGTAAATTCATCAAAGTTTCACATCCTCTACAGAGTGGTGAGGAAGGGAGAGTGGTGAGGGAGGGAGAGTGGTGAGGGAGGGAGAGTGGTGAGGGAGGGAGAGTGGTGAGGGAGGGAGAGTGGTGAGGGAGGGAGAGTGGTGAGGGAGGGAGAGTGGTGAGGGAGGGAGAGTGGTGAGGGAGGGAGAGTGGTGAGGGAGGGAAAGTGGTGAGGGAGGGAGAGTGGTGAGGGAGGGAGAGTGGTGAGGGAGGGAGAGTGGTGAGGGAGGGAGAGTGGTGAGGGAGGGAGAGTGGTGAGGGAGGGAGAGTGGTGAGGGAGGGAGAGGGGTGAGGGAGGGAGAGTGGTGAGGGAGGGAGAGTGGTGAGGGAGGGAGAGTGGTGAGGGAGGGAGAGTGGTGAGGGAGGGAGAGTGGTGAGGGAGGGAGAGTGGTGAGGGAGGGAAAGTGGTGAGGGAGGGAGAGTGGTGAGGGAGGGAGAGTGGTGAGGGAGGGAGAGTGGTGAGGGAGGGAGAGTGGTGAGGGAGGGAGAGTGGTGAGGGAGGGAGAGTGGTGAGGGAGGGAGAGTGGTGAGGGAGGGAGAGTGCTGAGGGAAGGAGAGTGGTGAGGGAGGGAGAGTGGTGAGGGAGGGACTCAGCCTCAAAACAAGTAACTGGTGTGGCGTATTAACATCGCCACTGGGGAGACAAAGGCGGCCGGGCGTGGTGGATACAAGTCCCGGGCGAAGCCGGGTAGTACAGCTAGTCTATATATATATAAAATCGCGAATCTGTCTGTCTGTCTGTGGGTCGCCGGACCATACGCAGTTTCATTGGATGGCAGTTGCCCCTGGCAATGGGTAGCGACGCCTTCGCCGCTTTCATTGGACGGCGGTTGCCCCTGGCAACGGGTAGCGACGCCTTCGCCGCGGGGTGGACGCCATTTTTAATTCCCGTTAAAAATAAGCGCACGCATTAACACGCGACTCTGAGGTAAATTCATCAAAGTTTCACGTCCTCTTCACTCCCCCCCCACCACAATGTGTGCAATTACTATTATAGGGTCGGTAGATTATAAAATGATAGCGATTAGACAGTATTATTGTAGCACGGGGGGGGGGGGGGGAACGCCACCCGTACCCAGCCTCAGCCGGGTGGCCAATTTAGGCGAGGCCGGAGGCTCTGCACGGTGCTAGGCCTCGACACCCACCACGCGACTCTGAGGTAAATTCATCAAAGTTTCTTGTCCTCTACAGAGTGGTGAGGGAGGGAGAGTGGTGAGGGAGGGAGAGTGGTGAGGGAGGGAGGGAGAGTGGTGAGGGAGGGAGAGTGGTGAGGTAGGGAGAGTGGTGAGGGAGGGAGAGTGGTGAGGGAGGGAGAGTGGTGAGGGAGGGAGAGTGGTGAGGGAGGGAGAGTGGTGAGGGAGGGAGAGTGGTGAGGGAGGGAGAGTGGTGAGGGAGGGAGAGTGGTGAGGGAGGGAGAGTGGTGAGGGAGGGACTCAGCCTCAAAAGGAGTAACTGGTGTGGCGTATTAACATCGCCACTGGGGAGACAAAGGCGGCCGGGCATGGTGGATACAAGTCCCGGGCGAAGCCGGGTAGTACAGCTAGTATATTTTGTATTTTAATTACCACTGTGAACTTTGTTATGAGTTCTAAGCATATAGTAAAAAATAAAACGAGAAAGGATATCCACGATATGACAATATTTTATCAAGTATGACAAAGAGGTTATCGATCGTACGATGTACCGAGGCATCACCACGTTGTACAAACCATAGTTGCTACCGCACCTGGGCAACGCGGGCTTCGTTGGCCTTTGTATCATTCGTAGAGGCAGTGGCGAAGCTGAGGGCCATCGATTCCAAGACGTTTGAAGCAACTGACGTCAGAGCTTAAAACACAAAATAGCATCGGTTAATCCATGAGCCTTACACCAAGACACTTTACATTCCATGAGATTTTGTGTTGATGTTTACACACTGCATCAGATACTTCTTTTAAGGCGAAGGCGACTTAGGGAAATCCCAGGATTATTTCAGATAATCGCCACTTATGTTAGCTGTGACCGGGAATCAAACTCGTGTCGCTCAGTTTCGAGCGCAGTGCTCTAGCAGCAATGCCCACCACAAGCTGCTACCCACCTTTAATGACCTTGGACTTAATGCAACAATCCATTCAGCAGCTCCACATGAGCTGATTTCATGGCTCCATCTCCTCGATGCAAGTCCTCTTGACGCATCAAATCCCCTGGCTGTCACTCTGTTATTATCCTTGACCATCCATCATCCCTTCTGGCCATGGCGCATCCTGCCAAGACCACTTACACCAAAGGGTGTCTCCGTGTCTATGTGTATCTCTCTTTCTCCGCATCTCTTTCTCCGTGTGTTTGTGAGTCTCTCCCATGCGTCTGTCTGGTGGCCTCCTGCCAGCGAGCCTTCAACACTTCACGTGACCTCAAAATGCACATGTGCTGTGGTAACATCACCACCAGTTCGTGGCGAATGGCGGTTGTTGTTGCCTGTGAGTGTATATTGCTGTGTGTATGAGGAGCAGTAGTGTTGTCGTTATCGTGCTGCGCTATGAACCCGACGATCTGAGCTTGATTTCCGCTCATGGCCAACACCAGTGACGATTATTTGAATCGGCCCAGGGCCTCCTCTAGGTTGACTCAGCGTAAAAAATAGTACCTGGTGCAGTGTGTAAACATCGTTACACGGGAGATAAAGGCTGCCGGGTGTGGTGGCGGCCGGGTGTGGTGCTGGCCACCCACCACCTCGTGTGTCGTGCCGGCCTTTATAGGTGCTCACTAACAGCGCTTGCTCCTACGGTGATTTATTATTTTATTTTATTTCTATAGTTACTTTTATTAATTTTAATTTAATTTTTTACCTACGTGACTTTACCGAAAAAAACCTAAGAGTATGAATCCTTGCAGTCACGAAAGCTTCAAATCTAGAACAAATGTATCCTATTATCGGAGAAGTGGAACATTTTTGGGGGTAACCCCGTAGGGGATTATAGGATCCATAATACGAGTACCCTCCAATATCAAAACGGATGAGAGGAGTTTTGTAATACGTAAATACCTTGCGCAGCTTTTATGACCTGGGGTGACTTCTCTTGTCCGCAGGCTGCCAGGGCTTTTGAAGCTGCCCCCATGCTCTGAATGGCTGCACCCTGAAGCAAAACATTTAAGAAACACTCTGCAGTCACGAAAGCGCCAAATCAAGTTTATTCAAGAAACACATTTCAATGGAACCATAAAGGCGTTTTTAGGACTCTTAACTCGTAATTGCCTCCAATATGAATCGGAGATATTGCTGTTATTCACAATCTTCAGCTATGATCTATGGTTCAATTAATTACTGTAAATCAAGGGCACGATTCAAGTAAATAATCTGTTCCTTTATTTGACGTTGAAGCTGCAGTAGCTGCACAGGTTATGGGAAAATCATTTTTACGTGTGTATCGTGAACTCAAGAATAATCAGTGATCGATTAATTGATGCATTGTTCCACCCCACTACGATCTACCTTACTCCTGCACACCAAGTGAAGATGTCTCTCGATTCTTTTCTTCTTTCCCTCTTCATATAATCAGATTAATTCTGATCTGCATGCACTAAGTGTACCGTGTATGTGTGTTTAAGCTGTGTCCCTCCAGTAGTTATTTCAATGGCCCACTGACGTGTTTTCTGGTTGTGGCACATATTTAGCACAATGTACAAGGTTTCACTTCACGTGCTGGGAGCTTCTGAGCATATTCAGTTAAATAACGCGAGAACAGATTATCGGAGTGCTTTCTAGCAAATATGCTGACGCTGGGCCAATTTGATAATAGAATTATGGAAGCTCGTGTTGAATTCTTGAATATCGGCCCAACGTCAGCATGTTTGCTGGGTATACAGAACAACCATGAAAACCCATGGAATTGGTTATTTACATGGTTTCTTAAAAAATATTTTAGATATTTTTTACCTAACATGTATCTTAAGTCCAACAGTGATGCTGTTATTGTCACGGACAACATTCACACGTAAAATTACACACCTCGAGGGGTGCCACATGATAACTTTGTTTTTCTGTGTAAACAATAAACTATCAGTGGAATAATACATAGCAACCACAAACAAATGATCACACTCATTTAGCACCACTTTCAAGACACGATTTGCTTCCAGGAGTAAATATGGATCTAAAACGTTTAACTTCACTAATACATTTTTATGGTAATTTAAATTATGGATTTTGTGTTGACCATAGTATGAGTCTCGTCAAGGTCAAGCTTGGTCTAGGGAGGTCCAAGCTTAGTTTTGCAGGTCCGAGTGTATTATTGTATCGTTCAAATTTAGTCAAAACAGGTTCTGGTTTATTATTGTCTAGTTCAGGTTTAGTTTAGACAGGCTCCAGTTTATTATTGTTTAGTTTAAGTTTAGTCTAGTCAGGTTCCGGCTTTTTGCAATCACTCTTATCCGTACATAATTTCCATGAGGTCTGGGATAAGCATGTTAAATTTGATAATAGAATTATGGAAGCTCGTGTTGAAGCCTTGAACCTAAGGCTCATTCAGGACAACAATAGATATTTTTTTTACATATTCTAATTTGTCAATTCTACAAGACAAACACAATGCATTCAAGTGGTACAACCAAAGCCGTGCCCGACCACCTTTGTCTCCCCAGTGCCTATCATTGCATGCTGCAGCAGGTGTTAATTTTAAGGCTGAGGGGGGTAATCAAGGCCGTTTCATACTTCAACACATGTACTACATAAACACCACACCAAGGGGCAATTAAGTGGGTCTGTCCACACAAGTCTGGGGATGACCTCCGAAAGAAGGGAGGATGGCGTTGATGACATCAGGTGCCAGGATGTCTGCGGAGCCGCAACAAAAGGTCAACTAAGACTGAACGGATGAATGCTCGAAGGGCGTGAAAGTGGGAAGACCTTTGGGCGTTTCATTTGTCTTTGGGAATTAATTAAATAAGCTAGAAATGTCTATATAACAGTATACAAAAAAAATCATATTCGTTAGTCTTGCAGGGGCAAACCTCGGGGTTTGGCCCTCGTAATACGTTGGAGCGTTGCAGAGGCAAATGCTCTGAGTCGCTAAGAGTAGCCAAGTGTTTTATATTTTCTTTATATTTTGAGTCACAGAGTCAAGGACTTCAATAAATTGTACTGTACTAAGCTAAGAGTTGTGATAATCTCAGGCGCGTGTTCAAAGGAATGTTCATATTATACTTTGATAAGATAAGAGGTGTGAGAAGTTAAGCGGAGACTTGAGTTATACAGCATTTCGAGTGTTCATGAAAGATTGTCCAAGCTATAGGCTGGAAAAGGTTCCGTTGGTTGAGCCCAGTGACTGACATTGCATGAAAGTTGTGGAGAGGCCGGGAATGTGTGGACACGTGCAGGCTGGTGCACAGCGGGGGATCTTTAAGGGTGAGCGACCAAGGGTGCTCGCAAACCAAGCCACTCCCAAAGCTGTTGACAGGCAGAGTGCTGGACTCGCATGGCCACAGCATGCTCCAGCTGCAGATCGAGCCTGGCGTGCAAACAACCTGCAAGCGTGTGGTGCGGCAGCTAACGGCTGACTGGCAGCGTGCTGATTCGAGAGCCGTGACACACTCTAGCTGTGGATCGAGCATGATGCACAGACAACACTGCGAACGAACAGCGAGCAGTGTGGCCACGAGCGCACTCCACCTGTGGACCAAGCATGCCATTCTACACATCTTTGTGGGACTTGAGGTATATTTCGGGAAGATAGAAGATGAGACATTAGTTTTACCAAGGTCGTAGCCATGGAGTCAACATTGGGGGGGACTAAATCTTCCAGGGTGTCTGGGGGTCCCAACCCAGAAAAATATTTAATTTTGATAACTCATTTCCTGCGCTAAAATATAAAAAAAAAATTCACGAACACATGGGATGGACTTTTTATTTATGATTTACAATGTCTAATAGTGTATTGTATTACATTGCTCTGTTTTTACTTTTTTACCATTTCTTGTTTCATTGTATGTAATGGCAGAGGTTAGGGATTAATAAAGTACTACCATAACCACAACCATATGAACAGAAATCTATACATTCATTTATATGAAGACAAGTCCAGATATTGTGGCCAAGGTTGAGCAAATAGTTGTTTTTATTTACATAGCATAGCAATATTTTTTATAGCAATATATTGGGCGGGACATTTTGAGCATATTTGAATATTGGGGTGGGATGTGTCCCGGGGCTCACCATGGTGAGGGAAGTACAGTCAGTTGTGCAATTGCGCGGCATACAGGAGGGCAAGATGAGTGGGAAGGGACGCCGGGACAGAAGCCCCCAAGACAAAGAGGACACCGCTCACATTTTTCAGCAGGAATAGAGGAACGCCGGGCTGAAAGGGCAGAAGGGGAAGAAGGAATGACGAGGCCAAGATGTCAGGGATGAGAGGGAGATGGTGAGAGGGGTAGAGCGAAGAGGGAGAAGGAAGAAACCAGCATAAGTGAGCTGCACGGAGGAGCAGAATATGTTTTCAAAGGAGCCGGTGGTAGGGAGAGAGGAGGGATTCATAGTGGGGGTGGCCACACACAAATCACGTGATTTATGGGAGGATTGGGCTGATTTAGATATATAGTTATTTTCACGATTTATTTCCTTGCGAGATCGTAATCCAATTATGCTCAGCAGTTTTTCCATTATATCCTTTTCTGTGGGCAGTTCTCTAACATTGTTTGTTGACCTTCCCCGCACGGCTGGCTACGTACGGTGCAAAATAAGTTAAACATGCATACAACATGGGGCGATGTACTGCTATTTACAAGAATTCCACATTTCTTAATCTTGTGACATGATTTAAAAAAAATACATTGATATACTTTTTGTATAATCTCAACATTAAAGGCGACTTCCTGCTTAAATGAGCATTAAGGCAGTGCTCATCTCTAGTTTACAGCCCTGAGCCTTGGGTGGAAATTCCACATACCTATGGCAGAGCTGGTTTATTAACAGGGCAAACCACTGTTGACTTCCCCGAAAAGTGTTTACTCATTTGATCGAAACTGGAGGGATGATGGGCTGAGTGAACCCCAACCACGATTTTAACTCGTGACTTACTGACTGCAAGGCTCTCCCGGTGAGCCGCCAGACTGGCTATGATGGATGCAAGACATCGTTGCAAATTATTGAAACACTGCAACATCACTTGCTTGACAGGCTTAGGCAGCCTGCAGGCACTGCTCACCTGCAGGTCTTCTGTTATTATTGAGTGATCTGACACCAGCGTATCCAGGGTTTCAATGTACTGCTGAACGTCACCCGGTTTGTACAGCTGCGCGCTGCTATTAGTCAGGCCCATCAGTAACGATGACGTGACCTGAGGAGGAAACAGGGAGCGGCATTACGGTAAACTATTGGAAACACACGCAACCACTTTAAACATCGTTACATTGAGGAGCAGTCATGCAATCGATTGTTCTCTATAGAGCCCCTCTGGAGGGTATTTGACCTACTCTTCCAAAGCTGGCCAAATGTCTTGGAAGAGGTGAAAATGGCCACACTTTATCCCGCCATACGCTATCGCCAATAGTGATCAACATTAAATGCTGTAGATTCTTGCAAAATCTTAATTGTCACGGCAACTACTTCTTACACACGCGAGAAATTGCAATTTGAATACAAAGCAAGGTCGTAGCCATGGAGTCAACATTGGGGGGGACCAAATCTTCCAGGGGGTCTGGGGGTCCCCCCCCCCAGAAGAAAAAAAATAAATCTAAATTTTAAAACTAATTTCCTGCCATTTCCTGCCTAAAATATATATATTTTTTACTAACATATAGGATGGACTTTTTCTTTATTTTTTACAATGTCTATTTTATTACATTTCTGTTTTTTCTTTTTGACCTTTTCTTGTTTCATTGTATGTAATGGCAGAAATTAAGGGTTAATAAAGTACAACCATAACCACAATCATATGAACAGAAATCTATTTTATAGCAATATATTGGGGGGGACATTTTGAGCATATTTGAATATTGGGGGGGATGTTTCCCAATATATATTATACTTTCGACCTTGATACAAAGTATGCGAGTTTGATTACCTATGTCCACATCATCCGGGAAGGACCCCGACATCTCATCAGATCCCAGAAGCTAAGCGGCTTTGAGCCTGGATAGTCCTTGGATGGGCGCCCACCGTGCACAGCATCGTAGGACCGGCTGCCGTGCTGCATTTGTAAATATACTGCCATTTTTAGTTATCTCACAGCTCTCACCATTCTCTTTATATAAAACAAGATCGGCGATAATCGGCTTATTAATTGACTAATCGTAATCAGCTAATGTTTTGGTGGTCGGTCACATGCGCCCCTTAAAAATTGGTGGCCGCCCTTACAGCCTTCCCTTTCGAAGGTTGGAAACCCCCACCAAGCCATTCTCAGTGTGACGCGTCCCATGATGTCAGTAATTATAAAATTAGTAATGTCACCGAACCCAGTATTTTTCCGCCAACTATTTGTCTGACTTGGGAATTAAGTGACAGCAAAACGGATTTGCAAAGCGTCGCGTCGGGGGAACTCACCGCAGCAGTGGTGTTGCGATCGGTAATGCCGCTGAGGAGGCTGGAATATACCTGGATCATCAAAACGGCTTGGTTCGTATCAGAAGATTGTATCAAGTATGACAACATTCCATTTGGGGATACAAAGCTGCTCAATGAATTCTGCAAATCACTAACTGCAGGTTTCCGCACCTAGAAAACGTAAGAAACACAAATTAATTATCTGTATTACAAATGCAACGTTTAACAAGACGAATGACTGCTTTATATTGTAAATATGGTCGCACATTTTAGCCAACAGAGCTCCATTACTACTCATCAAATATATAAATGTCCTCACTCTTGAGCACTGGATTGGGCTAAGTCAGGGGTGTCCAAACTGTTTGCAAAGAGGGCCAAATTTGATAAAGCGAAGATGCCCGGGGGCCAACAGTTCCTTCTGACATTTTTTTAACCATAAAAGTTACGTGAAAACACACACTGTTATAAAACAATTTTCATTGTCACAATTACCTTTATTTTTCAAATGACAATGTAACCAAATATAAGCCACTCAGGCAGACGTGAACAACTCTAAAAACACAATTCTGTCTTTCATTCAGTCAGATAACATTGAACAAACTGTATAGAATACCTTAAATTTCCGTGAGTTAAATATCTTTGCCTCATGAACATTTTAAACAGGAGTTATAAGTAATGCAAAGTGGTCTGTTATCATTAAACTTTAAAACAAGTGAATTTTGCCCTTGTCTTTTACACTATCTTTCAGAAAGCAATAGTTTGTGTCACATCTACAGGTACATAACATCAACAGTTATAACCAAATCTTATTCAAGAGTTTAATAAAACAAGTGCCATAAGTCCAAGTGCATTAGTGTGCTTTAGGCTTTTCACTGTTAATAGTGACAGATGTTACCATTCAAAACACTCAATTTCGGATTGATCAAGGAACAGATAACTTGCTGACACTAATGAGAAGGATGATACTGAGATCTAGATTTCAGTAAAGAGACCAGGTCTGGCTTGAGGGCAGTGGTTGAGATGCGTAAAATGTCACACAAGTGGGAGTCACTCATCCTTGACCTCAATCGGTTCTTGTTTGCTCACACAAATATGTGGAGCCGAATAAGCTCAGCATTTTCTTAGCGAATGACCGAATTTCTGGAAACCTGCTTTTGTCCAGCTGCCGGTACAAGTCAACAAGAGAACACTGCTGGTGTTTTCCACGGCACTCATCGTCACACTGCAGCTCAATGAGCTCCAGCTGCAGCTGTGGAGGAGCATCATCAGGGTCCACGGAGAAGGGAAAATAGAAAAGCAACATGTCCTTTTCAATAACTGCAAAGTCCCGAAAGCGTTTGTTAAATTCCACAAAAAGAGATGCGATAGCTGTTGCATAACTCTTCATTTGCGCACCGATGTTGTCCTGTGGAAAACTGTCAATGACCTCTTTCAAAGCTGGGAAGTGCGCGGTGCAGGGCTCTGTTTGGGACAAGTGTCTTTGGAAAAGTTGCAGTTTGGTTCCAAAGGCCTTGATGTGAGCGTATAGCTGGCTCACCACTGCATCTTTTCCTTGAAGATTAACATTCAGCGCATTCAGATGCTTCGTTATGTCAACCAAAAAAGCCTGATTTGCCAGCCATACAGGATCGGACAGTTCTTCCATTGGTTGTCCCTTCTCACCCAAAAAATGTCCAATTTCCTCTTTGAGAGAGAAAAATCGCTGCAATGCAGACCCCCGACTTAGCGACCTCACATCGTTGTGATATATTACGTCACCGTATTCAGCCTGGATGTCACACAAGAACTGCTGAAACTGTCGGTGGTATAGAGCTTTAGAGCGAATAGAATTGATTGCCTTTGCCACTGGTTTCATAACATCGTCAAATTTGAGATGTTTGGCGCAGAGAGCCTGCTGGTGAATGATACAGTGAAGTTTAATAGCGTTACCTGCTTCTTCACTGACTTTATTGCAGATCAGTGTGGACAATCCACTTCGCTCACCAGCCATGGCAGGCGCACCATCGGTAATTATCCCAGAAACTTTACTCCATGGTAGTTTCATATCATCAACAGCTTCACAAACAGAAACCAATACATCTGTTCCTCTGGTTTGCCCTTTAAGGCTTTTGAGGTCAAGTAGCTCCTCTGTTACGTTCCTGTTGTCATCAACTCCTCTTTAAAAAAATAAGTAGTTGTGCAGTGTCAGATGCATCAGTGCTTTCATCGCAGGCTGATGAGAAATAATCAAAAGCCACTCCCCTGTCCCCTAGTTGTCTCTGAATATCTGACGATATGTCCTCAACTCTCCATGCCACAGTGTTGCTTGCCAGGCAAACATTCATAAATTCTTGCTTCTTCTCGGGGCAAATGTTCTCCACCATTTTCATGACACAGTCTTTGATAAATGCACCTTCAGTAAAAGGTTTGCCATGTTTAGCTATTAACATGGCCACTTCGTAGCTGGCTTTGGTGATGTTTTCCTTTGACTCACAGGCCCGCGTGAAGAATCGCTGTTGCGATGCCAGAGCAGCTTGGAGTTGCTTCACTCTTTCAGCGCGGTCACTCCCTGTTAGCTTGTCGTATGTTGTAGCATGTTTAGTCTCGTAGTGTCTCTTTACGTTGAAATCCTTAAATAAGGCAACCGTCTCTTTACAAATTAGACAAACACAATTGCCTCGATTTTCAGTGAAGAAGTATTGTAATTCCCACCGCTCCTGAAAGCGGCGGCCCTCACTGTCAACTTTTCTCTTTTTTTAAATCCTTTATATTAAGTTCGCTTGCTTGCTTGCTTGCGTGCTTGCGTGCTTACTTGCTTGCTTGCGTGCTTGCTTGCTTGCTTAGGACCGTGCAAATCTTTCGCTCGTTTTTTAACCCACTTCCCGTGATCCAATCGAGCTGACATTTTCCACACAGACTCGTTGTGCCAGACAATTGATGTTCGTGAAAAAAAATTCCCAAAATTTTAGACTTTTTAGGCAAAAAAAAAATATTTTACATATATTCAAATAGAACTAATTCATCGCTTTGGCTGAACGTCACAGTATAAGAGCCCAGAGCGTAACCCCGCCACAGGCCGTGGCGGAGTAGCGCAGTTGGTAGCGCCCTCGCTTCCCATGCCAAAGGTCGAGGGATCGATCCCCGCGTCCTCCACAGGCGAATATATTTTTAAATCCTTTATATTAAATTCGCTGCCACGCATATAAAGGATTTATAGTGAAAAACTTTGTTTTTACGGGTTATACTTATTTGCAGTCGCCATGGCAGAAATGATTTGAGAAGGGTTCGCGGCACGGATGCAGAGCCAGATAGCATTAGAATGGTGCTGCCACCGTGTGGTGAAAGGAGGAATTACACCTTTACAGTTTTATGATTTATTTATTCTGACAGAGTTAGCGAGCCATAAATAACACATTTTAATCTGACCGCGGGCCGTGTTTGGCCCGCGGGCCGGACTTTGGACATGCCTGGGCTAAGTGAACCAAGACCACAATTTGTAATTAATTTTGGGGCTAATGGCCATGATGAGATGAACAGAATCTATCCACTTGAATGCCTGGTTATGATTAACAGCGGCTGCTTGGGATCTAACTCAGGACTCAGCATCTGTTGTGATGGTTGAGAGGTGTAACAACTGCATCTGTGCAAGTGACCCAACTACTGTATGTCAAAGCCCTGCTGCATGAACCCGGCACAAAACATCGCGCCAGCGTTGGTGAGTTCGTGGCGCCAAATTACACGTAAATTATCAGTAGTTTAAAGAATCCCACCCAGTTAATCGTTATTCGATCAATAGTAATACCAAAAGAAAATGATTAGTCCTGTGTGCTGCCACTATGCTCACTGTCCAGGTATGTTGATGCTCTCCGATTAGACCAACAAGGAGTGAAGTAAAATCAAGATACAAACAGAGATGAAAGAAAACACGGGAGACAAAACAGAGTAAGAGAGAGAGACAAACACGGAATGAAATACAGACACATGTAATTCAATGGATACACAGACGGAATGAAATAGACATGCACACGGAATGAAATAGACACAAACGGAATTAAAGAGACAAACACGGAATGAAAGAGACACAAAATCAGATGAAGAAGTCCGAGGGAGGCAGGCGTCTCAAGAAGCCACGCTGCGCGACGCGTAGCTCCAGGTGGCTAGCGCTGGAGGTTGTGTATTTCAAGAACGTTGTGCCCTTTCCAACGCTCAATTGTTTAAGCTCTGAACGATTAACAATCATATTTGTTATACCATCACATATGGAATGACGTAATATCAACGATAATCATTTTGTCCATTTTGAATAATATAGTCGCATCGTGATTATCGTTGCTCATTTAAACTCAAATATTTACGTTATAACGACATCTATATTGAGAGTCGTATATTAATAGAAATGTACCAATTTAGTGATGCACAGAATGATGTTCAGAGTAATTTATAGCATGATGCGAATGTGACTTCATTATTTTAATAGCCTATTTAATTATTGATTGCGTATCTCACAGTAAGTGCATAATAAAATAACTCAATTGGGACTATACATAACAATCACCACCTCTAACCGGCAGACCAATGCTCCAGGTCACTCCTGCAAATGAAACTCATCCTGGTCGTTTGATTTCTTACCTGGTTAGACAAACTCAACTTGAAACTGAGTGTTGGAGATTTTAAAGTCGCAATCATTAAAAACTTATGGCAGCCTTATGTTATCTGCATATGTAATGACAGGGTGCCACCTGTCGGCCTGGAAGAGTAATCACGAGTATGGGCAAGGTTATGTTACAACTAATCATAAGGGGGGCGTATCTGGGTTAAAGCTAAAAGGTGGGGTTATTCGGGAAGCTCCGGGAACCTGGTCGAAGGTTCTGGAAGGGGGCGTGGCCAGAGGCGGGGCCTGGCCACGCGATAGGTATATAAGGGGGATGGAACCGCAGGTTCAGGGTTGTTGCGGGGTCCCGGGTCCTGGCTGTGTCGCTGCTCACCGTTATCTCTCTCTGTCGTCCAGCCGCATGGAAGATCCTCTTTACGGCTCCCATCGCTGTCATCGTCACACTAGTCAGTCAGCTGTGTGGTTGGATGTAGGCGATGGGACTATGTAGAGAGGTCGGCTGTGCGTAGCTAAAGTAGACACGTATATTTATATATATAACCCAGTGTTGTACCAAGTGAGAGGAGACGTATATATGTATCGGCCTGTGTTGTGCCCTGTGTGAGAATAAATAAGAAGCCCTCTACACGACGTGTATTGAAAGTCGCTCAATACACATGTATGAAAGTCACAATGATTAAAATACTTATGGCAGGCTTATGCTGCTTCCATGTTTCAAAGTAATATTTGTGTGGTACGGCAAAGTACAAAACGATACAATAAAAATTGTCGATGGATTGCAACAATACAGTACAATTTGGATGTAATATATCCAAATAGCAAGTTTCTGGAAGATTCAACGAGGACACTTTGATAGTCCCGTCCACTCACTCAATCACGATCACCGTCCAAACAGAGATTGACCTCCTCGCTGACATCGGCCCCGACTACTTCGCATTGGCACTGCCCACTGCTCAGGCAACCCCGCCCACTGCTCAGGCAGCCCCGCCCACTATTCAATATCAAGAGTTGAGTATGAGCGGAGAAAATGTGTCATTGGGAACAAAAACCCGATTTTCGCTGATGCGTTGTCAGGACATTGGAATAGCCTCTCTGAACCTGGGACTGTCCCCGAAAAAAACACGACCTTTGGTAGCTTTAAAGCGAGACCAAAAGTTTGTAAAATTGAGTGGCTTCCAGAGTTCTCATCCTTACGTGCAAATCGAAGGAGAACGGCGTGCACTCCCAGTCATTGCAGATGGACACGGTCATCTTCAGGAGGTCTCCGTTGGTGGGGTCCCCGGCTGGCAAGAGGAATGGTGGTGGGACCGCCAGCTTGGTGGTCTTTAGCGTGTAAGTGAGGTCTCCCACGAGAGCTGAGTAGATGTACGTAAAGACAATTCCTTTGTCCACAGACTCGTTCCTAACCCCCCTCCCTTCATCGTCCAGCCAGTAATTGCACTCAATCTGGAACAACGTCACGCCAGAAATGCCTGCCGCAAGAGAATGATAATTATTCCTATATACTATATATGTATAAATCAAAGCATTCAATATGTGTTGTGCATCTCTATTTAAACGCTTTCTAACGAAGGGTGAAAATATTAATGCAAAAGCTATTACCGTCCATCCGTCCATCCATCTGTCTGTTACAAGAGGTCATTGGATCAAAGATGATATGTAACATTGCAGTTAACATTGTGTTGCCACGAGGGGCCAAAAAGGAAACCGACCACTTGGATTAATGAGTTACCCAAAATATGTGACACAAAACCAGCATTAAAAGCTTAGGAAGGGAAGGCGATGGATGGTGTCACCCCTGTCGGCTTAGCTACCGAGTTCTGATGACATTTGGGAAGAGTTCGACTTGAGCAAATAAAATCAAAGGTAGCACTACCATATTACCGGTCAGGGAGATGTCTAACTCTCCAGCATGAGGCGGGGGGGGGGGGGCGGACAGAAACATTGTCCGCATTTTGTGTGGAGGCGAGCTGTAGCCGGGGGGATGGTGGCTTCATTGAACGCATCACGACCACAAGATTACATCCCCGCGACAGGGATGTTTGCTATCCCCCATTTACCCTCAAGTATATTTCCACCTCTGTCCCCTCCGTGGTGGTACCGTCCATCTTCTTCTAAGTCAGAAGATGCCATTATTACCTCAGGTCAAGTCAAATTCATTTCGTGTAACCAAGTCAGAAGCCACGAGACCAGGATGAGTCTCATTTGCAAGAGTGACCAGGGCCACCAAAATGGCAAAAAAATCAAATCAAGTACAGCAATAAAGCAAATATATAATAATACAAAAAACTATTTGCTGGAAAAATCGCGAATACTCGACCAACATAAACAAGCAAGTGTATGTCAAATAATTTTCACTGCTCGGATTTTCTCTCTCCATGAGCTTCTATGTTGTGCCTCTCTTCCACTCACATCCAATGTCGCCTTTTGCTTCCACCGCATCCTCTCACCCTCAGGCTCCCTCTGCTCTGCACCGATGGTATCATATCTTCTCAAAAATGTTAATAAATCCCACTTAGGCTAACCTATGCATTACTCCTCCTTTTCCTTAGCAATATTTACAAAACCCACCTGATGATTGTCATATTTGTCTTTTCAAAACACTCGTATTTCTTCTGTAGTGGCCACGTCTGTGCACCATATAATATGATTGACTGTATCTTGTATCACTGCTCTACATGTGCAGCTGAAGTTGGAAAATGCTTGTCACCCTGACTGCACTCGTCATAATTCAACGCAATGCGGTCGGCTTCATTGATGATCCAAACACTTACTGATTCACTCCAGTCACTCGCTCATCTCCTTATCGCTCTTCTATCATTACTACCATGGTTACTGTTCCTATGAACTTCGCTCATTGATTAGTCCACCCATGTAGAGGACTCAGTATACCTGATTTGACTGTTTTGTCTCTTCCACCTTGTGTTCAACTACCACACTTCAGGTCACAACATTGCTATTCCTGCTCCTCCCTTCACACTGGTAACCTTTGGTATTCTCTGCCATTGTCGTCTCTTTTCCCAAGTTCTCCTCAATTCAAGGATCGCGTTAATTTTGATCTATGATACATTCAATCGTGCTGTTTGTCGTTGGCCACATGCCATACTGAACATATAGGCTCTGTGCTTAGAAACAATACATACACAGATTTTCTTTCAGTTTCATTGGCACTTTCCTATCACATTCAATTCCGTAAGTCTATCTGCAGAACTGTCTTCTCTAACAGGAAGTGGTATTTCACCTGGTTGTCGATAGATATGGTAGCCACAAAGCGTTGTAACATCTCACCCGTGTTGTTATTAGATGCACACGTGCCATTATACGGAGGTAATTTGGTTCTGCCTGTCAAACGTGTCTCACTCGGGGAATTATTTGGATCTGAGGCTTTAACCACCACAATGTAGGCCGATCCGGGCTGCAGAACCCCATTCATCACGACCAGCCCATCCGATGTGATGCCTGCAGAACAACAGTGGGACATATAGAGAAGGCAAGTTAAACAGATAACTGGGCATATATTATAAGTGAGTTATCAGCCAAACTGTGGATGCTGGAGAAGTAAATGTGGTGTCCCGCTTGCTACCGGACTTGGTGAGGCTACTGAATGATGGCACCAACACTCCATCTTTAAACATGGACCAAGCGAGAGACACGCCATCCAGACTGGCACAGTCGAGACACTCGACCTTTAGTGCCCAATCGTCCTGGCTGCTGAGAAACTCATCGCAGTTGCTGATACACCTATCAAACACACACACACACAGATACGAAGGTAGGTTGGAACGATTCTCCCCCTGACGCTTCAATAACATTCTTTATTTTGGCTATTGGAGTCTTTGGTAATTCTACTGAATTGTAACAATCATAAACATGGTCTGATTTCCACAACTTGCAGCTTCTTCTTCTGTTGTATTGTAGGGAGCTACAGACCAAACACAAAGAGTTGAGTTGCCACCTCTGATGAAATTGATTTAACCCTGCTCCTGGCCCTTCTTGGCCCTAAGTAAAATCCAGATGTCTTGTGAGGTCAGATTTTCACAGTTTGGATTTGGCTTGGCTCGGAGACACCTCCATTACGATGAGGGCCCCACACTGACTCAGCTTGGATGTGCGAATGGAAAAAGGAGTACAAGTGCATCGTTAAGAAACCTGATGGTAACCGCCATTACTATGAGGGCCCCGCACTGACTCAGCTCAGATGTGCGAATGTAAAGAAGTAGGAGTGCATCATTAACAAACCTGATGGTAATGAGTAATGCAGTGCCGCTGACCACGGTGCCGATCTGCGTGTAATTCGCTGTGCGGTCTCCCTTCTTTGCCGTCGCTGTCACCGTGACGTTGCTGCCCACCGTCAGCAGCTGCCGGGCAACGGTGAAAACCCCACCAGCAGCAGTTGCTGCGCTGCCCACAACACCTCCATCACAAGCGGCAGCAACAGCAGGAGCAGCTGCGGTCACCTGGCAAGTCCAGTTGAAGGAGATCCCCGCGCTTCCAGCCGAGGGGTCGTCCGGGTCAGAGCTCTCGGTGGTCGCGTCAAACACGGCGTTGCTCTGGTCGCCGAGCGTGCGTGTCGTGCCACCCACGATGGTCAATTTGAGTGGAGTTGGGATGGAGCGGACATAGATGGTGGCCGACTGGTTGACGATGAATTCTAGGTCCAAAGTCCCAGTTACTGAGATGGAGTAGAGGCCTGGCTTGAAGTAGCCCGGCGCAAATTGGTAGTATCCACCGATGTTTACTGGGGAGTTGTACGACTGATTGGTCACAGCGTTCTTGATGTTCCAAGAAAAAATGTTCCTAAAACAAAAGCAGATGCTAATTTTATTTGCAATCAATGCAAACCAGAAAAAGAATCAACCTCTTAAAGATGTTAGATCTGAAAAACAAGCTAAGGTAAATACAACTTCAACAGGGTAACACTTTGCGCTTCCTTTTACTGCATTCCATCTCAGGTTCAGATCATGCCTTAGCTGTGTCCATCCGTCTTTCTGCTGTGGAGAGTATTATAATTCCCGTGAAAATGATACAATATGAACAAAACTTTAGCATTAAGTTATCCTAGAAAAAAGTGAATAGGTTTAAGGGTTGCCGAAAATCTGGAGGCATAAAGACCGCCATAGCATTCTGAACCCTGCAGACTGAGGCGCTCCCTCCTGAGCAGGGCTATCATCCATGCCCCATGGTCTTATCGTGGCCTGTATATGTCCGCTTCCTGTGTGCCTGGTGCAAACAATATTAAAAGAAAAAAAACTTTCCGAGGCTAATCAGTTGTTGAAAACTATGACATCATCCACGTGTCCCTCTGCAAAGTGTTTCCGAAAGTGTTTATCGATGTTGCTGCTGGATCCTGCCGCAATAAAACAAATGCACAACAGACTTTGACCCAATTGTGTATTTTTCTTTTGAATTAGCCACGTTGACATATTTCCAGGCCTTGTCGTTTAATTTAACTTAGCTCTTGTTGACATTTGGAGGCTGAATCCATTATTCATAAAGAGGCCATTTGTAGACACGTCACCATGGCCAAATCCGCTGATGCCACACCTTGCTGCCAACACTCTCTAACCTCCGCCAGACTCTGCAGCTGCTGAACAGGAAACATTCGGTGACTCCCAAGATCTGCGCCCTGAAAGTTTCCCACCATCTGCTCTTAGCGCCTCCTCTTGGTCGCCAGACTCGTGTAGACAACTCCCACGCCCGTCTCCATAACTGGCCCTGCCCTACCCAGTGCAACCGTTTTTTCTCATCTAAACATTCACGTACGTTCTTTTTCAGGCTTTTGCACTGCTCCTCCTGTCTTGCCATGCAATTCCTAGCATTCGTCACCGACACCTGGCCTCAAAATGGCAGCAAATTATTTTCGATCTGCTTTGTTAGCATTTCGCTCTGTGGTCTACAAAGTAACAGACCGCACTCCGGACTCAACATTTCTTTACACTCAGACTAAACTAACTTATCTTCTAAATTGGTTTACCGAGCTCATAAAATACCTGCCCTGCTAAAGCAATGATTCTCTTGGTCTTGATCACACAGCTGCCTGCATTAAGGACATTACTGGCTAAGTACACCAAGTACTCTAGCCCCTCTATAGCTTCTCTCGTCCGACCGTGACTTGTAATCCTACTACAATAACTCCATATATCACAGTCTAAACAAACCAAAACAATACATGTCCCAGTTTCTACTAATTAATTTTCATAATAGCATTTTTATTGACTCGACATCTTAACAATCACTCGCTCAATCTAATTTAAACCATGACTGCTTTGTGAGCAAGCAGTTGTGCAACAAGGACATTAAATAGTTGAAATGTGCAGTGTGGGATGAACTACCTCGCTGAAAATCACTTAGCAGATCGATGCTTGAGTGTTGAGTCTGTCTACTGTGAGCGACTGGCATAGTGCAATTCGCAACCAGTTGTACAGACGTCCAGATATGGATGATTCTGTTGCATGTGTAGCGGCATTATTGAGCGCTGTACGTGATTTCCACTACTTGTAGCCTGTAATAACGGCATCGAGTCAACAGGGAGCAGAAGGAAGTCTAAGGGTGATGAGTCAGACCGTTGGGCTAAGGCAGGGGTCGGCAACCAAAATAACAAGAAGAGCCATTTCTTTCCAATTCGGTACAAAATTCAGTATTTCAAGAGCCGCAATGCATACTGTACATACGTACATATCGTCAAGAAGCAGCCCGTAAAGAGCCGCATGCGGCTCCGGAGCCGTAGGTTGCCGACCCCTGGGCTAAGGTAACCCTAAGGCAGCTCGGGACTACAGGTACAAACTCCCAGACCCCCAGGAAGAGGGCTGGGGCATAACGTCACTCCTCAGGCCCTTACAGACGGTTTCAGAAGGGAGGAGTGGCCAGGGGCAGAGTGAGCCAGAATCCGGTATAAAAGACGGCCCCCTGAACAGGTCCGGCAATCGTCGTTCACCTGAAGATTCAAGAACCACCCTGGAGCTGCCACCTTGAAGACCCGAAGCGAAGAGCCCAAAGGGCTGAACCCGACCCCTGCCTAGGGTCGGGCCAAAAGCTTAACCAGTGAAGAGGCTAGAGCATAGCCAGTGTTAGGCAGGCTAGCTGGAGAAATATCTCCCTAAGTATCGGGTGGAAGGGGCCGTACCCCTTTGTGTTATTGTTTCGTTATAATAAGCGTGCTGCTTTCAGAAGAGAGACGTCTCTGCAAGTTGTATACCCACTACACATGTAACCGAATTGTGCGACTGTTCAATCAGGTGTTGACTCGGCTCGACCCATTTTTCAAATGTGATATTTTATCTTACAATATTTGAAATTAGTGCTTTTCTCAGATGTAGGTGCCACTTACTTTAAGCTGGTTATTACACACTCCGTGAAGATGACGGCAGTCAGCGTGAACACCTCACTCTGTCCAAGCACTCGAGCCATCTCGGGAGTAGTCGAGTTGTCATCAAGCACCACCGACACCACCTTGCAGCCCAACGGATTCACGCTCACTTCCAGGCTGTAGTTGTCATGTGACCAGTTCGTGATCTCCTCTATAGTGACCTTCATGACCCCAAATGTCGAATAGGTGTACGGGAACTCGAAGGTGGCTTCTTTCAAGCGTGGTATCAGCTGGCACTTACACAGACTGCTACACAGTGAGGAACCAACGATCGTCTGGTTTCCATCTCCCAAGGTCCAGCGATAGCAGACCAGCTCGTTTAAAATGTTGTTTCCCACAAATAATAAGTTCGCGTTGACAGATGTGACATGGTAGTCAGGTTGCGTGGGGTTAGCCTTGTAGAACCATCCCATGATCTCAACACGAACAGATATATTGTTTTTCCACATTTTAAAATCCAGGCGGACTCTCTGGCACATTAAGCTAAACCACAACAGCACTCGCGTTTTCAAAACTGGGTCAGTGTTCAGCTGCAACAAATCCTATTTTAAAGAGGGAAAAACAATCATGCATTTCCATGGGGTTGTAATGCTTTGCAACACGCGTTTTATCCTCAAAAGTATTGAATTAGTGTGAGCTGGCAGAAATGTCTGCATTTATTCATTCTACATGCTTTGCAAAATCCAGAAACATTGTGCAGATTGCTGAGTATTTAACACACACACAACAATGGCTGCCATTCGCCACGAAGTAGCAGTGATGTCACCAATAGCCTTTGTGTAAGGCTAGGTGTAATTTTAGGCCATGTGAAGTGCCAAATGTTGACCAACAGTAGTTAATGGGGCTGACCCAGGCATCATGGGTTAAATGAAATGACACAGACAGATGCAACACCTGTGGTCTCCACTGTGCCAACCTCCTGTGTTTTAGCCACCCGGCGGTCTGATTGTTGTTGTGAGCAATTATTCTCTTCCTTCAGTTGTTGTTGGAGGGTGACAACCTCTAACTTTACAGTATTATCCTTCACGAGTCTCCCCCACACAGTGGATACCGGTCGTCAAGTTAGCTCCGCTCCAAGTCCTCTTGTATCACGTAAGCCCATATCATCTATAGTCAGTGCCATACTCGTTTATCACCAAAACAGAAGATATATTCAAGATATATGAGCTTTTCCATACAGGGACAGGTGTTAATAAAAGGCTTCTACGTTTTGCAAACACAGAGAGGACATAACTGCGGAGTGACAGGCCAGGCAGCTTCCACATAGTGTAATGCAGCCAATTAAAAGATGAGACCCTTTGACTGAGTAGGAGTGATATCCCCGCTATCAAACTTGAGTTGGTAATAAGCACTATACCCAGGTAGAGGAACTACTCCACCCTCTCCACAACCATCCCATTATTCGTGGAGAGTTGAGGGCGGAGTTTTCAATGACAGAATATCCCCAGAAAGGTGTTGTGTTTTGAGTTGATAGTAAGGTTTGCCTCTTAGTGGCACACTCCAGTTTTATGTGCAAAGGCTACAACTCCATCTAAGAGAGAGCAGCAATTTCCAGACCATTAGCTTAGATAACATGGTGGACCAGTAGGGAAACATCCCTTGGCTTTTCCTGGGCATCGATCAGTCTCCCATTGTAACTGTACCGGATGGAAATTTCACTGGTACAGTCATGGGAAATGTCTTAAACTATGTGTTTACAAAATGTTAAATAGTGTGGGAGCTATAAAACATCCCTATCACACACCGGACCATCAAGGTCCTTATGATTGTAGTCAGAGGGTCGGCGACCTTGATCGCATTAAAACCCCCAAAACACTGGATTTTTGATGGTATTGTAGGCACTGACCTTGTTAACAATGTAGAGGTGTAGGCTCTGCTGAAAGCTCCTACACGTCTGCTATGGCAGACAGAGAAAATGTAATCTGTGTAGGACTGCCCCTGCGGACACCACCATGGGGCTCCAAGAGCTTCTCCTCAGTCTGTCTGGTAAGATGATTTCTGATAACACTGTGTAACAATGTTTTTTTGTTCCTGGGTAGTAATTGTTATTTCCTAATTGCTTATACCTCAAAAGTACTGAAAATGACTATTATTCCCCACAAACTTTGCTTTTGTGACCATGACCATGATATGTTGAAATTGACCTATTTTACAGAAAATTCCAGATAGATTCAATGCTGAGTAAACTTGGAGTAACTTCTAGAACATTCTAGAACTTTCCAGCAATATAAATAGCAGTATAAATACAGGGGCCTTAAGCCCACCAGTTCAGTATAATTCCAGCTGCCGAAGTGGATACATATCTGTATTTTTCTGAGATGGCATCAAGAGGCTGCAAGCATCCTGTAGACGCATTTTGCTATATCCGCGGCCAATTTACCAAGATAAGAGCGAAAAAGTACTCTGTTAAAGTATCTGCTAAGATGTGTGAGGCTTATAAGGCACATTTCGACATGCCTGTCGGGGATCAAGACAAACCCTTTGCACCTCATTTCACCTGCGAGCAATGCAAAAAAACTCTGGAAGGTAAGATGGACAATTGTTGCTCAGAATTTTAAGTGAAAAAAAATTGTTAACGTTTTTTTAAAATTGAGAAAGTTTTTAATTTTAAAATGTTTTAGAATTTTCAATATTATTGAAAAAATATATAAGATATGAAAAATGTTGCGAGAATATCTTGCACATTAGTCATGGGTGAAATAAATGTATTTTTGTAGGATGGTACGGAGGGGAAAAGCGAGCGATGAAGTTCGCTATCCCAAGAATTTGGTGGGAACCCACTGACCACTCAAGCAACTGCTACTTCTGCATGCTGGACCATTCCAAACGTCGGACTGGCAAGAATGCACCTTCTATCACGTATCCGGATCTTCCTTCATCCATCGCCCCTGTGCCACACTGCCATGAGCTCCCCGTACCCACTCCTCCGGAGAGAGAGCAGCTGTCTTTAGAAGAGAGCAGCAAGTCAGAGAGCGAGGAAGACGTTGTAAATCTAGATTACAATTTCAGAGGGGGTGCTGAGGAGAGAAACCCATACTACCCCAACGACTTGATCAGAGATCTTGGTCTCACCAAGTCCAATGCTGAGCTTTTGACGTCCAGGCTCAAGCAGTGGAACTTGTTGGATGAAAGTGTGCAATTCGCAGATCAGAGAAAGCGTCAGCAACCTTTTTGCAGCTTCTTCACCCGTCAAGATGGGCTCTGTTTCTCTCACAATGTGGGCAGTCTGGTCGAGGCAATTGGAATCGCCTGTCATCAGAATGAGTGGCGCCTCTTCATTGACAGCTCATCCAGGAGCCTCAAAGCCGTGCTGCTCTATAATGGTAACAAGTACCTGTCTCTTCCCTTGGCTCACTCGGTGCACCTCAAAGAGGATTACAACAGCATCAAGACCTTGCTGGACGCCTTGAAGTATGATGAGTACGGCTGGGAGGTCATCGGAGACTTCAAAATCGTGTCATTCCTGATGGGTTTCCAAGGCGGTTTTACCAAGTTTCCCTGCTATCTTTGCCTTTGGGACAGCAGGGACACCAAGGCGCACTACCACAGTTGTGACTGGCCAAAGAGGACCGAGTTTCTCTTTGGGGAGGAACAACTTCAAGTGGGAGCCACTGGTGGACCCCCGGAAAGTGCTGATGTCATCACTGCACATCAAATTGGGCCTCATGAAACAATTTGTCAGAGCTGTTGATAAGGAGTCGGCAGCCTTCAAGTACCTTCAAGACTTCTTCCCTAAGCTGTCTGAGGCAAAGGTCAAAGCCGGTGTCTTCTTCGGACCACAGAAAAAGAAGATCTTGGAGTGAAATTAATTCCCCAAGAAGCTCACTAGTAAGGAGAAAGTGGCTTGGAACAGTTTTGTCGCAGTGGTTCATGGCTTTCTGGGTAACCACAAGGTCGAAAACTATGTGGAGCTGGTTGAAACTCGGGTGAAGAACGACGTCACAATGCGCTGTAAGATGTCCCTCAAAGTTCATATCCTTGATGCTCATCTTGATAAATTCAAAGAGAACATGGGAGCACTCAGAGGAGCAAGGCGAGCACTTCCACCAGGATATACTGGTCTTTGAACGCCGCTACCAATGACAGTATAACGAGAAAATGAGGGGAGACTACGTTTGGGGGTTGATTCGTGAAAGAGATTTACAGTATAATCGTAAATCTCGAAAAACTACTCAATTCTAAATCTTTTGTAGTCATTTTTGTATTACTTTAGTATCAATAGTTGGTAAATTGGATTCATACAGTATGTTGTTTTTTCTGACTTTATTTGAACAAAATCACACAAATTTGCCCGTTTTCTCATTGAAAATTGGTAAATTTCTATATATCACTGTCCTGGTCACATAAACAAAGTTTGTTGGGAACAAAAGCCATTTTCTATACTTTTTAGGCATAAGCAATTATGAACTAACACTTACTACCCAGGAACAAAAATTGTGTTACATAGTGTAATAATTGACAGGAACTTCACCAACATGCCGAGGGAAGACATGCTCGGTAGTTATTACAATTTGTGCAGCTTCCTTCTCTAATCGAGGGACCCCCATGGTAGCCTTCAAACTCTGCAGAGCTGATGCTATGGTTTTCGCAGTTATAATGATGGCAGTTATAAAGCATTGACTTTAAGTTTATTCTACACTATGGGGACCTCATTTGCCAGTAAAAATATGATAATTGGTTCTTTACCCTTCTATCTGGCAACAAAACTGACACCTTTTTGCAAGGAGTCATGTTTGCATAGACCGCAATACCTGCAGTCATAATACAAACAAAAGAACATAACTCTGATAATGTGCACTGTCCTTGAAGTTGATTGGTCCACACCCGAGACAGCTTTCCTTCGAGCCTAGTCTCATATGGGTTGGACCAGATGACGCCAAAAGGCGCCTTTTGGCGTCATCTGGTCCAACCCATATGAGACTAGGCTCGAAGGAAAGCTGTCTCGGGTGTGGACCAATCAACTTCAAGGACAGTGCACATTATCAGAGTTATGTTCTTTTGTTTGTATTATGACTGCAGGTATTGCGGTCTATGCAAACATGACTCCTTGCAAAAAGGTGTCAGTTTTGTTGCCAGATAGAAGGGTAAAGAACCAATTATCATATTTAAGTTTATTTATTTAGAAACATGCATTTCGATTATTTTGATGTTTATCTGTTTTTAATTTCCACATGATGAGTCACTTTGTAGAGCATTCATTTGTGGCCAGATCGCTTCTGAAAATAAGCTAATTGCTCAGTGGGCTTTACCTGGTAAGATAAAAAAAAGTTCTGTTTTATTTGTATGTATTTTCAAGTTATTTGAGAATAGGCCACTCAATTTCAAAGACATTGTATATATTATCAGAGTACTTTTTTGGTTGAAATCTGACCACAAGTATTGTGGTTAATGCAGACATGATTCGTTGTAAAAGGTTTCAGTTTGGTGTTTTAACATCTTAACACCTGTTTTTCCAGAAAAAAGAGGAAAACCTATTCTAATATTTTGGTACTGGCAAAGGAGGTCCCTAGATTTAAAGTTATTTGTTTATCTTTCTATACTTTTCGCTCCTATTGTGTTTTTATAAAGTTGGTTGTTATACCATTCTGACCCACCCATACTTGACATCTGTGAAACATAGCTCGAAATCTCATAGGATTCCTCCAGTATAAATATATATTCTGATTCTTTTTTGTTTCACAGATGATCCTATTTAGCCGGTTTCCCAGATATTCTATAATGGAGATCCGTGGTGCATTAGCACAGCTGTGGTGCCACAGTAACGAAGCAACTCCGCCAGCGCTGCTATCCCCTCGTACCCCTCCACACGAACGCACGCACACCCCCACTAAACAAACACATGCACCCACGTAGGGTCTCGTGGGGGGGTCACCTGGTACCATGGGTTTTTACCCGAGGGGCCCCTAGTGGGGATGTCCCACAGTTTCCCAGTGCCAGGAGATTGGCCGACCCCCCAGGCCGAATGGCATTGCGGCCCCGTGAATTAGCTTAAAATTGTATGGGCACATCGATGCTCACCGAGCGAACCGCCATGAAAACACTCACAGCATGGAGAGAGGATAGGGCCTCGGGGGCAAACACCCAGCGAGCAGCGCATAAGAGGAGATGGGAGGGAGGTTCCTGAACCGACCGACGTTGTGTATTCCGCGGGACGGCCACCCCGACCAAACTAGGTTGGGGCGGGGGGTGGGGAGGGCGAGTGTGTAAACAATGGGTGAAGGCGCTCCGGAGACACCGCTTGAGGCAAGGTCCGGGCATCGGTTTAAAATCGAAAGGTAGGCGCCCGATTGGCTGCGGAGGGTAACACCACGTGACCCTGGATTTTTGGATTCCGAGGGGACAAAGGGAGGGAAGGGAAAAACGTCTGGTAGTTCTCCTTCAGCGGTTCAGCTACCCGGTCGGACTCCCGACGCCGCTTGATTTCTGTGTGTGTGGGGAGAGCGTAGGTGTGGTGTGAGTATGTGCGTACGTGTTAAGCACGTGTATTCAATCATAAACGATCGCTGATGTTCGCGTGCGTGTTTACATGGTGCGTTTTACGCAGGGTGTTTACGTAGCGACAGCACTCAGCGGTGGAACGCGCGAATATTATTGTCAACCCGGCCGTCGTTTTTGCCCGTGTGCCCGTGCCCGCGTGCGTGTTTGTACAGCAGATTAAAGCCGACCCAACGGGAGGTGGGGAGGGACGCGTTCATATTCATACGGCTATTTTTAGCGCGAGCCGTGGTGAGGGGGGGGGGGCGCCCACGCAGGCATGCGTGAGCACGCAGCCACCCCGGACATTTGGGGTAGTGTACGTGGGGAGTGTGTGAGATAACTCCAGGCGGTGGTGAGCTAGCCACTAGCCATGTCCCTCAGAGAGGACGCTGGTGCGGGGAGGCCGATCACTCGATCGGCGGCAGCCCGGCGAGAAGGGGCGGAGGAGGAGGTGGGGAGAGAAGGAGGGGGGCGTCATCCCCCACACAGCAGCAGCAACAATAAACAAGTAAACCCGTAAAAACAAAGTTTTTCACTATAAATCCTTTATATGCGTGGCGGCTAGCGTCTTCTCGTTCTCTGGCTTGAGATGGCTGCCACCTATGGGTCAGATGATTGTCTGCGAGTAGCAGAGGTGGGACAAAGTCATTGTTATGCAAGTCCAAGTCGAGTCTGAAGTCATCAAATTCATGACTCGAGTCTGACTCGAGTCCAAGTCACATGACTCGAGTCCACACCTCAGAGGTGGGACAAAGTCATTGTTATGCAAGTCCAAGTCGAGTCTGAAGTCATCAAATTCATGACTCGAGTCTGACTCGAGTCCAAGTCACATGACTCGAGTCCACACCTCTGGCCAGTAGTAAGCAATTGGTAATTAAATATTTAATTTGTTTTCCCTAAACAGTGTAAAATTTTGGAGAAAAAAAATTCACCAAAATTAATTGTCACACACAACGAGTCTGTGTGGAAAATGTCAGCTCGATTGGATCACGGGAAGTGGGTTAAAAAACGAGCAAAAGATTTGCACGGTCCTAAGCAAGCAAGCACGCAAGCAAGCACGCAAGCAAGCGAACTTAATATAAAGGATTTAAAAAACAAATCGTCAATATAGCAGAGAACGAGTACAGGGTCCTCAGGAATATTACACAAATAACAAAGGAGGTATTTTATGTTCAAATACGAAACACAAATCAAAAACAGTGCAAATGTCAAATGAAAAAGTTAGGCATACTGTAGGTGCACATAAGCTCTATACTTCACTGCACACACTGGCCACCCTCCATCAGCAGTTTCCTGCTGATGTAGGATGGATTAGAATTGCAAAAAACTGTTTATGTATCCTTACAGTACATCATCCACCAGACATCAACAGTTCATTCAAATTTGAAAGCCTGATTTCTGATGACACACTTAACGTTAGAGCGGCCCAGGGTATATTTATATTAACGAATGCAGAAAAAAGATTCACTCCCAGAAGGCCATGTGGTCGATGAGATAAGTAAACTTTGTCTATTTTATTGTATGCTTGTTTATTTTGTTACATTATATTTTCGAATATTTGGACTATGCAAGGAACACACCATAGCACGGCATGCAGCGAGCTAGAGAAAAAATGTTTAGATGGATTCAGTGGAACAAAATTCAGGTATTGTATATGGATTCAGAGTGCCCAGGGCTGATGGGCTGAGCATTTTTACGTGATAGGTGGACTTTCGACAAGGTATCAGCGTCCTCCACCACCACCACTAATTTATACATCATCATTGTTCTGCCTCACGGCAGGTGATTTGCTCCACGGCAGGAGTGGGGGTGTGTGTATACAGGAATTTCCTGTTTTGAGGTTGAGTTTGGTCACGTGACCAGGAAGTTACCATTTGACAGTCTTTCAGCCACGAGGCTGGTGTCCGCCATTGCGCAGAGTTCAAAATGGTGGCACACATCGCGTCCCAGTGAAGACAGCTGTAACTGTACATTGTGAGACTTTAAGAAGCATTGTCTGTAAGTTCGTTTATGTTCTTATAATATTGGGAATACTGTTATAATGTTAGAATGACCGTTATAATGCTGTAAGTGCCTTTATAATGCTGTTAAATTGTTATGATAAAAACGAGGCCTAGTTAACAACGAAGCCTGCAACTTGCCTTATTGTAAATGTTACTTGTAATTGAATAGGTCTTATTGTAAATGTTACTTGTAATTGAATAGGTCGATCCAGACTTGTACCCAAGTAACTATATTGCGATCTTGAGAGCAAGGATGACGAAATCTCATCCACAGTTCAATGTTATATGTAGTGTGTACATTTGGGGTGCAGTGTGATTATTACACGATGTGCCTTTATTTAAAACAGCTTATTCCCTTATATCTGTTCAGTACCCATGTTATCTAAGACAAGGTTATAGTGTTGTAGTGTTCATTCATTGTATTGATATGACAAAGTATTAACATATGCTGTAATTGTGCTGTGTTTTTCCATCAGTTTTACCTCGTTCAATTCATTAAATACGTTTGGAGTCGGATGTTCACCCTGGCTCTGAAGGTTTATTGGATGCGACGTTAACTACTCGGATAGCAGTGCAACGCAGCGCACAGCAAGGCTGAGATAATCATCATCATCATCTTTGTAAACCCATCGCTGAATGAAGGCTTCTCCAAGCCACTGCCATCTCTCAGGATCTCCCGATGTTACAATCTACCAGGAACCTGCACAAGAGCTGATTTAATTGCTCCATCTCCTTAGTGGACGTTCTCTTGGACGCATTCCGTTCATTGGTCTTCGCTCTACCATTATTCTTGACCATTAGCCATCGTCCCTTCTAGCGACGCGTCCTGCCCAAGCCCACTTACTTATCTTAAGTTTCAATTGTGTGACTGATTAACCAGCATAGTCCTCTACTGCATGGGCTCCTCTTTCTGTCTATCATAATTACAAGCATGCTAATTCTTCACGTTTCTCTTTCCAACTCTTGACGTTTTGTTAAATTTGTTTGTGTCAATGCACCGATCATTGCAGGTAGTATGCGCTGTATAGTCAAGGGAAAAAGGATACGTGTCATCAAAATCCAGCCAGCAGTGCAGTATAAAAAAAATACCAGAAAAAGTACGTACCTCGTAATGTATGAGATAATTGTTATCAAACACGGACATGCCCATCGACGTCACCCAACTCGAGTTGACATGAACTTTATCGTCGTACTCTGGCACGGATCCCTGGATGTCAATTCCATACAAGTGGCACCTCGCCGGCAGGTTCACAGTCAGATACGCTCCCTGCGTGCTCAAGGGCTGCCAGTGGCCAATGCGGGAGTTGAGCCGGGCTAGATAGGGCTCGGAGCCCGGAATGTAAGAAGAGGCTACCATTGCCTCGTTGGGGATAAATCCAGATTCCAACCCCAGTGGATGAATATCTGCAAGAGTTTTTAATAAGACAAAGGATAATCCGTGTTCCTTTAGATTCCACCTATTCCATGACATGGGGTTATACTAAGAATATTGTGCAATTGTTTACACTGAATGTCTACATATATAGGGCGAAGGAATGCTCCCATAGTGGTGTAATTGTTATTGCACACGCTCCCCAGAGGTCGTCGGTTCGACCTCTCCCGACGAAGCGGCTGAAACAAGGACGTGGGTTTCCTATATAGCCCCCCCCCCCCCACCACTTATTGTTCACAAAAAAAAACTTATTTGAGGGGTTCACACGTGGGGGGAAACATGTGGGTACCACCGCCTCTTGAAAGATGTCTGGCCAGTGTGGAAAAGTAGACCAATTACCATTTAAAGGGGGGGGCTGTCTGAGTTCCCTTTGGTGTGTAAATTATCGTTATAAATAAATATAATTAATCGTTATGTTATAACAGACCTGATCGGAATACGAAGTTTGTCGAGGAGTTGTCGCACTTGGTGTAACTGCAGCTCACATTGACGTGGAGGCAGTAGTCAGGGGACGAGGCGAGTATCCGCCCGTTCTCAAAAAATATGATGTCATAATCATTGCAGCCATCGAAATATGCATTTTCTTTGAGAGACCCAGAGAATCTCAAACAGTACATGGACGCTGTGTGCTGCAAGTTGCCATCTTCCTTAAATGTCCAGTAGTCATTGCAAGTGACTTGGTTAAGATTCAAAATTGGGACAAAATGTCCTTCAGGACGTGTGTACATGGATTTTCCCAAGCAGGTCAGGGGGTCATCAGCCAAGCAGATACAGCCTACCTGCTGGCTGATCTTGTAATCTGCACGGAAAAGGACAGCAGACGAACACAATACATTAAAAATTACCACGGTCAATGTTTATAATCACCACAATCATCATCGCTCACGGTAAGACAGTACAATACAAATGTGGGATGTTTCCACAGTGGTGTAATAGTCAGTTGTGCACTGGATTTTCAGTCCAGAGGTTGTCAGATCGAATCCATCTCCCGGCGCGGCAGTTGAAATGGTGGGGGAAGTTTATCCTGAATCCCCTACAACCGGCTCTGTCCACCCCAGCGGTGTAAATAGGTTCCCCACAGATGATCGACAAGTCACGAGTGGTGGGGTAAAGTGTGGGAACTGCCATCTATTCCATATTTGGCTGACGTGGAACACTAAACCAAATACCATATAGAGCGAGTCTCGAGCTCCTGTTAGTGGAGGCCATCATACCAACAGTGGCATGAGCAATTGCTATACAACAAAAAGGTGTGACATATGCATCATGTAGACAAGTGTTTCATATGGAATTCATATTCTAGAGAAGGGATCATCAAACAGCACGGATACATGGCTAGGGAGAGGAAAGGAGTTCCATATTGTTGGCACAGCAGAAGAGAAGGAGTGAACCTCCCACCGAGTGGAGGATGAGCTGGGGTCTCGACAGGCTGCAGGGTCCTGTGTAGTTAGAAGTGGCATTTATTTTCAGGGCGATTCATATGGCACGTTTTTGGACAAGCTATCTGTGAAGGTCTGTGCCTTTGTCATTACGGTTAGTTACATCACATCCACTGGCTCCAAAAACAATCGGAAACCACCACTCCATACGATGTGTACAAAGCCAAAAACATTGATCGTCACACACACGATAAATGCGCATATCATGAGCTTCAAAGACATAAGTGCAGGGCTGAAATGTCTTGTTCATGCCACTGCTGATGGAAAGGCCTCCACTTCTCGAGCTCGACTAGAGCTATGGATCCTTTAGAGGAGCCCTTCTAGATAATAATTTTTAACCTTCTTCCACACTGGCTAGACGTCTTTGAAGAGATCCTAGAGAGAAGAGAGATTATTAGAATAATTATTATTATTTGGGTCTTTCGGCAAAGTCACGTAGATAGGTTCAAAGAAAATAACAAAAACGATGTTTCTTGGCGATGTTGACAAAGTGTAGTCCTGGATAGAATGCTCAATAACACGGCGAGCACGTCCTTTATTTTTGTTATTTTATTTTAATCCAACTACGTGACTTTACCGAAAAACCCAAAGAATATGAATTCCTGCAGTCACGAAAGCTCTAAGTCAAGATAATGAGAGTAAGCCTCATGAAAAAAGAGTCAGCAGACACCGCTGACCTTGCTCACTCTCGGTGTGAACCGAGTGGTGGCTCGTGACAGATACCAAAAGAAAGGAAAATTGAGGCCGTACATTTATTAATTCACCACGCATAGCAAGCGAAGGACCGTTGTGCTAAACGTGTGACTTCTTGCGACAGCATTTGCATAAACCGCTGTTGCCGTACCTTTTGGTGGAAACCTGACTTGCTTTACAATTCCATCTCCTGCAATAGATATTACACTGAAGATGGTGAAAGGGTCACAATTGATCGTGAATATACCCCCGGCGATTGCAAACACGTGCGCGTTGTAAAGTCTGTAGATCTTGAAGGTCTGGCTGGTTGACCCATACACCGGAAAGGTGTACTGTGGTGTGATGGGACAAAGGCTGTTTGGACATGTCGTCACATTGGTGGAGTTCACGTCAGCCGTGACAACTATCTGCAGGTATGAGGCAAATAGCGGGGGGGTTGATTTTGATGCATACTTTAAAACCATGTAAATGTTTTTGCCCGAGGTGGTGTCGACTTCCACTGTAAGAGATAGACAACAACAACATCACACATTGATTAAAGTGAATAAGTATAACCCGTAAAAACAAAGTTTTTCACTATAAATCCTTTATATGCGTGGCAGCGAACTTAATATAAAGGATTTAAAAATATATTCGCCTGTGGAAGACGCGGGGATCGATCCCACGACCTTTGGCATGGGAAGCGAGGGCGCTACCAACTGCGCTACTCCGTCACGGCCTGTGGAGGGGTTACGCTCTGGGCTCTTACACTCTGACGTTCAGCCAAAGCCATGAATGCGTTCTATTTGAATATATGTAAAATATTTTTTTTTGCCTAAAAAGTGTAAAATTTTGGGAATTTTTTTTCACGAACAATAATTGTCTGGCACAACGAGTCTGTGTGGAAAATGTCAGCTCGATTGGATCACGGGAAGTGGGTTAAAAAACGACCGAAAGATTTGCACGGTCCTAAGCAAGCAAGCACGCGAACTTAATATAAAGGATTTAAAAAGAGAATACATTTGCAGCCCCTGCAATTGCTTGTTCACGCCACTGCTGGCAAAAGGGTCTCCACTAGGACAGTGCTCTAGAGAATATTTTGGCCTATTCTTCTATGCTCGCCAAGGACATCTGCAGAAAGAGAAAGGTGATTAGAGCAAAATGCTCTGGATTACAAATTAAAGAGAGAGGAATAATATAGCGCTGCACCTGGAGTATGGCGACATTTTCCTGCGAGACGTGGGCATTATGAAAGGAAGACAAAGAAACTGGAAGGTTTTGAAATGTGGAGTTGAAAGCGAGTTATGAAGATAAGCTGGGTAGAAGAAAAGTTAATGGAGAGATGCTATGTCAGGTGTGAGAAGAAAGTGGACTCCTTGTATCAGGAAGAGAAAGACAATGTGGATTGGGCAGGTGGTGGTGAGAGGGAATGAGCAGGAGGAGGTGATTGAGGGAAGACACTTATGGGAAACGACCAAGAGGAAGAAAGGAACGATGACATGAGGTGATGTTCAACAAGGACGTATGGGCAGATGCAGAGCAGTGGGAGACAGAACAACATGCAGGAGAGAATCTTGCCTCAGACCTGTCTATGGATGGAACACTTAATGAATCCACGCTGACCAGATGCCTTTTATAAGGTGGGAGTATCAACACTTTACCCCACCATACAACCTGCTAATCAACTGTGGTGTACCTATTCATACTACCGGGTGCACAAAGTATCAGTCAGTCAGCACTCTTTATTTAAACAAGCGATAAGATAACAGTCGATCGGCAGGTCGTGTGTAGTGCAGTCATTTTGAATTTTCCCACCTCTTTAGGGAAGAGTCGTAAAAAAATTATTGCGATAATCCCAACTGAGTAAATATTTGCGGTATCATTATTAAAACATGTTTTGTCTCATTTGGGATATGACGCCGGCACACAATGGCCTATTCTTGTAAAATACGCCATGGTCTTTAACCTCTACTTTAAGTGAAGCAGACTGTGCGTACTACTTTAGGACAATGAATACATTATACTGGTAGGAACGAAGTGGACCAGCCTACAACCGATTATATCGTCTGTCCGTCCATCCATCCGTCCGTCCGTGTAGCAACATCGCCCCCTACTGCAAACACTTGGCATGACCCTACAAAAACCTTTAGACTCAGTGACGCTTTCCTGGCAAAACAAGTGTAACATTCCCGTTTAATTCCCTCAGATAGCTTTTAATTAAAACATTTAAATTAATGAGGCTTTCCTGGCTAAACACGTGTAACCTTCCCTTATAATTCCCTGAGATAGCTTTTAATTAAAACTTTCAAATAAAAAACTCACAGCGCCCTAAAGCCTACAGCTAGGCCTAAAGCCTAGAACTAGGCCTCAAAGTCTCCCTTCGTATCGTACCCCCGCGTGTGTGCAAGGGAGTTAATGTTTAACAATGTTACATTCCCTGATGTTTTTAAATAGAAACATTTACATTTAAAGCTTTTACATAAATAATTAAAACATTTAAAATAAAAATTAACTCACAGCGGCCTAACGCCTACAGCTAGGCCTAAAGCCTAGAACTAGGCCTCACACTCTCCCTTCGTCCGATTCGGTGTAGCAACATCGCCCCCTACTGCAAACACTTGGCAGGACCCTACAAAAACCTTTAGACTCAGTGGGGCTTTCCTGGCTAAACAAGTATAATAATACATTATGTTAATATTTCGACTTAAAGCTTTCGTGACTGCAGGGATTCATCTACTTGGTTCTTTCGGTGAAGTCACGGTTCTTTCGGTAAAGTCAATAAAAATAAAACATAATAAAATAATTCTCACGACGTTTCGGCCACAACGCAAGCAGCCGTCCTCAGGTGAAGAATGAAACACCACCAAGCTTGGAGCGTATATTTAAGCTGGGTTGGAGGGGGGGAGGTGGGAAGAAGAGCGCCTAGATAAAATAATTTGCATATCAAGAGGAATTTAGCAATGGAAAATGCGTAGGAGGTGGGCGGGGGGGGTTTCAAATTAATATTATGCCCGTGCATTATGCAGGATTAGCAGCATCAAAGGGAGGGGGAAGGGGGGTAGCATTAACAAAGGAAAGGAATGTTAATAGTATGTAGCTGCAGTTGCTAAACAACCACGTAAAAAATACAGTATAAACTACATAAACAACTAAAGTATAAACTACATATCATCATCACTATACTTACTATACTCTACAATAAGCTGAGTTACTAACAGTAAGTAATACATTACAATTCTACGTCGTAAAAATTATATAATATGCTTCCATCTAAACTTTGTTCTCTTACATCACATGAGTCTACACCGTACTATATACTGCCATAGACAAACCCAACATTAAATTAGATACTGTATTGCTATAAACCACCCTATACCTTATACATTTTAATATAACACTATGTACCTGAGACCATCGCAATCATTGAAGACTTGGTTCATCAAGGACTGAATGCTGGGGTACCCCCCCTGGTGAGACACTGCTTAACCAATACATACTTCACCTGGAATGGAACTTTCTACAAGCAAACTGAGGGCACCCCAATGGGCTCCCCCCTATCTCCGGTTGTAGCCAACATCTTCATGGAGAAATTTGAGACTGACGCCATCCAGACTGCCACTCTACGCCCGACCTTATGGAAGAGGTACGTAGACGGCACTTTTGTCATCTGGCCACATGGCCGGCCTGCTCTAGACCAATTTCTCGACCACATCAATTCCATACACCCAGCCATCAGATTCACCATGGAAGTCGAAAAAGATGGCAAGCTACCCTTTTTGGATGTCCTAATTAAAAGGAGACCTGATGGTTCAATGAGCCACTCTGTCTACAGGAAAGCCACCCATACGGATGCTTACCTAAAACCGGATTCCCACCACCATCCATCCCAGAAGAATTCCCTCATCAAGACTCTATACCATAGAGCCCAATGCATCTCCGACCAGGAACACATTGCCAGTGAACTCAAACACGTACGCCAAGCTCTTAAGGCTAATGGTTACTCCGACTACACAATCCGCAAAGCCATCACTCCAACCATCAATAAGGATCCTGTTGAGGAGCCTTTCAAGACCATCACCTTACCCTACATTTCTGGGGTCACAAAAAAGATCTCCAAAATCCTGATTAAACACAAGATCCAGGTCCGATTCAACACAGTACATAAAATCCGTGATCTGGTCCCGTCTGTAAAAGATCGGGTTCCAGATATACAGTACCCTGGCGTCTACAAACTAAGTTGCCTCTGTGGTAGCAGTTACATTGGAGAAACCAAACGACATGTCTCGGACCGCATCCGTGAACATAAAGCAGACCTGAAACACGGTAGGACAAACACCTCAGCCATGGCAGACCACTGTTACAACTCAGTGGGCTCACATGACATTGACTTCTCCAAGACAGAGGTTCTCTGCAAGCCATCTGGCTATCATGAGAGATTCGTTCATGAGGCGATCCACATACACAAACACAGAGACAATTTCAACCGAGAAGATGGATTCTGGCTTAGCAATCATTGGAAGGACGTAATAAACCATTTCGGATCTTAACTGATTGTGTTCACGTTTACGGTGACTTTCAGACCGCGTTCCACTCACTGGCATTGTATTCTCTGCAGGGAATGGATTCTTTGCTCCGCTGCAAGTTTCCCCCCACGACTCACCCATTGACACGACGGTCAATGGTACAGTGTATAATAACAAATAGTACAACATTTATATGCTTAATACAATGTACAAAGTAATATATAGTATCGTAATTGTATAGTAAACATATAGCAGTGTGATACACATTAGGGTGGGTAGAATAATACATAGTGTTATATTAACATGTATAAGGTAGGGTGGTTTATAGCAATACAGTATGTAATTTAATGTTGGGTTTGTCTATGGCAGTATATAGTACGGTGTAGACTCGTGTGATATAAGAGAACAAAGTTTAGATGGAAGCATATTATATAATTTTTACGACGTAGAATTGTAATGTATTACTTACTGTTAGTAACTCAGCTTATTGTAGAGTATAGTAAGTATACTGATGATGATATGTAGTTTATACTTTAGTTGTTTACGTAGTTTATACTGTAGTTTTTTACGTGGTTGTTTAGCAACTGCAGCTACATACTATTAACATTCCTTTCCTTTGTTAATGCTATCCCCCTTCCCCCTCCCTTTGATGCTGCTAATCCTGCATAATGCACGGGCATAATATTAATTTAAAACCCCCCCCCGCCCACCTCCTACGCATTTTTCATATGCTAAATTCCTCTTGATATGCAAATTATTTTGTCTAGGCGCTCTTCTTCCCACCTCCCCCCCTCCAACCCAGCTTAAATATACGCTCCATGCTTGGTGGTGTTTCATTCTTCACCTGAGGACGGCTGCTTGCGTTGTGGCCGAAACGTCGTGAGAATTATTTTATTATGTTTTATTTTTATTATGTTATTATTTCCCTTCTACGTGACTTTACCGAAAGAACCAAAGAAGATATGTTTATATTCTTTGGTTATTCGTTCCTACCAGCCCACCCCGCAGGGTCCTGTTATCAAAGCATGTGTGTTTGCATGTTTTACCACAAGCATATGTGGTGAATGCAAACTCGATGCCTCGCGATCGGTGCCTATTTGGTGCTTGAACGTCTTATCCCCTCCTGTATTTTTGCTGTAAAGGACAACACCTATTCATTTTTTTACATAATCTGGTAAGGCATTTGAGTCCACGCATTTTTTCTGAGGTCAACAAGGCAACTCATATGCTGCCAACGGAGCCTTCAAAGTTTTAAACGCCACAGCCGGGCTCAGCAGTGCCGACTCGGTAGTGGCCAGGAGCGGGGGGAGCTTCAGTCGTCATCGTCGAACTGTCGCGGGGTTGGAACACCTTATCCGCGATGGAGCGGCGGGCACAACCACGTGGAACGCGACTGGAATCCGAGGGAGAATCACCACCCGGAAGCTTACAATCGCAGGCCCCATCCCGACTTTTATGGTGTGCAACTTGGCATTTCATTTGTAAATTACGTGACGGTGATTTTATTTACCCGCTACACCAAACTCACGTTTATAAAGTTAAGGATTAAAAGTAATGTGAACACGGTACTTACGTTCGATATTGATGAATTCAGCACGGTCAAGCCAGGGCGCTAATGTTTTTGTGAATTGTGCGTTTTCATCTGGGGAAAAAAACGGATTGAATAATAAACACAACGCGTGTACAAAATCACGTTTCGCACAGCGGCAATCTAATAAATAATTTGCCTTCAGTGCTCCTGGACTCTTTTACCCTCCTCCGAGTACTGTACTCAGGGCCGGATTAAGATTTTGTATGCCCCTGGGCTACAGGTACTATGAGGCCCCCAGTAATATTTTCAAAAGGAAAACAAAGTTAAAGATTTTTTTTTTAAAAGACCAACAACAAATAAAATTCAGGATTCACCAATGAAACAACGTTTCACTTAATCTCTGGAGGCCCTCCAGCTGGCAGAGGCCCCTGGGATACAGCCCCTGAAGCTCATGCCTTAATCCGGCCCTGACTGTACTGTGATGCACAATATATCTCTACTTTAGCACCTCCTATAAGAACAATTGGCTTCGTACGATGTGAAATAAGTTCAACATACATACTATTGAGCACCATGGGGGCTCTGTCGCAAGGCTCACTGATGGATAGTGGGGTGATCCGGTCTCCTTTTGTTGTTTCGTTGACTCATCTCTGGCCTTACCTTCTCACCCCACTTTTGTACACATCTCACTTTTTTCTGTCTCTGTTTATTTCGTCCCTTGCTCTTCTCTCTCTCTCTCCCCCCTCGACCTTCTGATGTTCCCAACGTAACCACTCGGCGCGCTTGTCCGTTGCTCGATGGATCACCGTGCACCATGATTGTGCACTTTCCTGTGCTTGTCTAAAACATTTTTTATAGAATAATACAATGTAAATATTATATGGTTCTTTCGGTAAAGTCACGTAGATAGAAAAAATAATAACAATAAAATAATAAAGTGAATAAAAATATCACGACGTTTTATTCGCAACACAAGCGGTCGTCATCAGGAACAGGAAGGTTAGCCTCTGAGGGCAAGCTGTTTATAAAAGTTTATAGATGGGCGGGGCAGCTAATGTTAATGTAGGCAAAAGCTCCGACACCAGCAGTAGGTCTACACCAATAAAAGCATTGCATCTCGCTCCACACACCCACACTGCTGACGGTGGAGGTTCACAAGAAAACAAATCAAGTCATGACCCAAAGTGTTTGATGACATCTTTCCAATGATTGCTCAGTCTATAACCTTCCTCTCGGTCGAAATTGTCTCTGTGTCTGTATATATGGATGGCTTCATGAACGAATCTTTGTAAAAATCCAGTAGGCTTGCAAAGTACCATCGACTTAGAGAAATCAATTTCGTGTGAGCCAGCTGCAGTAAAATAATGATCAGCCACGGCAGAAGTATTGGTCCAACCATGTTTCAGAATCTGCCTTATGTTCACGGACACGGTCCGAGACATGTCGCTTAGTTTCCCCAATGTAATTGCTGCTGCAGATACAGCTTAGAATCCTTAGTTTGTAGATGCCGGGATATTGCATGTCAGAAATCCTGTCTTTCACAGATGGCATCAGATCACGAATTGTATGTACTGTGTTAAATCGGACCTGGATCTTGTGTTCTTTCATGATTTTGGAAATATTTTGGTTACCCCTGCTATGTATGGCAAGGTGATGGTTTTGATTGGATCCTCAGATGGCTCCTTCCTCGCGGTTTGGGTGATGGCTTTGCAGATTGTGTAGTCAGAATATACATTCTCCTTGAGAGCTTGGTGTACGTGTTTGAGTTCACTGGTTAGGTGTTCATGGTCGGACATACATTGAACTCTATGGTGTAGCGTTTTGATGAGGGAATTATTCTGGGATGGATGGTGGTGGGAATCAGGTTTTAGTTAGGTGTCAGTATGGGTTACTTTCCTGTAGACAGAATGGCTCATTGAGCCATTTTTTTATAGGACATCCAAGAAGTTAGAATGCCATGCTTTTCTACCTCCATGGTGAATTTGATGGCTGGGTGTATGGAATTGATGTGGTTGAGGAATTGGTTCAGAGCCGGTTGGCCATGTGTCCAGATGACAAACGTGTCATCTACGTACCTCTTGCACGGGGACGGGCGTAGAGTGGATGCCTGAAAGGCGTCTATCTAAAAAAGTTTTCATGAAATTATTGGCTACAACCGGTAATAAGGGAGAACCCATTGGGGTGCCTTCAGTTTGTTTATAGAATGTTCCACTCCAGGTGAAGTATGTTTTGGTGAGGCAGTGTCTCACCAGGGCCAGTACATCAGTATGCAATCCTCTTCCTCATCCTTTGTTCCAGCAGGATCTTTGTGTGCTTAGCGTCATCTCATTCCCTTATTTTTTTTCACTCGTCAAATCTCTCTCACTTCCTTCATATTTAAACGAATTACAATTCAGAATGAGAGTCTCCCCACGGAGGTTACTTAACCATACTTCACCGCTGCCGGGCAGTGTGGGTTGGTGAAGGTAGGGAGAATAGTAATGCTGGACATAACAAACATTGATTTTGCTTCACTGCTCCTCCGCTGCCCACCATGTAGCCCCGTAACCGCATATGACAATCTGGGATTCACGGTGGACACCCATCCATTCAAGCATTATCCAGTCTCAAACCTGCTTCATGTGATTATGTCATGGGTGATACCCCCCCCCCCCCCCCGAGGGGCGTGCATTGTAACGATACTTACAGAATATTCCGATGCCCAAGGATATATCCGAGGACTTAGCTGCATCCAGGGTATCCGCAAAAACATTGCACGTTCGGCTGTCTGGGATTTTCATGAGAAACATATGTATAGTTAAAACACATAAATACAGGTCATACACGTCATATACAGTGCATTCATTGTACACGTGGTTACAATATCATCACCTGAACAACACAACAACTACTATAACTCTTTTGTTGTATTAACCGTTTCATTTTTAATTGGGAAAGCGTCTCAAGGAATACTGCCACAGTGGTCAGTGCTTTGCACGCTGGACTTGCAATGCAGAAGTCGCCGGTTCAATCTCCCGACACGGCAGCTGAAAGAATGGGTCAAGTTTCTGAAATCCCCCCACCTGGCCACCCAGTTGTGTAAATGTGCATGCCAGGTTGTACAATGGGCAGGTCGCGTGTGGAAGAGTAGGTCAGAGAGGCTCCCTCGAGTACCCAGTAAACATGGAACGTTGGGCCAATGTTGGTCCAATGGTCGGCCCAAGGTTGGCATGTTTACTGGGTGGAGGCCCATCTGCCAGCAGTCGCGTGAGCAAGCAGTTGCAGGGCTGCAATTTGACCGTTCAAGGCACACACAAGATGTAAACACGACCTTCGCATCATTCATCTGGAAATATGACAAATTTGGGGAATGTACTGTCACACGCGGTCATGTATCCTGCATCTTGCATACAGTCTGTAGATATTTCACATGTCCGACCTTTTCACCTGTCCTCCTTTCACTGACTCCCCAGTGAGTCGGATATGCGACGTTGTACTGGACTAAAATTATTTTCAGGTATCTCGTTGGTTAACGTGAGCAGGGAGTGATGCCTCAGCCGGTCCTGCACAACTCCATTCACCAACACGCATTGACCAGCGTGGTGAAGTATGGCCAAAAACCCCCACAACCTTGATGGCATGTCGATTGCCTCCATTAAGCTATTTATTGACAAAAACAGTAAACGGCTGTAAATAATTATTACATAATGGACAACAACTTGTTTTGCAGCACCATGGGAAGAGAAGTAGATCCAGGGATGTAATGAACGGATAAATAAAAAATTAACCCGTAAAAACAAAATTTTTCACTATAAATCCTTTATATGCGTGGCATCGGTTTCATTTTATTATTCATTTCTGTTTTTCTTGAGTAAGCAAACAAGTGAAGTTAATATAAAGGATTTAAAAATGAAAGATCACCTTTTGACATGCCCCGTATATTCCCGAGGGCACTAGCGTTGACCCGTTTTACCACTTTCAAGAACCTGGCGGCTTCAATTTAACTTCTCTATAAATGGTCTCCATTGTACAGCGTGGGGGCAGGGATTTCATGCCATGTGGTTAGTCAACATTTGCGTCATCATGAAACGGGCGGCTCCAGTCCTCTCGTCCTCTGGCTTGAGATGGCTGCCACCTATGGGTCAGATGATTGTCTGCCACAATTAAGCAATTGGTAATTAAATATTTAAAAATTTTCCCTAAACAGTGTAAAATTTTGGAATTTTTTTTCACGAAAATGAATTGTCAAGCACAACGAGTCTGTGTACAAAATGTCAGCTCGATTGGATAACGGGAAGTGGGTTAAAAAAACGACCGAAAGATTTGCACGGTCCTAAGCAAGCAAGCAAGCACGCAAGCACGCAAGCAAGCAAGCAAGTGAACTTAATATAAAGGATTTAAAAAGGAACGAGAAGCGATACCGGGACGGAAGTCCCTAAGATGGGCAAAGAGGCCACAGCTCAATATGAGCAGCAGGATAAGAGAAGGAGCACCAGGCAGGAAGGGGAGGAGGCGGAAAATACATAACTGGACCAAGATGTCACGGATGATGAGAGGGTGATGATTAGAGTGAGGGAAAAGAGGAAGTAGAGAGAAGCAGAATTGAGCTGCATTGAGCAGTGTCTGTTTTCACAAGGGGAAGAGAAGGAGTAGAGATACAGCGTTTGTTTTAACAAGGGGTGGTGGGGAGAAGTGAGAGATTCACAGTGGGTGTGGCCACAAAGAAGTCACCTGGTTTACAGGGAGGCTTGAGCTGATTTAAATAGAGAAAGAGAAATGTATAGATGAGAGAGGAGGGAATCAGACTAGGGGTGCGCCGGTAGGCTTGGGATGGTTCAGATCTATGTAGACAAATCATTTCTATCATAAGAGTTCAGTACGAAAATGTGGTATAATGCACGCTGTGAATGAATGACGAAGGGCTCTTACCGCACACCAGGGTGTGGGACGTGGGCACAAAGTAGGTGAAGCCTTTAACGACGTACATGGCACAGGCGTATACACACGTCACGGCCGTCGATGGAAGGTAATACGCGTTGTATTTCCAAAATCCATCTGCAAACGGGTTACAACATTAAACAACAAATATAATTATGAGGCAGGCGGAAAACTCAAGAGTTTAGGGCGCCAATCCAGTAAATATGAAACGTTCGCCCAACATTTATATGGTTACTGTGAAGCCAACACCGCTGGGAGAGTTCGATTCGGTGTTTCAACCGTCCGTGGCTAATCCTAATTGTCAAGAGCCGTGAGTTGATGGTCTCCGCCACAGAGTGGAGTACATCATGACAAGCGTGATATAATAATTACTCAATTGGGATTGTCACAGAGATCCTCGACCCCCTACTGGCAGACTCACGCCCGTTTGCAGGCCAGGTTAAGATGAGATGTGAAGCGCTGTGAGACACCCCGGCGAATAGGAGGGCAGCCTTTCTCAAACTGCAAATTTAAATCTAATGCCTTTATAATTTATATTTGTATTTAGTTTGTTGTCCTTCCCCTGCACTTCTGATAAGCACGGTTTGCTATATATGGGGCCGTCACGCGATTTTGGACAATATTCGAATATTTACCATAAATATGCTAAATTCCTCTTCAAATGCAAATTATTTACCATAAATATGCTAAATTCCTCTTCAAATGCAAATTCTTTTGTCAAGGCTCTCTTCCTCCTCCCTCACAGCTTAAATAGACACTCCAAGCCTAAGACGTGTCATTTAGACTCTGTCTTATCGACAGACATGTTCTTCACCTGAGGACGGCTGCTTGCGTTGTGGCCGAAACGTCGTGAGAATTATTTTATTATGTTTTATTTTTATTATTTTATTCTTCCCTTCTACGTGACTTTACCGAAAGAACCAAGAAGATATGTTTTGATTATTTGGCTGCTATAAATTTGCACGTGATTCTCAAGCACCTGGAGCGAGTGTCCCGTAGCCCTTGTAATCGGTGTCAGAGCTGCAACTGTCGAAGTTGCTGTTGATATTGAAGTAGAAAGTGACTGCACTGATGTCCTTTGGAACTGCAAACGTAAATAATATCGAACACAAGGCATAGCAATAGCAAACACAAGTCCCAGCAAGCATGTCACAGCAAACAGAAGTCATAGCAAACATGTCATAGCGAACACAAGCCATAGCAAACACAAGCAATAGCAAACACATGGCATAGCAAACACTTGTCATAGCAAACGCATGTCCTTGCGAACACATGTCATAGCGAACAAGTCATAGCAAACACAAATCACAGCAAACACATGCATGTTTGCAATGGGGTTAAGCGCTGGCGCAGTAGTTAATGAAGTGTGCGTTGTTAAACCGGCGCCTGAGTTTAATTCCTGATCCAAGGTTTATATCTGTGGCAAGTGAAGTCAAGAACGGGCCCTGGACTCCACGCTTCATCAACCGCGCAATGACCTAGGAACTCTGAATTATGGTCAAAGAAACCCCCATGACCAACATTGCGAGGAGGGGCCTTCATCCAGCGGCGAATTAACACAGGGATGCACAGTATTATTACTGTTTGTGCTGTAATTCCGTGGTTCTCTAAGTTGTTCGTGAAGTGACCCCACCATAAACCCCACCACCAACCCAGCGGTGGATCCCAGGGGCGCCCATCGCCCCCCCTTAAGACCCCGAGAACCGATATTTTATTGATTTTCACCAGAGGCAATCAATGGAATTATTATTAATATAGCACTCTCCGTATTCCCCCTTGGGAAGGTGTTAGTTCTGCCTTTAACTATGCCGTCCCCATTTCATGCACTTTTAAATTTCTCTTGACTGGCAGGAATCCCTCAGGCATATCGACTGAACTGTGGTGAACATCCCTCGGGCGCGTTCTCTCCTCTGGCTTCCACTCCATCGCTCGTCCCAACCACCGATTATCCCTGCGAGCCATGACATGGTGTCCTGCCACAGACCACACACTCTTATCGCCGAGCTCGGCCCCCGCTGAGCTTACATTTACAAGCAAATTTATTTCTCCTACTCGCACTCTCCTGCTCGCTCCTACATTAACATTAGCTGCCCCGCCCATCTATTAACCTTGATAAACAGCGTACCTCGGTAGATTCCCCCTCTTTTTCACCTGCATGTGTTACGATCGAAACATCGTGATCTATAATTTGTTCTACCTACGTCACTTTACCGAAAGAACCAAAGAGTATTCTTCTTATCGTTAAATCCTAAATATCCCTTAATGTCCACGATCATACACTTACAATGAAACACCAAACCATTCTTAGAAAGGACTTTCGAAAAGGAGGCACCTATCTCTGTGCCAGTTCTTCTCTGGAGTCAGTTTTGGCCAAAAGTCTAACTCTATCGTAGGTATTAGCCTACAACGGTGGCATGTGCTCCTGGAAGTCTAATGATGTCACACACACATACAACACAGACGCTGGCTGCACACAGAGCCACACGTGTTGGGATGTTCGTTTGATGATCACCATGCATGGCTCAACCTCGCTCGAGTGTAGGATGTAGTGACAAACCTTTAGCTTAACAAGAAATTACCGAATTCATTTGTAATTTCTCTTTCACGGTATCCATTCTATAGCCTGCTCTCCCATGAAAGGCCGGGCACAAGTTTGGGATGTGCCTTTCCAGAGTGTCTATTGGTCCGGAGAACACAGTACTCCAGTCGTGATTATAATTGGGGTGGTACTTCATTGATTATACTTCTAAGAATACGTTTGGTCTTCCAAGCAAAAAAATCCTACTATTGCACGGAGTCGGATGCTCAGATTTTCCTACTCCATGAGCTTCTACTCCGTGCCACTTCTCCAGACACATCCACGGCCCTCACGTCTCGTTCTGCCGCACCCTCTCATTGCCCCCTCGGTCTCTCTCCTTTTGCTGCATTGCGTCGGTGGCATCTCCACAGCCCTCCTCGTCACAACCTTCTCGGCCTCATTGAACACGCGCCCAGACCATCAACGCCATTGGTTCCTCTTCATTCCGCCTCATTTCTTGAGAGATTCCCTACATCCTCCTCACTATTCTCATCTGTGCCCATTCAGGTCTCTCTCGTCTATCTCTTTAAGTGCCCACATCTCTACAGTGCATGACTCTTCTATCTACGTTCCCTTCGAGTTGTCTTGGCAACTTTTTTTGGTTGATCACTTTCAAATCCTGAAGCCTCTCTTCATTGAAGTCATCCTGCATCAAAACTTTACCTTGTAACTCGCACCCTCTTTCCTCAGGTAACGTTGTACCTAAGGTGTTCAAATGACTGCCCTGCTTGATGTCCATCTCTATCCTATCCACACATTCAATTGTGCTCCCTCATTTTCTACTGATCAATGCCTCTGTCTTCTATGCATTGCCTTTTAATCAACTTGTTTCCAGGCTTTCCTGCCATTCGTCATCGGCAATAAACGCTCCCATAACAAGACCATATTCTGGTTTCCTCAGTCAACACACACTCCACTGTTTTATAAACCGCAGTGGACTTCACGCCAATTCGTCCCTGATCGTGCACACACGTCTAAGTAAATGTTTATCAATGTAGGCAAATCGGCATTCAAACATTGACCGACAAACACATCCTCTGATGAAACGGAAAAAAACAATCAGACGTCACGGCTTATTTTAAAACATATTTCAAAATCCGAAATGTATTTTTTAACTTGGATTAATCGCTTACCCTCGGACGTGTACGCGAACGTTATCCCACCGGCAGCGCTGTCGGTGAACTTAACAACATTCACGCACTCGCTGATGCCAAGCAACGCACACGACGAGGCGATGAGGAGGGTAAGCGCCATGGCTCCGAGAGCGGTCATATTCTTGGCTTTCGGAACATGCGACCTTTTTGTAAGAAGAACGTCACCTAAATAGCTCTTCGAAATAAATGTTTTTCACCAAAAGGTGCTGGAAAAACAAATGGGCTGCGTAAAACAATGCCTTGAAATACAACCTCTTCAAACTGCCCTGCAGGCAACATAGCCAATTTTGTTAAAATCAACAGTTGTTAAATACGTATTGTAAGCCAGCTGTGTAACCTGAGATACAATCAACAACAAAAACTTCAATTATTTTGTAGACATCCTGAATTAATTGAGGTTGTTTTTAAGTCAGGAGGCTTTGATGTCAGGAGACATGTCGAACGAGTCAACAGTATATCTTAATTAACAAAGGGAGCCACGTGTTTGCAAAAAATATGGACAATGACAACTGGAGCAATCTTCATTGTGTGAAAGTGCAATCACCGTAAACACCAGAGTTAAACAATTGAGTTCGTGATGCTGCTGCTCAGCTGGCAGGAGTGCACAATAACATTTGACAAAAACACCCCAACACGTTCCGTCTCAAAAAAAACATGTAGCCTCAAAATAAACGTATATATAATAGGTGACATTTCGAGCAATGGCCCTTTTTCATAACACACACAGAGAGAGGCCAGAAAGAAAGAGTGAACAAGAGTTAAGGACTCCACACCACTGGGCTTGATGATAATAAAACATTTTTAATATCTCCAGATAAAGTGTTAAATTTGCATATGAATAGTTACATATTAGTAGATATTGAGTAAAAGACAAACCCTTCAATAATCAACAATCTATTACTCTTTAAACTCGATTGTAATAAAAGTGTGCAAACACATTGCAGTTTGGGTAACAATGCTGCCACGTGGTATCGTATTGAATAGATGCCCATTATCTACTCAATACAAAAAATAAACAGCGCAAGATTGTTTAGGCTTTGTTTACTGCGGAAATAGCCAGTAAAATACGCTTGCTTATTTTTTTCAAGTTAACACTTAAAATTAACTAATGTTCAATTTGTAATGCGAGCATAAGCGGGGTTTCGCTGCTCGGCTCTGGGCCAATCATACGGCCCAGGATATTGGGGGGCGGGGCCCAGTATGTGAAGGTCCGCCGCTCACCTCGGGTCCAATCAGATGCGAGGTGAGCAGGGGCGGAACCTAAAGGCGGAGCCAGCAAGGCGCTATGCGGAGGCCGGATCTGGAAGATTCGGTGAAGGGCATGGTGTGAGGGAGGAGACAGGATCACGTGGTGAAGGGAATATAGGTGGGATCCCCGAAGGGTTCCGGGTCAGTTGGTAAAGTCACGAAGCAGGACCACATTGGGTGGCCGGAGGGTATCCGCGCCATCAGCCAAGTGGCTGGAGGAGCTTCGAGCACACCGTCGGCCAGCGGTATGCGGGAGCGGGGGAGCGGAGCGACTGACGGGAGAGCGCATGCGGGGCGCGCGCGAGGAGCAGCTGCTCCGCTGTTGGGACCAGTGGAGTGCGAGCGTCAACGGGAATAAAGAGTGACGGAGACCAAGCAGTGTGTCGGCGAAGTCCTTTATTACTAATTTAACGTTTAATATTGTGGCGGAAAGGAGGGCTGGTTAAGCAAAATAACATTAATTGACACTCATATTTGTTTCATCAGCTCGTGTGCTGCAGGCGCTGGGTGTATTTGGACATCGTAGATTCGTGAGCGATGGCGATGGCTCAGGGAGGAGTCCAGCAGTGAATAGAACATGGCTTCATAATGATGAATATGGATTTTAAGTGGGGGGGGGGGGGGGGGGGCGGGGGGGGTAGCACTGGTTCATGCACTGCGCTACAAATTACTGGCCATGGCTAACAACAGCGGTGAGTGATCTCTGAACTGTCCCTGGGATCCCCACTTTCACTGACTTCAGTAACCAACGTGGAAAAGTATGGTCAGACAATCCCACTTGAATGACACGTACGTGTTGGTTGTTCTTATTCGCAAGGCACACACACTTCGTTTTGTGTTGTTGGGGTTTCCCATTGTTGCAGCCGGGACGGCTGAGGCTTCCGAAGGGGGGGGGGGGGGGTTATGTAGAGGTGCTAGGCACTCTATTCGGTAACCTGCGGGGCCACTATGTATCAGAGGGGCAATGCAGTGTTACCGCTCTGGGACCAACGGCCGGGATCAGGGAGAGGTGAGAGCAGATCGTGAACGCAGATTCCCGCCAGACCAACTGCCAGGGGTCACATAAGGTAAAAGAGGATCGAAACGACGGATTGTAAAGAACCAATCAGAGGGTTCCATGAGGGAGTGTGGGATTGGTCAAAGACAGTTACAAACGGGAATAAAAGGGCAAGCGCGGGGAGCGCAAAGGGAGTTCTCCTCACACGAAGACCGAAGCCCGGGATGAAAAAGCTAGGACCCTGGACCAAGCCTTCCAGCTCTTCTAAGAGCTAAGGCTCTGAGCGACCAGTGGTCAGGGGACCCACCGAGCCAGCGGTGGGTCAAGCTAGTCTCCCCTAGGTCTTAGCCGGAGGACGCTAGAGTAGCGGGTAGACTGGGAATAGCTCCCGCCAGTTTGGAGGCTGTACCTCCCTAGGCTAGCAGCCAGACCCGTGTATAGGTCCCGCCAGATAGGGAGGCTGTACCTCCTTAGGCTACGGGTGAGGGAACCATATATCCCTCCGTATGTGTAGGTGTAATGCGAGCAAGGATTGAGGGGGGGTGGAGTCTGGGTCACGTGGGGAGTGGGTGGAGTTAGGGTCACGTGAGGGAGAGGATTTAGGGAGAGAACCGGAAGGAGAAGGGGGAGTTAAGACGGAGTGAAATAGGAGGAGGCCACGCTGGGCAAGACGGAGAGTGTGGCGCGGTCGCCACGCGGTGGGAGACGTCGACACCGACAGCCATCGGTGTCAGACCAAGAGAGCTAACGGGGCAGTGAGAGGCTAGCTGTGAAAGGGGCAGCAGGGATGCTAGATAGCGGGGCAGCGGTGTGGCTGCCAGGATTGCCTGATGGAGCAGCAGGGAGACTGCATATTGGAGCAGCGGGGAGACTGCACAACGGAGCAGCCGAGGGCTGTGGAGAGGTCGTCAAGCGGGACGCGGGCCTGAGCGAGACGCCGTGGTACGGAGATTCTACGAACCCAATAAAGGACAACGGAGATCGACATCTGAGAGAGAGTCCTTTATTACATAGGGACTGTGTTGGAAGAAAGACAATAAACCAGTGTGTGCCTTAAAGGAGTTTATTCATCTGCTATTTACAACATTACAACCCTGTAAACAGCAGGGAAATGGGCACAGACGTGTTCTGGCCAAATGCTATTCCATCAATATGCTGATAAAACACAATTGTACACAACAGTGAAGTCAAAGTTAGGCTATAATAAGAGCCTCGGTAACTTTGAAGATTGTACGCGAGCGGTACTCGTGTGGTTTGCACGAAACGAAATGCTGCTTAATCCAGGAAAATCAGAGGTTCTGTAAGTTGGAACTCAGGCTCACGTGAATACATTTTTTGGAGGATTAGGTGTGGCGGTCGCAGACTCCAGGGTTCAGTTTTTTTTTACTGATATGATGAGCCTCGGCACCATACTCGACCAAAATGTTGTTTGATAACCACGTCCAAAATATAGTCATGTCCTGCAATTTTCCTATCAGGGCTCTACGACACATTCGGCCACTATTGAGTCGTGATATAGCCCACACAGCGGCGTGTACCATATTGTCGACGAGGCTCGATTACACTGGTCAACACACTTTTTCTGGCATAAGGTATTCCAACGGTTTTAAGGTAAGTTTGGAGTGCTGATTCCAAATCTGGCATCAGTTTTTGTCTATCACATCAGGTTTTTGAGATATAAAATATTGCATTTTCAATCAAAACAGCAAATTTATGCTCATATACGAATAGCTAAACAGACATCCATACAAGAATAAGATAAGATACAATATACAATAATAATGAAACAAACATTTAATGAGCCGTAGCACAACGTTGTGAGAGTGACTGCATATCAATGTGAGTGAATGCATATTACCATGTAAGAATTGAATTGTGAAGATAAGAAAAATATGTACAAAAAGGTCATTCACAATAGTGATGTTACATCTGCATAAACGACCTCTTCTTTGACATTCTCCGATGTACAGCTTGTGGAATGTCTCTCATCAAGGACCAGCAGTAATCTGCCATCATGTTTGAGTCCCATCGGCCTTGGTAACGTTCTTCCATAACTTTAATGTCTTGATGAAAGCGTTCACCTTGCTCTTCGCTCACGTGACCCATGTTCTCTGGAAACTGGGCCAAGTTACTATGTAAGTAGTGAACCTTGATGCTCATTCTACATCCAAGTGCTTGGAAACTCAAGAGCAGCTCCTCCACAATCTCTCGATAGTTGTCCGCTTTCCTGTTCCCAAGGAAATTCCGCACCACATCAGAGAATGCATTCCAAGCTCTAGCCTCTGCCGCAGTCATTGTTGTAACAAAGTGTGGGTCCCTGATGAGTGTTCTTATTTGAGGACCATCAAATATTCCTGCCTTTTTCTTCTCGGCACTGAGACTTGAAAAGGTTGAACATATATAGCTGAAGCAGTCTCCAGTGTGATCAAGAGCTTTGACGAATTGCTTCATTAACCCAAGTTTTATGTGCAGTGGGGGGAATACAATTCTATTCCTATCAACCAGAGGCTCATTCTTGATGTTCTTGTCACCAGGCGTCAAACTGATTCTTGGTGGCCAGTTCTTTTTCAACCAGTGTTCTAATGTAGCCCTACTGTCCCAGTAGCACAAGAAACAAGGGTATTTGGTGTGACCTCCTTGCTGACCCAGCAGAAAATTAACCATTTTCAAATCAACACAAATTAGCCATCCATGAACATGTTATTCCAATCTATCCAGAACAATTTTGATGTTGGCATACTCTTCATTCATTTTTACAGAGTGTCCTATTGGGATTGAACCATATATATTTCTGTTGTGAAGTAACACACATTTCAAACTCCTTTTACTACTGTCAATAAAAGTCTCCATTCACTTGGATCATATGCGGGCAGTCCCATATTGAGAAGAAGCCCTTCAACATCATTACAATGAACAAGTTGACCATCTGAATGGAAGTACTTTCGCAGTGCTGCTTCTCTGTTACGATAAAAGGAGGCACTAGCCAGGTCTGAGTAGTCCTTTCTCTTGCAGCCTGGAAGCCAACAATTCAGCAGACTGCTTTGGCAAATACAAATCTCTTACAAGATCATTCAATTCAGGCTGACTAAACAGATACATTTTATCACAATCTGCATCAGATGGCGTATATCCGATCTGAGCATCATCATCATCATCATCTGTAGAAGCAGGTAAACTGAGGGATTCAACATCAATCTCTGGTAGCTCAGTAAATACAGGCACAGGTGTTTCCTCACAGTGCTCAACTGGTCGTCTGGCAGATGGGATATCTGGGTATTGTAAGTGTTGTTTGTTTTTCTTATTGAAACCGTTTACATTGACAAGGCAGAAGTAGCAGTTATCCAAATGGTTTGTAGGTTATCTCCAAACCATTGGCACACCAACCTTCAGCTTAGCATTATTTCCTTTAGACTATGATCGCAAAGTTTAAACACAGGTTTTACACACTTTGTGAGGAGCCAAATGTCTTGTTCTCCAAGTCGTACTTTAAAGTAGGCAAGATAAACCTTCTTGACAAAGGTATTGATGTTGCGCCTTTGATCCTGCAAAGCGAAGCTGCCACAGATGTAGCAGAAGATATCTGGGTCATTACTGCATTTCCTTCTTTCGGATGTTGTAGCCATTGTTAGATCACGCCCTGCAGAAGAAAAATATGAAATAAATGTGGATATCTACATAAAATTATATTATAAACACACTATCCTAAAAATACAGCACCATATTTTAACATTAAAGCAGTCACTGACTCGCAAAAACTTGCAATCATAAGTGACAGAGTTAATTTCGGGTAAAATCAATGAAAATGGGGTATGCCGATAGCATAAAAATGAGATGTGATAGAGCAAATCTGAGATCAGATTTGGAATTAGCACCCTGAACTTAGTCTAAAACAGCTGCAAAAGTCCAGGCCAGAATTTTTTTGTTTGTTGACCAGTGTTATTGCAATTCACTACTGTACGGGACGTCTGGCAAAAAGGCTAGCAAGTTGCAGTGTGTAGAACATTCTTTGGCACGTTTCGTGACGGGTATTGCAAGATGCGACCGTGTATGTTCGGTGCTCGCTGAGCTGCAATGGCATCCGGTTTTTGAACGAATAAGGTTGCGCTTATTACACACAGAGTACTTGCCATAAATGAACAACAATACCTCGCTGATCTTGTCAAGAAGCATAAACCATCACTCAAACTCCGGTCATCCTCGCATCGGCTTTTGGCTAACCATCGAACAAAGGCAATCGCTGCATTGCACGCTTTGAGATGCGCTGCTGCGGCCGTCTGGGAAGCTCTTCCTTCCGATATTAGGAAGCCACTGGAGCTATGCACTATAAGGGGCCGTCCATAACTGACGTCACGCGATTTTGGACGATTTTTAACCCCCCCCCCCTTCATCACACGGCGTCACAAAAAGTCAGACCCCCCCTCACATATGACGTCACAAAGCTCTGCCCCCCCCAAAAAAATAAAACATGCTTCAAATCGCTTTAAACTATTGTCATTATAGTGCGTATTTAATGTGGCGCTGCACTCTGATGTAGTAGGAGAAAACATTGATTAAAAAATATATTTAATTAAGTAGAAGTTGCGCATTTTGATGTGACGTCACATTTCTCACCCCCCCCCATGCCCCAGGTGCGTCGCGTCATTTATGGACGGCCCCTTACGTCTAAATAGAAAGCTAATTTCTTGAGAACAGCTTTTTTTTGTCTTTTCCCGCACCTTCGATTAGCACGGCGGGCTATGTACAGTGCGAAAGAAGTTCAACATAATTCACCCATGTAGATGAATCTTTATTTCAAATATTGTACTATGGTGTTAAGTTTTACATTTCCAGTGTAGTTGATGGTGACCGGGCGGAGACATAAACTCGCCACAATTGGTAAGACAGTAGCTGCCTTCATCCAAACGGATATCAGCAGTGCTGGCACATGGCCAGTTTGGTTTTGCACTTAATTTGGATAAATTCCGGCAATTAACAATTATCGGTGTGCACAGGAGCGTAACTGGCGTGGGGGCAGGGGTGCCTTGCCCCCCCCCCCCCCTGGTGGCAAAAAGCTACGAGTTGGGGCCCCCTTGACAAAAAACCACGAGATATATTTTTCAACAGTGTAAAAGAACAACGCAATTATTTAAAACGCGGTTTACATTTATGTATATGAAAATGCTTTCATTTACGTTCATCCTTTTGTTTGTATTTAATTATAGCAGTAACGTTTCGCTTCCGCAAATTACACATCGCTTGTTTGTTTCTGTGTTGTCATTGTGTAACCAGCTACACAAGCAGGACCTTTCTTCTGGGTTTGGGCGAATGAAGACCGCTTCAAAGTACGCACCTTTTACTACATCTTCTTTGGGTCTTTTGGTAAAGCCACGTAGATAGATGGCTTTACCGAAGGACCCAAATAATATGAATTCCTGCAGTCACGAAAGCTTTAAGTCAAGATTTTACTACATCCTCGACATATTTGTGGTGCAACTTCACCAACGATTTGCTGACTTCAGAGAAATGGCGAGGACATTCAGTGTGCTTAATTAAAAGCATTTTTTTCCATCCTGATTCTACGGAGAATGCAAAGATGATTGCACAACAGTACAGTATTCTGATGATTTGATGGCCGAGTCAGTGGTGGATGAATGTATCTGTTTTCGAAGAATGTACAAGGAACTCTTCATTGAAAAGTGAACTTCACACCACTCAGTCTCTCCCCCTTCCGCATTGCAAATGCATGGACCGTGCCTTGCCAAACCTGAGCATCGTGTATCGGATATATCTGACCATCCCTGTTAGCAGCACGAAGGCTGACAGAAGCTTAAAGTCACCTCGAATTGATAACAAAAGAATACGTATTGCGGTCAACAATGCGAGAGGATCGGCTCTCTAGCCTGGCACTGTTGTATGTGGGGAGGGAAACAGCTGAGGCAGCCAATTTGGAGAAGGGGCATCTCCAAGTTTGCCAACTGCAAAAGACAGAAGAATGGAGTTGTAACTTAATGAGAGAGGAGTCATCAATGTGATGAGTTAACAATGATTAAATATTTTTCATATATATACAGTGAGGGAAAAAAGTATTTGATCCCCTGCTGATTTTGTATGTTTGCCCACTGACAAAGAAATGATCAGTCTATAATTTTAATGATAGGTTTATTTGAACAGTGAGAGACAGAATAACAACAACAAAATCCATAAAAACGCATGTAAAAATGTTATAAATTGATTTGCATTTTAATGAGGGAAATAAGTATTTGACCCCCTCTCAATCAGAAAGATGTATGGCTCCCAGGTGTCTTTTATACAGGTAATGAGCTGAGATTAGGAGCACACTCTTAAAGGGAGTGATCCTAATCTCAGCTTGTTACCTGTATAAAAGACACCTGTTCACAGAAGCAATCAGTCAATCAGATTCCAAACTCTCCACCATGGCCAAGACCAAAGAGCTCTCCAAGGATGTACAGGACAAGATTGTAGACCTACACACGGCTGGAATGGGCTACAAGACCATCGCCAAGCAGCTTAGTGAGAAGGTGACAACAGTTGGTGCGATTATTCGCAAATGGAAGAAACACAAAAGAACTGTCAATCTCCCACGGCCTGGGGCTCCATGCAAGATCTCACCTCGTGGAGTTGCAATGATCATGAGAATGGTGAGGAATCAGCCCAGAACTACAGGGGAGGATCTTGTCAATGATGTCAAGGCAGCTGGGACCATAGTCACCAAGAAAACAGTTGGTAACACTACGCCGCGAAGGTCCCCCTGCTCAAGAAAGCACATATACATGCCCGTCTGAAGTTTGCCAATGAACATCTGAATGATTCAGAGGACAACTGGGTGAAAGTGTTATGGTCAGATGAGACCAAAATGGAGCTCTTTGGCATCAACTCAACTCGCCGTGTTTGGAGAAGGAGGAATGCTGCCTATGACCCCAAGAACACCATCCCCACCGTCAAACATGGAGGTGGAAACATTATGCTTTGGGTGTGTTTTTCTGCTAAGGGGACAGGACAACTTCACCACATCAAAGGGACGATGGACGGGGCCATGTACCATCAAATCTTGGGTGAGAACCTCCTTCCCTCAGCCAGGGCATTGAAAATGGGTCGTGGATGGGTATTCCAGCATGACAATGACCCAAAACACACGGCCAAGGCAACAAAGGAGTGGCTCAAGAAGAAGCACATTAAGGTCCTGGAGTGGCCTGTAATTGCCAAAAAGGATTTTTCCACCAAGTACTAAGTCATGTTTTGCAGAGGGGTCAAATACTTAATTCCCTCATTAAAATGCAAATCAATTTATAACATTTTTGGCATGCGTTTTTCTGGATTTTGTTGTTATTCTGTCTCTCACTGTTCAAATAAACCTACCATTAAAATTATAGACTGATCATTTCTTTGTCAGTGGGCAAACGTACAAAATCAGCAGGGGATCAAATACTTTTTTCCCTCACTGTAGTTCTGTTTATGAATCAAAACAAGCATAGGCATGTCAAAGTTCAATGTTCGAGACCAGCGTTTCTTTTGAAAGCATTTGTCGGAGCCATGCTGTGAACATCTAAAAAAATATATTTCAAAAGGATAGGCCTATTGTTTCTTTTGAAAACAAATCTGTTGTGAAAGGCTATTCTTGTTATACGTGGATTTGCTACTCTATATGCTAGTGTAACGCTTCCGCAGCTATTTAGATATTTAGTATTGGTAGTAGTACTTTCTTAACCGAAAAGAAACGTGATGTCGGGATCGAACCCACAACCTCCATTCACCGTTCCACACGCAACAGTTTTTTTATTTTGTGTGGTCATCCACCAACCCTTGCTGCTGCCTCCAGTGTTCAGTTACAGGCCAATTGCAGCACAGCCACCACCACCCGGCTCTTCGACCCCACAGCTGTTGTCAACTTGGCACCTGACCTCCAAAGTCTGGAATTATAGCCACTAGATTTACGTCTTCTCTCTGCTCGTTGCCTTGGTAATGGGGGGGGGGGGGTGCACCGTAAGAGGGACAACCCGCCGATAGAGAGCGAGCTTGCGTGGGCCGGGGGACATTTGATGGTGCAGGGCCCAGCTCAGCAGCACCTCACAATGACTCTGGCTCAGTAACCGGGCCCTGCAATACACCTATTGAGTTCAGTTGTGGTGATCCCTTCGCACAATGCTAATCCGTCCGTCAAATTGTCAAACATGCTGTGTACACAGACAAGACAAAAGCTTGTGTAATTAGTGAGGGCACACAGACACGCCCTTATTTGCTCACACGTTAAACAACATTACTCTCTACTCGTCTTATTTGTGCGGCCGTGTTGTTGTCTAAAGTCTCGTGTGTCCCGTATATATATTTTTTCTGCCTTGTACCACTTATTCATCTTGAGTACGGTGGTTCGAAACATTTTCTGCATTTTATGCACTCAACTTATTTTGCACCGGTACGTAGCCAACCGTGTTAATCAAGAGGTGCGGGGGAAGAAAACAAACTAAACACAAAAAGCAGTTATAAAGAAACACGCTTTGCAATTTAGATTTAAAAGTGCATAGCTCAAGTGGCTTCCGAATAATAAGGAAGCCACTGGAAGCATTACCGGCAAATGATTATAAACACGGTAAAAACAGGTCGTCCGCACGCGTATGCCTCGAGCAATAAACATGCGACGCTCATCTCTCTATCCAAGAATACAGCTGCCACAGAGGTTTAAGTCAGCACGCTGCACTCGCAACCCTCAGGTCACCGGTTTGATTCCATTTCCTGGCGCGGCATGGTGGAACAAGTGGCAAGTTTTTTTTTTAACTCTTCCTCTGCATCTGCTTACCCAGCAGGATAAATTGGTATTCATTTTGTAATGCTGCCTCACCTCATTTTACTGGCTGGAGAGACACGTGTGGGCAAATGATGCTCTCTCTCAATTAGAATGACATAGGGGAATGGCACGCAATGTCACTTCCATCGTATTTAACCCAGACTAGGTCTGCATCGAAGAATCAAATTACGACACTATGATGAATGTATAGCGATCTGTCACTCCACTGTTGAAGGCCTCCTCATGCCATGTCGCTCATAAGCGTTATTGGACCATACTTCAGCATGTTTGTATGTGCAGGTTGGTCAAGGCAGCAAGCAATAAAGTATGGAACAATGCATTTGCTGCACTGCCCTCTGCTGATCACCACAGAGCCACACAGCAGCATTCTATCATTATTTAGCCTTTTTTCAAACCACTGCTGATGAGTGTAAGTTGAAGGCAGGGAGCATAGAACATTGGAGCAAAATGCAGTACAATAATGAGTTTTGCTTAACTGCTCTCTGCTGATGGTATCCCTTGCAGCAGCAGCAGCAGCAACCTACAGCATGTTAGGCACCCATCCAAGCACGATCCAGGCTCAACTTCACTGAGCTTCTACGATTCGATGTGATGGAGCGCATTCCTGGTGATTTGGAAATCGGCCAAGGAAGTTTCAATTGGATGTTTGATCAAATCCCACCCAGATTGCGTTCATTCACATCCGATTAACACTGTTGGTTACGTACGGTGCGAAAGAGGTTTAACATACATACATAATGTACATACTTCTTTCACAAGTCAACCTCTTTCATAAGTCAATAACTTTGCTTTTGAGCAAAGTAAACAGCAGAGCAACAACAAAAAACTGTCTTTCCAGCTGCTGGCAAAATTCATATTCTGCAGAATCGGTCACTCTTTGTACAAGCTGTATATTCTAGTCAAAGTTAATATTTATTGCTCAACTTCCAACGCGATTTCATGTACCAAATTTCAATGAAAGTTTTCAAAGTGCATTATTGCACATTGAGCGACATTTTCATGAAAATAAAACATGTCCTCAAACATTGCTTACCTCTCAGTAAATTCTGAAATATGAACTAAAACCTTGTTCATTAATTATATCTTGAATAAAACGTATCTTTAAAAATGTGGCCTCCCTGTACCACCAGTGATGGGGAAAAGTGTGGGTACTCTAGTCCAGGATGCCTGAACAGCGTAGATAAGTAGGCCATATACCCCTGAGTTTACTCTAGTAGAAGCCATTCCACCAGCTGTGGCACGAGTGAATAATTGCAGGGATCCATTGTCAACTTGATATTGTGCGCTAATCAGTGCAGTAATCAGAAAACATTATATGATGGTAATATATATTTTTTTATTTACCAAGTAAAGCCCACTGAGCTATATAGCTTTTTTAGAAGCGACTTGATCAAAAATGATAGTACACAGAAGTGGATTTTTGTGGAAATTTATAGCAGCCAAATATGCTGAATGCATGTTGATTCTAAATGTGGAGGGAAAATCCGGAGGACCTGGAGAAAACCCCACACTATCAAGGGGAGAACATGCAAACTCCAAATATATACAGCAGGCATCGTCATTAATGTTTACCCTCAAACACGTTGGTGGATCTCAATACTCATGATCATGAGTCCTATTTCGGGATTATTGGCCAATTCTGACAACTGTATTTCTGGTTGGAGCCCAGAGAAAACCCACGCGTGTGACGGGGGATGACGGTAAACCTGCACTTTTTCATTATAACTTTAAAAAAGTAAATTGATAGGGTCGCCGTGATATAATTGGCTACAATGCCATAATAAAAACACCTTTGCAATGCGGCGATTTTTGCGATGTCAGTTCACCATAACTTTGCGATTGTATTTAAGATTAGTACCGCGTCATGTTTTTGCTTTGATATACATTAAATATGAACACAAATTTCTTAAGTTATTCAACTGCAGCACACTTAACATAAGCCTGCCGTAAGTCTTCTGATAATTGAGACTGGAAAATCTATATTGCTTATTATGCACATACCGTCAAAAATAAATTGTCATACAACCACCATTATAATTCTGATTTATTGGGAAACCGCTATTTATAATTGTATTCATTATTTCTATTTTACATTTTGTTGGGAAATTAAATATTATAACTATTTAATGAACGATCGTCGCGATACGATATTTTTCAAAATGGATGACACAACCATCATAGTTTTATATCGTACGTACCATCGCCACATCACGGCAACCCTACAATTTCATTAAACCTTCACTCCAAACGTAGCTTTTCGGGTTGACGCAGACCGCAGTTCCAAGCAAAATTGTCTTGTCATTAACCCTCCACCTCAAGACAAGACTGTCACGTTTACCCAGCTATTACTATTTATACGCAATGATGCATTTTGTTTATCAAGTTATGACCAATAAACCCCATCCTCACCAATAACTTAATTTATCACCGAAATGAGACGTTTCGCTCCAGCGCTGTGTTATCTGGGTATTCCCGTTTTTCGTAGGCACTGTTCAATCGTTAGTGCAACAAAAAAAACTAATTTATTTTGTTATTTTACCAGGTCACGCCCACTGGGCTATATAGCTATTTTTCAGAAATGACTTGGCCACAAATTATAGCTCAACGCAGTGGCTTATCCCGCGTAAATTTATCGTAGCAGCCAAATACTCTAAAAACATCTCGATTCGAAGTGGCAGTAGTGCAGCAGTTTTCAGGACACGCAGGCCATTCGCGGCCACTCGCTCTCACACCCTCGTCACTCTTTATAACTTACATTGTTGAATTTTGCACTCCAACGTGCACCTGGGTAGGGCACGTCTAGGGCTATAATGATGCACCATTTCATCCATTACTAATTGGTTCCACACACGACACCAGAGAACCTCCCCAAATATGGCTCCAGTGTACTGCAAAGCACCAGTCCACCAGCACTACAAGCGTCACGCAAGGGAGTAACTTAGGCTTGTATTTGTGTGGACTTCCAAGGTCTGGGCAATTTAATAATCCGCACCCCCGAACACGACCGAGATTCTGTTGTCACCATTCTGTGTCTCGATGTTATTCAATAACCGATAAGATTACACTGACTGTGAAACTAAATGCAGTGTTCGTATATTATACTGGGAATATAATTTGCTCAATGAGTAAAAAATGCGATTCTCACAATTAAAAGAGTAAAATAATTTATTGTCATCGACAATAGATGCCTCCTTATATCCCATTGCACAGCCAGTCTCAGGGATGGTAAAAAAAATGTTGAAATGAGCAGGAGAGAAAACGGATAGAGTCCAAGTTCCGAACCCACTTGGCATTCCCTATTATGGCTGCACTCACAGGGAGAGTCCAACGCAGCATCGGACCAGCAGGGGCTACCCGATTGGCTACAATCAACTCACCAGGATTCCTCCCGGTGATTCGCCTGCCTCTCGTCGCTTATAATTTATTTCTCTCTGCTCTCTCAGCAAGGCATGTGGACTCTTCACAACTTGCTCAGAATCCCCAGCGGCGATATGCAGTTGTTGTCCTTGTGTCAGTTCCGCCTCCCTCCTCTCGCGTCCAATAAGCCGCGCTCTAAGCTGGTGTAGTGACAGACGTGGTGCAGCGCAATACACCACATGATTTATATATAAATATAATCTTACGTTGCAAAATATTTCAAAGCATTAGCTGTTCACGTCCACTTGGTACTGGTGATCTTGCGCCCGAGATGATGGGTCTCCAACTGTCCGTTTAACTTCATCTTGAGAGATTTCACCCGTCAACCTGGAGCAAACTCAGGCTGCACTGGTAAAGTTCCGGTGCTAACGATGCCACAGTGCACGCATTTCCCAAAGTGAACGTTCTCGCTGTCTGGGGTCCAATAAAACGTTCTCCTCCCAACCGTCACAAGCACAGAGCAGCTGTTTTCTATTCCCGGCACCGCAGACCCATGCCAATCTCACAGACTGATTAATGATGCTCATGAAGATAAAGACTGCCGAGAAATGAAGGCGACAATTATTTTATCTTGGTCATCTGCTCATCGGGACCTTGAAGCTAAGATTAAAAGTGAGGTGGGCAGTTAAGCATTGGTAAGTCACACCACACAGTATTGCAGAGGCGTTAACTGTGACTTCAACAAAAACACTAAAAACTTCAAATCTGAGTCAACTAATCACAATGGTCAACATGATACAGTCCTGAAATGGATTCCCTGCGATGTTGTTTTAGGTTTTACAACTTGTTAATTACTATGACCTGCCTTGGCATTACTCCGCTGAGTTTGGGAAATTCCACCGAATCGTATGGAGCGTTCAACCAAGTCTCGCCAAAATTGTGACAGATTAAGAGGTTCTTAGCATTGACGTTTCCTTGCCAGTCTCTCGCCAATTCATTCGGAGTCTTGAAACACAGTTATGGCGAACACAAGCGGATTTGTCCAACGGACGTCCACTTGTTAATGGCCTCCACGGCGTAGTCCCCGTAAGCACGACTTGCACGTAAAGAATCCGGTGATGCAGAGGACACAGAGAGCGAACACGGAGATCCCGATTAGAATCCGGGTCACTGCCTCCGTCTGGGGGCTGCCTGCAGAACAATAAACAAGAGGGAGGGGACGTCGTCATCACCACCCATGCTCTCATCATCGTCAGTGTCCGTTAATCACCATCCATTCTCGCATCATCTTAATGATCGTCAACATCTACTATTCACAATTCATTCTCACATAATTGGCGCCACTGGCGCTGCGGTGGCAAGATCTTAACTACCTCGCCTGGTATACAGGTCGTGGGTTCGATTCCAATCCTGACACCTGCATACTTGGATATTTGGAGTTTGCATATTCTTCCCGTGATCACGTGAATTCTTCTTTGGGGTTTTCCCTCCACATTTAGAAACATGGGTTTAGAGTATTTTACCAGCTGCTATACATTTCCACATAATAAGCCACTTCGTTGAGTATCATTTGTGGCCAGGTCGCTTCTGAGAAAGAGCTATGTAGTTCAATGTGCCTTACCTGGGAAAATATCTTAATTTTTTAGTTCATTATTGTCGCACCGGATCTTAATATTTATGTAACGTGTCCTTCACTAACAACCGAAAATAAAATACAAGACATCATTACAGTCACAACTTAAAAACTTCACAACTTCACAACCCACAACAAAAATGGGAGATGGTTCAAATGAGACAGGAAGAACGAGACACGATAGACGTGCCACCGGCACTCCGCTTGGTGGACACGAGGCTCACCTTGCTTGATCTCCTGGCCGCGCGTGCAGGTCCAGTTCTTGAGGCACAGCTCACAGTGGTGACCGGTGAAGACGGCGCAATAGGAGCGGGGTTCGCACGTGCATACCGTGTCCACGCGGCGCGTGCAGTTCTGTGCGAGCACCAGGCCGCGCTCTGCGACACACGCGCATGCACACAAGCACGCATGCAGATGGGCGTTCAGTGGGCACGTTCAATCAAGCATGTGAACCCGCACGGCCGTGACCAAATTACCTAGAATGCACGGGAACCCGTCGGACTTAAAGAGCTGTGTTGAATAATGACCACCGCGACCCGCACTGTGCGGAGAGGCCCTCACCCAGAACCCGCTGCTGGACGAAAGCCTCTCCATGCTGCGTGTGCTGCGTGAGTCGTGGGAGTTAATAAACCACACTTCTCCATGCTGGTCTGTATACTTTGATGAAGGCAGGGACCAGAGACTTTGGACCATAGTCCAGTACAGCAATAAAATATTATGCAGCCTTCTGCTGCCCATAGCATAGGCCCGGAGATCTTGCAATAGCGGGCGCATTGTCAATGCAGGACCCCCATGATGATGATGATGATTTTGTATGGCCAATGAAGATTAATGGTTTGAAATTCAGTTCTAAGTGATTTAACCATTCAATTGCTTTGTCTGAGAGTTGATGAATTGCAGATACATTCACCCACCAAATTACTCCCCGACTCAGCCATTCACCCACTCACCACCTATAATTAATATTTAGGGTAATGCAAAGTTATACAGTCCATGTCTTGATGTTTTGTAGTGTACGCACCCAGGACCTTCATTAAATACAGTTGTAAAATGCAGTGAGGCTTTGTTGAAATGAATTGCATTGAGCTCCTGAAAAAGCTCCCAGCAAGTGGAGCAAAACATTGGACATCATGTCAAATGATGCACAGCACAACCCCAAAATATATCCAAGAGCCGTACAGCACAATCACGAAAACCTACGCAGTACCACAATATTTCTCACCTATTCCCACTCACCAGCATGGCAGTGTGCGCAGGGCAGGCAGTGCAGGAGCAGGTTGGGGAAGCTTGTGAAGGAGCCCGGTTCACAGGGCGCACAGCTCACCGCGTCGCCAGCGTGGGTGCCCTGGCTGTAGCAGCCTGCAGCGCAATAAGGTACAAGACAAAGGTGTAACTCTGTAATTCCTTATGCCACCATTGCTGGATGGGCTTTGACTAGATGGAGCACTGGAAAGCTTAGATGTGTGACCACCATTTATAAAACGAGGGTAGTGCAGCAAATTCCGCTTGTTTTGTACTCCCTCCAGCTTCACCAACCCGCACTGACCATAGTGGTGAAATATGGTCAAACAACCTTCATGTCCAGCACGGCATCAGGAGGCCTTCGGCAGTGGGCTGCCAACATTGTGCATATTAATTATTGAAATGTAACATTAGGTCTCTTTACCAAAGGAGACATGGGACAGAATAAACACGTTTGCATGTGTTTCATTGAGATCATCCCGTACCATCTGTTTTCCGAGAACGCAGTGTTGTTTTCATAACCCAAATTGGATATAACGTGATGAATGTATTAGGGACCACATTTTTTATAACGCGGATGCAAATTGGATATAACGCGATCGAGTGAACCGAACTGCATCCCACGAGTAGGAAAAAGGGGTTGTACGGCTGCCTCGGTGTAGCATCACATGGCAGGATGCTGCTGGATGCTACCCACACGCCTCAGTCTGTGTTCAGCCTACATACGCATCTCATGTCTTATCGCGGACTGTGCTTTACCCTATATTATAGATTATAACGCGATTTTTCCATAACGCAGTCTTTTTCAGGAATGCAACTACCGCGTCATAGGAAAACATACTGTACAAGCTGACACAATGTCGTGCGTGTTTTTCCGTACAATGTCCGACGTTTCCCCAACACGTTCATGACCCGAAAACGCACCAGAGAACCGTACAGCACAACCACAAAACTCTATGCAGTGGGAGAACCATTTTGTTTCTATTCCTCTACAATATGGTGTGGGGCAATGTTATGTGTGAGGATATAATGGATTCCCAAACCCATGCGATGAAAAATTATAACCCTACTGACTACTCCATAGGCAGTATAATGTATCTGTCTGGATGCGCCGCATGCCAGACGTGTTTAACAGAGACTCGTACATGGCTGGCCAGAACTGGGGGTCACCTTCCAGAGTTATGGCCATAGTCAAAGCTGCCAAGTCAACCAAACATGTGACAAGAGGAGAGTGCATTTTACTATTAACCTCGTTTCACAACAAAGCCACGCATTTGTTCGGCTCTCTGTTTGAGCTAAAATCTCAATGTGATGCACACCTCATTTTCCACATGCACAGCACGCGGGTTCAATCCACGATACATTGTGCTGTAGATCATCTCAGGAAGGAAAAAGCAATTCCGTTGTTTTTATTCCATCGCCACATTCCCACCCATGTCACAGCAACATCATCAGGAGCTACGGTTAATCCACTGCTAAATGAAGGATTCCCTAAGCCAGCACCTGCTGCACACGAGGCAAATTTCATCGCTCCGTCTCCTGTATGGACGCCCTCTCAGACACGTCCCGTATTATTGGCTACCACTCCATCTCTATTAATGACCATCGGCCATCGTCACTTCTAGCGGAATATCTTGCCGAAGCCCACTTTCTTACCAGTTTAAATTACGTGATTAACCAGCGTGTTATCTAATCTATGCGTTCCGTCTCTCAATCTGCCCATGCTTTTTCACACACTTAAAATTTTTTGTTCCAAACTGTTGCATTGATAACCATGTTTTGTAACAATTTCATAGCAAGCGGTATGCACTAGTAACAAACGACGTTATTCTTAAGGCACATGGGTGTGTTACTTTTCATTATCAAGTTCAAGATATAATAGCTACCATAATATCACCACCACCAGCGCTGACCAATTCACTGGCAGGTGAAGGACTCTCAAAGCTGCTGGCATCTCTCAATCATTCACTCATCCCTGCAAATGAGCTAACTTCGTAGCTCCATCTCCGACAAATGTCATCCATTGTACGTGGTGGGTTTTCTCCAAGTACTCTGGTGTCCTCCCACATTATAATAAGTGAGCCGTGGCAAGCGAGCCCTGTCGGCGCTGTCTTCTTCCTCGTTGCGGGCCCGGCCGGGACTCCACTGCTGCAATGTACGGGCGACTGTGGATGTCGTCGGTGGTGCAAGGGGCTCGCTCGCAGTGGCCCCCTTCCTCGCTCCTGCCCCTCGCCGACCCCCTTTGTTTTCCCAATGCAATGATGCCTCATTCTTTTTCAGCCCCCCAGCTTTCTGTTGCCCTCCAGCTATGACCAGGCCTATCCCAACCTCCCTTTATCAGTCCCTCTTGTGCTACTGGCATTAAAATGCCACTACCACTTAAAATAAACAATTTCTTCATTTCAAATCATTATCATGCTATGTACAATTTTACAATTGCTGTAAAGCACCTTGGTAAAGGCCTTGGCAAAGGCGCCATATAAATATCAATAAGATAAGATATCGCGTCATCATTCATATGAATTGCATCTCACAATCGCTGAGGAACCGCAGACAATAGGAAGTATAAATTATTTTTAAATTACCAGGTAAGGCCCACTGAGCTATATCTCTTTTTCAGACGCAACCTGGCCACAATTGATAGCTCAACCAAGTGGCTTTTGATGTGGAAATTTATAGCAGCCAAACACTCTAAACGCATGTTTCTAAATGTGGAGGGAAAAAACCGGAAACCCAGAAAAAAATCCACGCGTGTGAGGGGGAAACACTCCCATACAGATGAGGCAGATGATTTCAGTCCAAACTTTATTGTGCCGCCTTCTCATTGCTATATTCATCTCCTCGTGAATAACATTTGGGCAAAAATCCCAATGCAGGATCCTAAAAAGGTCCTGAGACTCAGTGAAGCTTTCTGGGATGAATATATGGCACCCATTATTAATACACATTTTGGGGTCTAAAATATATGCAATGCTAGATACCAACATGATTTAGGGAGCACATCTGGCATTGGGTGTGAGATGTCTACTGAAGTGAGTCCAAAGTATTTCCGATAAGTAATCTTCCAGTTCTGTGCATGCCATGACATCATGCTCTGCTAGTCATGAGAATTTCATAGGGACATTTACTAATCCCGTAGCATGCGTATAGTAACTTGTCATATTACATCGATTAATATGCTTACTATACATATCCCTCACACCTCCAATTAGAACGGTTGGCTACGTATGGTGCGAAAAGAAGTTCAATATGCCGAATTGTACACGTGAGAATGAATTTTTTAAATTAATGTACGTTGTATCATGTGGGTGAAGTGGTGGCACAGCAGTTAGCGCACTGTGCTATGAACCTGGTCACCTGAGTTCGACTCACAGCTACGGCAAACATCAGCGGCCAGTGCTTTCAGAATATGTCCTAAGCACCGCAAATCGAACCAAGCCAGACTGAACAAAATGGTGAAGTATGGTTAAATAAGACCGACGAGCGATACGCCATGGAAAGCCTACATCGAAAATGGAACAAAGGGCTGTGAATTCATGATCAATATTGAGTTCACATGACCCCTGCGACTCCAACTCATTACTGTTTACTGGATGGCAAGGAGGAGGAATCGTTCTATGGTGAATGCCTAAGGCAGAACTGTTGGGATATAATCGACAGAAAGCCACCTCACACTCGAAAACAATAACCATTGTGAACGCACGCTGGAGTCAAAACCACAAGTGTCCTGTCTGGTAGGTTAAAGGTAAAGGTGCAGCCATGCAATTTGCTTTCTTATGCCAAAGGTTGGCAGAAGGGCCTTACCACTAGATGGAGGTCTAGAGAGCCCCTCTTTAGGGTTGTTTACTTTGACTTTCACATTGGCCGGACATCTTGGAATATGTGGGAGTACCCACACTTTAGCCCACCCACATGTGAGCTGTCGATCGACCAACTGTGGCTTAACCCACTTATACTGCTGAGTGGACAGAGGCGGGAAAGAGTTAAGAAACTTGAACAATGTTCAACCTGCCGTGCCCGGTGGGTTGAACCGGCGACCTCTGGATTGCAAGTGTAGTGTACAAAACTACTGCCGCGCGGTAGAAGTGTCCCACTTAGGAGGCGACTTTGTATTTTTTGAGGCACATTTACAAAAGATTGCATTGGCTATCAGTGTGTCCAGGGAACACAGTCACGGAAATGCCACTGCCACACGCACCTCGCCATCCGCTGGTACTCGTGCAATTACTTGAGACCTCGGGCGGCTACAATAATTTCAAGCACAAACATCAAATGCCCTGCAAAAGTTGCAAGTTTTTACAGACTCAAGAAACAGGAGAAGGCTTTTTAAACAGTGACTGGCTCCTCAACGACTGGAGCTCACTTTCTCTCCATCCATAAATACATGACAAGTCACCTTCAGCCTCATGACCGGTGGGCTCCAAGTCTAAATTTATCCTGTTACTAGCTGGCAACGAATGCCAAAGCATTTACACAGAACTGCGCTGGTTTAAAATAAGAAAATTCATCACTGCCCCATCTGCATGCCAATTGTCGCCTTGTGGGAATTTCGTCAGGAGTTAATAATTTCTCATTGGCATTCAGCTGTGCTGGCAGTCTAGAGCCAGAGGTAGAAATTCTGCATTCCCATGGCAGGCGCCAGTATCCCATGGCAGGCTTGGGTGTCAGACTCCCGGCATTTGAAACGTTGCTCTTACGATTGCAAGGTCAGCGGACTAGTCGGGCATGTAACGAATTAACAATTTATTGATTAAAGTCGATTTTTAATACTCAAAATACATGCTTCAAATCAAGCGTGTGCGGTTTGTCTGCCCATTCTGTGCAAAAGCCATGCTCATGTAACATATAACATCACCAAACCACACAAAACAAGATGGAAAGAACCACGAAACAATTTAAAGGAGACGGTAAGAACAAGACGATGAATTTATGACTGAAGCGACGAGAATAGCTGGGAGGTTTGACATTGGGCCGAAACACGGACGAGCAATAGCACGTTAGTCGCTTGTTGCAGAGGTTCGTGGTTCGAGCCTAGCGGCCAACCTAATTAATACTACTGGTATAATAACCATGAATATTAGGGGTGCCATCCAAAAGTCACATTCGTTATTTCCAAGGTCACACCTCCTGGTTTTATCGTTTGCTGTTAGCCTGAAGCCACTACGAGTTTAGAGACAATCCGTCAATATTTACCAGACACGATACAGAGCCGAACAATTCATCAGTCAATAAACAGAGTAATGGTGTAGAGGCACAGATGCAGAGAAGAAGAAGAGAGGGGATCCTGAGCAACCTGTAAATATGAACAGTGGAGTGGGATTCTCAACTGTTGACTTCTACACCAAAAGTAACAAAATCAGAGGGAGAGATCTCAAAAACCTAAAACTTCACTTTCCCAAATGCATATTGAGTAGCACCGTCGTAAATATATGCCACATACTGCAAAGCAGACATTAAACATCCCACAACGCTGTTCGATAAAGAGTGGGCCGTGCGTGCAGACGTCACGTTCCAAATTTGCCAAAATTGAAAGAATTACCTGCAAGTTAAATTTCGATTTAAAGCTTTCGTGATTGCAGGGATTCATCTTCTTGGTTCTTTCGGTAAAGTCACGTAGAAGGGAAATAATGAAATAATACAAATAATTCTCACGACGTTTCGGCCACAACGCAAGCAGCCGGCTGCTTGCGTTGTGGCCGAAACGTCGTGAGAATTATTTTATTATGTTTTATTTGTATTATTTTATTATTTCCCTTCTACGTGACTTTACCGAAAGAACAAAGAAGATACCTGCAAGTTAATAAACTGGGTTAAAACTGCAGGGCAACATCCTCCCCCTACTGACAGATTCCATCCACGTGGATCAAAGCACCATCGTAACAGCACTGTGCAATAGGAATGGGGGAAACGCCATACGTACCAAGTTATTATCTGTACATGCCTCGCTTGTAACAAAACATAACGTTTCTCATTCAGCACTGCGGCTTTCACCTACGACCAAGTTCCTAGTAGTCTACACAGTGTTGCTGTTGCAGCCTGAACATGCCTGTGCAGTCCACTGGTCAATCGACTGCTTGAAATGTGCTTCTCCACGTCCGGTGGGTCATGGGATTTATTTGACCATACTTTACCACGTTGAGTCATTGTGGCTTGGTAAAGGCGATGAGCTCCAAAAGTATTCTTTGCTCCAAGACATGATGCGAATGACACAGTCGGAATAACACTGGGTAAAAAAACACCGGTTTCTAGTGATAGTTGTTAAGGTATACGGGCAGTCCTCGAGTTACGAACCTAATTCGTTCCTGAGACCCGTTTGCAAGTCGAATGGTTTGTAAGTCGGAACACAATAATGAACTGTATTTAAATGCCCATACGGTCAGTGTTATGGAATGTGTTGCAGTTCAACAAAAAGAGAGGCATTGTTAAACTCGTAATTGAGAAGAAATAGTGTACATCTGCATGTAACACTAAAAATACTGAACAATAAATAAAACATTAAATACAATAACATAAATAGGCAAAATAACAGTTTTATTTTCACATACATTGAGTACTGATGCTAGCTTGTAGCCAGAAGGGGGGCAATGAGTCACCGCAATTGCACGCGCACACACACCCACCCACGGGGCACGGGCGCACACAGATACACAAAGACACACACACAACGATCCCCGGTGTAGCCTTAACAGGTTATTGGGGTAAGTGCTGTTAGCAAGCAGCGGCTGGCACAGCACACGAGGGGGTGAGTGGCTCCCGCCATGCCCAGCTACCTTTGTCTCCCCAGTGGCGATTTACACCCTGCACCAGGTACCTCTCCCCCCACACATACGTGCACATAAAGACAAAGACCCCTGTATAGTCTTAACAGACTGTAGGAGCAAGTGCTGTTAGCGAGTAGCACTTATGAAGGCCAGTGCGGCACACGAGAGGGTGGGTGGCCAACACTTTTGTCTCCACAGTGATGATGTTTACACACCAGGTACTGGTGTTGGCCGTGAGCAAGAATCACACTCGGGTCGCCACTTTCGTAGCGCTGTGCGCTAACCGCTACACTACCGCTCCCCACACAATCACACTTTCACACACATACACACATGTCCGCACGCACACACACGCAAACGCTCCTAGCACGAGGCCGACTCATTACACCTCGCGGACGATTGCTCTCTGACCAATATAGTTCCGCGGTTCAGTTTGCAATTGCGAGTTCGCGTTTTAAGTCAATGTCTTTTCTATATTTTTTTAATTTCATGGAAGCTAGTTCGTATGTGTGTTCGCAAGTCGAGGACTGCCTGTACAACGAAATGTTAAAACCAAAAAGTAATTCCTGCAGTCACGGAAGCTCCAAATCAATTTTAAACCACCTCTACGGGGAGGATTTAAGTTTGATCTCTTGCTCTCTGTGTCTCTGTGTTGTCTCTCTCTGATTGTCTGTCTTTGTGTCTCCGTGTCTGTGTTTTGTCTCTCTCTCAAATTTAACACTTAACTTCTAATTTAGCAATCTTTGGAAGAACGTAATTAACCAGGCTATGCGTTAATTGTGTGTTGACCGACTCTGTGTTGCATTGCATTTCCAAATTTTACTAACTTTGTTTTATTGAGTTTGTTTTCTCTCTGTGTCTCTGTATTGTCTCTCTAGTAATTCCTGCAGCCACGAAAGCTCCAAATCTCTCACTGACATGCTAATTTCTCTACTCCCCCCTCTCTCTCTGCCCCCCTCTCTCTCTGCCCCCCTCTCTCTCTGCCCCCCTCTCTCTCTGCCCCCCTCTCTCTCTGCCCCCCTCTTTCTCTGCCCCCCTCTCTCTCTCTGCCCCCCCTCTCTCTCTATTTAAGGCCTCGACACAGAGGCGTCGTTTCTCTGTGTGCCTATGTGTGTGTCTCTCTCTGCTTATGTGTCTGTCTTATGTGTCTGTGTCTGTGTTTTGTCTCTCTCTCAAATTTAGCACTCTTTGGAAGAACGCAATCAACCAGGTGGGGTGTTAACTTTATGTTAGCCGACTCTCTGTGTTGTATTGCATTATATTTCTGAGTTTACTAGGTTTGTTTTTCTCATTTATTCGTACCTGATGATTGCTTGTGTTGCAATCGAAGCGTCGTAGTCTATTATTGAATTTATTTTCTTCCTACGTGACTTTACCGAAAGAACCAAAAAGTAAGGTTGGATATGTTAACATTTATAGAAAATGAGCTACACCATGCGCAAATATGCAAGGATGATTTAACGTTACGATATGCGTTTGATATCACGCCCTTTACGGTGGGACGACTAAGAGCGCATCTCATCTGTGTGCCACACAGTTATCCCTGTGTGGCACACAGTGACTCCGCACCAGGCCAGCAAATGGGCATTAGCCTGCCAGTAGGGGGCGAGGAAAGCCACGTGTAATCCCAATCCAGTAACTCATGCAGCTTTTCACAGTTTCGGACAAACCTGCAGCACAGAGGAGGCACCCTCGGCTCCCATGATCCCACGCTTCACAGCAGTCCATGGGCTCCTCCACGCGGCTCTCTGGCATCGCGCACACCTGTCCGCCCAAGCCAGACAAATCACAGCGATCCCATCACCACCTAGGGCAGTGTTTATACAAGCCCCAGTGCTCACTACCCCTTCCCCTGCCACAGCGCAGCTTTCTGTAATTACCACATGCTGCTCAAGCTGCCACACACTGTACATGGTGGTTCACGCGGTATGTTATGAGCCCAGCGATCAGTTTGATTCCTGACCATAGCTAACATCAGCGTTGAGTGATATCCGATCCGGTCACAGGTGCTCCCTGTCCCCCCCTTCACAAACCTGCCCCCACTAGCATGGTAAAATATGGTAAAATCAACACTGAAATAGAGCAACCATCATCCAGTAGTTGATAAAAGCCTTAAATTATTAAATTACGATTAGGTCATCAGGAGGATTAACAGCATGTTACAGCATGATGTAATGTTTTGACTTCCAGTCAAGAGCTCTGCGAGGTATGGAGAGAATTTCAGAGATGTAGTTAGCACAGCAGCAGGGATAACAGCAACAATACGATCTCAGACACATATTGCGTTCAATCTTTACAAAGAATTCAGTTTATCTTAAAAAAAAATCAGCTTAGGAAGAGCAGACATTAACTGGAGATGAAATGCCAGACTGTTCCAGGATTATGCTACGAGGACACAACAATAAGCACATCGTTTCTCCGTCGGTGACGGTTTATCAATAGCATGGCAATGCCACTATTGTGAAATAAACAGCCCGATCAATGCACTCCTATCAAGGCTGTTTAATGTGATCAACTACAGCAGCAGAAGATACTTGTTTAGAAACACAGGGTCCTTCTTGCATAGCTTTTCACGAGTGTGCTGTATAGCTCAATGGTGTTTTTTGTGCCGCCTTATAGGGTTGCCACCTTGCCTGGTTTTCCCCGGATAGCCCTCTTTTCCAGGTAGCTGCTGTCCTGGGAAATCTCTAAGTCTCCCCAGGACATTAAAAGTCCCCGTTACTGTCAGCAGTGAAAATACACCACTCAAGCCAATGTAGTTCTGGCCTCTTCTGCTATTGTAAACATATTCTTCTTCCCATGAGAAGTCCTGGTTTTATTGGATCTCAGAGGTGAAAATACTACCGTCAAGGTTATGGGTTCAATCCCCGTATGGGGCCAGAGGTAATAATTTAGATGCCGGACAACACATCAGAGAGCCAGTTTTCCTGCATTGGAACAACACAATCTTCACAATGCAGGAATACTGTCCGTACTGTTCAGATTTACCTCGTGTTGCACAATCTCCCACCATTGCTGAAGAGAAACCCCATGGAGATTACCGCGCTATTTTCATAACGTTTCCCAGGGAGTCTGCTCCCTTCTGGCCGCCTTACGTGACGCTAATCACACTCTGCTTGTGATGCACATACACACACACGACATGCTTGACTTTATCAGAACGGTATCACACTATAGTGTTGCATGCTGGTGCCGTGCAACATTGCAAGAGTGGGAATTATAGTGTAGAGATTAAGGAGTCCGTGAAATTATGAGGCCAAACCGGAATTGCCTGTCATACCGAAGCCAATTAAAATATGGTAAAAAGAAAAGCTTACAGCAACGCTGCTGATAGTACAATATTTTTATGTATAAAAAATATCTAAATTCCTCATGAACAGGATAAAATTGTATCCATCCTTTATATATGCTTTATTAAAAGCTTTTGCATGCAGGGAATGCGTTTTTATCGGTAATAAGCTGCACATAGCATATTCTATCCATTCAGTTATAATCAGGATGGTAATGTAAAAAAAAATCTGTAAATCACAGCACATGGTACCAGTATTGGCCATTGAACAGAAACAATTCCATTTTGAAAAAAAGGTCAAAGTTACTCACCTTATATGATTGCATTTTGATTCAAATAAGTGCATTCTCATGAATAATGGAAAGACAGTGTGTGAACATAACAGAATTCTAGCATTGCTCTTTGAGAAAGGGCAATGAAATTGACCTTGGTGTCACGGCTAAAAATCACCAAGAGGTGAACAAAATCTATCCCGAGAAAATTTCTACCCGCACAATTCATTCCAAATATAAATTCTTCACCTTCAGGTTTGGACAATCTTGTAACAATGATGTACAGCAAATTTAACCCATATCATCGAGCTTAAAATGCAGGTCACAATAACTGCAACCTTAATTTAGTCAGCAGATGTGGGACCACTGAGGCAAGAGCCTTTACTGTAGAGGTGGTTTTTGTTTAATAGTATATGTACAAACTCCTCTCCAACCAGTATATATACAAGGTCGGGTCTCTTGGGATTTCTCTTTACTTGATACAGCAAGCGTGCTGTGACTGTTCCACCTGAAGACGGAAGCTTGTGTTGCCTCCGAAATGTCGTGATTTATTATTTTATTTCTATTATATATTTTTATTCTTATTATTATTTTTTACCTACGTGACTTTACCAAAAAAAAAATAAGAGTATATGTACATGAACAGCACTTTAGTCAATCCACTGCTGGATGAAGCCCTCCCAATGCCATAGAGGTTGTTGTTTGTCCATAATTCACCATGCTGGCCAGTGCAGGTCGGCGATGACAGGAGCACATATGTTGGCGCAGAGTACACTACAACAATGGATTGTTGTACAGTGCTGCATCCTGTTGAAAATGTTACCTCGCAGCACCCTACAGCACTTGTTCAATGCTCGGTGGCCGCCCATGCAAGCACAGACCAGTGTAAATCTAAACATATAGACGATAGAAGCAACACAAATTAAATCTATCGCAAAGCAACATATAAAAAAGATAAGACAAAATAGTATTTTAATTATAGGGGGAAATGTGATTTACAATAAAGTGCAATAATCACATTACAGTTGCCAGAATTGTAAGTGATTCTAAAAAGTTTATATTGATGAATCGCTGACAATGCAATCAGCAATTCAATCGGTCACAAGCTACCTTTTGTTTGCAGTGGTAGATAGTGATTAAGTGTGGATGTAACATCATCCTCTAAGACATTTACATTAGACTAAATAAGAAGATTTTTTACCAAAAATTGTAATTATATGGTGGTAGGGGGAGCAGTGGTGCAGTGGTTGGTGCCCTGCACTCTTAACTTGGCAATCCAAGTCCAAAATCTGGCCGGAGATAACATCAGTGGCAAGCGAAATCCGATCTGGTCCTGGATACTTCACGAACCCACACTGACTTACATGGTGAAGTATGGTCAAACAGCGCTGGCAATAAGTGACACGGTGTGGGAATGCCTTCATACAGCAGTGGATTGAGAAAGGTCTTACTAATTATTTACGATTATTATAATTACATTTGGAATGTGCCAGACATGTTTTTGTACATTCCTTGTAGACAGACACATTTTATGAAGTGCTGTTAACAAAAAAAATGACCAATTACCTTCCTCTAAACAATTCTGAGGAGACACAACCAGTGTGATTTCGCCAACAGCGATAGACTGGTTTTGGTCTGGGACGACATTAAATGTGAAATGTAGTTTTTTTTAATAAGCTACTTAACAATGCAAGTCAAGCAAATAAATATATATACAGTATATTGTCATAATCAATAACTGCTGTGAGGATGAATGTGCAATTCATCTGATTACTCATGTCTTCCAAATTTAAAGTGTCTGAAGAAAAAACCATGCCAAGAGGAAGTTAATTGATTGCAGCCCTTTGTGAATCCACTGCCGATGTGGTGAGGCCTAAAACTGCATTGGGGCTCCGCAAGCCTCTCTTCAGCGTGCCTAGCAAGGCGATGTTGAATAATCCTTGCCAGGACCTTTCCCGGCACACTGAGGAGTGAGAGGCCCCTGTAGTTGTTACAGTTTGTGCGGTCCCCCTTCTTAAAGAGGGGGACCACCAGGGCATCCTTCCAATCCTGCGGAACCCGTCCAGTGGCCCAGACTGTTGTTATTGTAATGTGAGGATATATCCGGGTCGTTGACGGATTACAACTCGTCACAATGATTGGCTCTGCCGGTCCTGGTCCATAGCCAATGGGGGGAAGCCTAGGGGCGTGGCCCTGACGTAATGGAAAGGTGACAGCTGTAGGTAGAGGATTGGTTCTGCTGGCTTTAGCCACAGCCAATGGGGAGACGAGTCAGGGGCGTGGTCCCGGGAGCCTACGGTGGAGTCTGGAAGATTCCATAGAGGCTAACCAGGGTATTAAATAGGGGTGGAGACGAACAACACGTGGTCAGAACTGGAACGAACGGAGGAGGAGGCCACGCGAGAGCGGGGAGTCCAAGTTGCCACGTGGCTGCGCGAGTCTCTCTCTTTCTATCCCTCTCACGCTGCCTGTCAGCAGCGTGAAGGAGTGCTGTAATGAAAGGCGAATAAAGACCGGATTCCAGAAGTCGCTTCAATGACCTTTATTACATTATGATGTCATGTAGGGCAGTCTGCACACAAACGCCACCCTCCTGCAGCATTTCGCTTGGGAGATCATCTCTGCCCGGTGGCTTTACTGGTCTCAGACTCTAAATCACCTTCAGTACTTCCTCAACGGATGGCACCTCAGCCAGCCACTAACAGGGGGTGACTTCCTCCAATATTTGAGGTACCGCAGCCTCAGCAGGGTCAACCCAACTTTGTCCCATGATGTTTTCCTGGCTGAGGGATTCCCCCTCCCCCAGGACCTCACAGAAATGCTCAGCAAATCTGCAAACCTGTTCCTGGGGGTCGGAGATTGGATCACCGTTCTTTCCCCTGACTGTAATAAGATGTGGCACTGCAGGTTACATTTTTGATGGAGTTAAATAGGGATTTGTGATCGCGGGCCATTGAGGCAGACTCCATCTCCACAGCAACCCGCGACCACCACCCATCCTTGCAGCGCCTCACGGCTCTCCGAACCTCCGAGCGAAGGCTGTGGTAAGCCTCCTCATTCTCTGACGTGGGATGCTGTAGCCGATGAGAGTGGGCCTGTCGCTTTTTTACAACCATCCTGAACACCTCCTCTGTCAACCAAGGTCTCTGGGGAGGTCTGGACCGCGTACCCAAAGCAGCTGTTTTGAGTCACAGTCCTAAACC